GTACAGTCACCAGTAAGGCAGCGGTGAAAGCACTGATCAAGTATTTCTCTACTTTCGGGTTCCCAAAAACTACACAAACGGATCAAGGAACAAATTTTACATCTAAATTGTTTGAGGGAGTGTTGAAGACCTTGTCGGTGACCCATCAGTTGTCTAGTGCTCACCACCCGGAGAGTCAGGGTGCGCTGGAACGTTGGCATCAGACCCTAAAGGCCATGTTAAGTAAATACTGCACTAATATGTATGTATGTATGTATGGTAAATACTGCACTAATATGTATGTATGTATATATGTGTCTCCTTAAGCTTCTTATCATCTGCTGTGAGGCTAATGTCGTAGTACTCTGCCAGTACCAATTAGAGACAAGTCTCCCCCCGCATTAACGCAAATAAACCCCCACCAAATCAACAAACAATCAAAACACTAAATTTACCAGCGGTCTTTGGTCACAGTGCGCTTCACACAGAGTAGAGTAAAAAGTTCAAAGTTGTTTATAGGAGTTGTTAATGGACGAGCCCCCAATTTGTTACGTTCCCTACTAGGGTCCGGCAACATAACAAAACAAATGGGATAGAAAATAAGGAACGTAGCAGCCAATAGTAAAGAATTTATTGTTCTTGACATGGTGGCAGCCACATGCTTACTTTTCTTTTTCCCCCGACCCCGCCCTAGTTGATCTGCTTTTAAAGGGGCCGGCTCTGATGGTGCACCCAATCCAGATGAATTCCCAATCAAGTTGTCTGCTGGGCTGCCTGCAAAACACGGAAAGACAGATACAGGCCACCAACAATGGCCAGGGATGTAACACCCCCACCACTAAAAATCAACATGTACAAAAACCTGAAATTTAGCAAAAAATTCTTATTGATGTGTGCGAGACAGAGTGTCTGACAGAATGTTAGCACACCCCTTCTTAAAATGAATATCCAAGTTGAACCCTTGTAGGTACAGTGACCACCGCATGATGCGCTGGTTGGCATTTTTCATCCTGGAAAGAAACACAAGGGGATTGTCTCAGAGGTCTACAGATAATTCCTTGGACTTCATGGCTTGGTTTATGCTCTGATATGCACTTCTTCTCAAACTTAGTGAATTCCGCATCCATCACCTCCTCCGTCCCTGCCTTCTTATGCAAGACTTCTCCCTTTTGTTTTAACATCTCCTCCCCTTACTCTCCTCACATTAGGTGCTCGCCACTGTGAACCTTCCCAAATGCTACCCCCAACGCATCCGCCTTTTCCTTACCTTTCATAGAAATTGCATCCCCCACCCCCAACACTCGTATTTCCGCATTTCCTCCTTTTACCCAACATTTTCTGGAACATTTTCCACACCCTACCAATGTCCGTCCCCCTCCCAATGGTAGAGCAGAACTCACGCCATGCTTCCCTTTTAGCTCTCTTTATCATTCTCCTAGCCTCTGCCCTTTTACGTTGATACTCCAACACCTTCGTATCTGTCATGCTTCTCCTCAGTCCCTAAACTCCTTATTCCTCTCACGTACTCTTTTGGAACATTCATCAGTCCACCACGGTACCACCCTCCTCCTACCACCTCCCTTACTGACTGGAATAGCCACCTCTGCTGCTGCCACTAGCATACTTGTCAGTTCTTTTAGCCCTTCCACCCGGTACATCATACTTCACCTTCGCTCCATTCAGCAACATCAACGCCATTAACTTGCCTTGCTGCGCCCAATTAACAGCAAAAATCAACACTCTCCCATGCCCAACACACCTCGCATCTCTAACATGTCCGGATTCAACACTTTCCTCGTAGGCTCATCGAACACAGCCATAACTTTCCATTCCTCCACCTGCTCTCGCCTCTTATCCCTTTTCATTCTCTCCGCACCCCTCTGGTCATCCCCATCCGACATTGACTCCCTGTCTTTCCTACTACGCTTCTTCTCATTCTTCACCTTCCACTTTTCCTTATTACCCGCATGCATTTCTCCCTCCTCATTGTCCGACCTCTCACTGCCCTCCCGCATATCCACCTCGCTTCCACCCGAACTACCCGCCATGCCAACCTCAGTCACAGCGCAGCTGTGCAATCAACCAGCCGGGCCGCCTGTCGGATCAGTTCTTCTCTGATATGCACGGTCAACTGTGATACCTTTTATATAGACAGGAGTGTGTGCCTTTCTCAATCATGTCCAATCAACTGCATTTAGCACAGGTGGACTCCAATCAAGTTGTAGAAACATCTCAAGGATGATCAGTGGAAACAGGATGCACCTGAGCTAAATTGAGTGTCATGGCAAAGGCTGTGAATACTTATGTACATGTTATGTTTTCGTTCTTTATTTTTAACAGATTTGCAAAGATTTGTAAAAAACAGTTTTCACTTTGTCATTATGGGTTGTTGTGTGTAGAATGTTGAGCAAAATAATGAATTTAATCCATTTTGGAATAAGTGAAGCACTGTGAATACTTTCCGGATTGGGGGGGTGGTGTGTGTGTGTGTGTTCATGGGGCAAAGGGGGAAGCAGAACAATCTGGACACCTAAATTCTTATAACGTGTAAAAGTTATTTGGGGCGACAAGTATAAACAGGCTGGGTGTGACATTGTTTGGATTGGAGGACGAACGACAATTGTACCTGCTTATGTTGGTTATTTAATCTGTGTTGATTTTAACTGGAGCTGGCGGATTCTTTTGATCTTGCACCACTGGCAAAGTATTAAATTGTGCTGGGCCACGTGTTCTGATCAAGGTTTTGACTCCACAGAAACAGAACTCTGGCAGCGTCTTCTAAAAATAAACTGCATTAAAAATAACCACATCCCTCACAGATTCCGTTTGGTAAGCAATGCCCTTTGGTTTCGGTGATGGAACAATAGTGGGGATGTCAACATTTTTATCATCATAAGACCTTTAGCTGAGTCCTTTTTATGGGCCTAACTTTACAGGTTTAGGACATAATCAGAAATAAAATTGAATTGAATCCATTCAATCACAAGATTTTCAATGTGACTTTGTCAAATGGTACAAAAATATAGAAAACATGAAGATAATTGGGGATCAGCTGAGCCTCAAGAGATCAAGAGGATATCCAGCAGAGCTCAGACTGTAAATGTAAATTATAGTGGTTACAATAAACACAACTTGTGTTCTGGGAAATCACCACCAACTGAAGTAACTCATCAAATCCCAAATAGTTCAGTAGCTCCAGAGAGAAAACATATCACCAAGTTTGGCTCGACAGGGTCTGTGGAAATACTTCAGTAGTTTGTATTTATAAGAAGGCATGTGGTTGGAAAAGCACTTGTTTCCTTCTTTAGACGTCCTTACTTAGTCACAGAGGAGACTGATAATCAAAAGTTCTTTTCATGGGCTTAGTCGTGGGTTCGCTGTCTTGTCTTGATTTAAGAGTTAGGTAAGAGGGGAACCAGGAGGTGCCAAGCAGGCAGACACGAGTCTGACAGGATGGGGAGTCAGTTTATGTCCTGGCTGAGGAATGTAAGGTCTGCGGGTCAACTAGAAGATTTACCAGCCAAAGGGGGGTTAGAGACACACCAACACTATTCAACATACACACTCTGTTTACGATGTTTACGTTAAGTCAGGGGTCTGGACATTGGATGTGACCGGATCTTTAGATGCGGGAGGTGGAAGGTCCTCCTCTACGCCAGTTTAGGGCCAATAGAAATATTTCCTTCTCTGTCTTTCAAGGGTTATAAAACAGGATGTTCTTGCTGATGTTAGTGAGTTGTTCTTCCGGCCTGTGTGCTGCCTGAACTGCTCCTGCCTTTGCAAACGCAGCGCTGATACTTGACCTGTGATCTGACAAATAAATTTCCCAGAACGAGAGAAGTCATTCGGCTGAATTTTTGATAACCCCGACCAGGCTCCAAATCTTGAACACGTATTCTTACAAGACGGAACATAGCGCTCTATGGGGGAAGTGCAGCACAACACTCTCAGAGGAGAATAGTAGTGTGGCCTTTTACACTCTAGTCAAGCTTTACATGTCATGTGGTTTTTTTCACTCAGCAGAAGATTTATTAAAAACACACAGTAAAAAAACTGGCAATGCCAAAACATCCAGTCAGTGTAGACGTAGTAAAGGATGAGCCAAGCTTCAACATGAACACACCCATGAAAACGCACATCTAAAGACCCTGTCTTTAGGGTGGAGTAATGTTTATCCTGCTGTGGTTTACAATGTCCTGCTGTTGCCAGATGGTGTGATAACTGAACCTTCCAGTCGCTCTGCTGCCGTAACACTCTGTACGTATATTGTTGTATGTGTACACACTGTATAGACCATGTGAAGTCAAACAAGGTTTTTTCTTCATTGAATATGCATGGAGAGCAATGGTAGGTAAATTGATGGGAGGGAACCCAAGTAAAAGGTAGGGGGCGGAGCTATTTACCGAACTTTGAACTTTGGCGGGCGTGGGGGGTCAAAGAGAACAAACAGCTGACGGACAGGACGCAGCTGATACAGCGTTCAACCGTGCGGAGTAAGGTCCCTGAAGGGCAGCTGCACGTTCTAAAATCCTGCGCAGTTTTGCTACATTTATATTTAACCTTTAGATATAACATTTAACATTTAGATTTTACATTTCCATTTAACATTTATATTATTTAACAATTTTGTGTTACTGCCAAACATTATCCTTGGAAAAGTTATTGCATGAATTTACATACATTTCTCTCTAAATGTTTGTAAAAGTGACATATGAATATTGTCGTGCTTTTTTTGTTCATATGATAATGCTAAATGTAGCAAAGCGGCGCAGGATTTTAGAACGTGCGACATTTTACAAACGGCGCCCCATAGGTAAGGGGGCGATTTGTTGGAGCAGACTAGGGGGGGGGGGCTTTGCTTTGTGAGATATGTGTCGAGCACGGAAAAGGAAAAAGGAAAAGAAATGTGTCTGGTTTGAGGTGAAATCCAGCTCCAGGGGATCTCAGTTCCCTTTCAAGAGGGGAAAATGCACCACCTTAAATAGGAGCACGGGGAAGAACTTAACAGACCATGTAGAGACTGACTATTGCCATACTTCAGGCTTCTGCATAGCTTTAATTCCAGTAAAAAGAAATGAATAACGACAAGCTGAACACTGCATACAATAAAAGGAATGATTTAAAAGAAAACCATGAAAACATTTCAATGGGACAACAAGACTGGGAACTAATGCTTTAACCAACCACTACTACTAGTACAAGTAGAAGCTTCAATAAAACAAAATACAAAACACAAAATAATATAGCAAAAGTGAAGACATTTTAAAAAAAAGTAAAAGAAGGATTGACAACTTTCTATTGGGATGTCCAATCAGTGTTGAAGGTAAATGTAGTTGACTGTAATAATAAGTTCCTCAGTGTGTGACATGGACCGAGAAAGCTGACTTCACGCTCCACAAACTTAGTTACTTTCTGCCTCTTGAGACGTAGTGGGAGGAAAGAACACTACAAACTACTTCAGCTTTTACCGCTCTGTGTAGCCAGTAAGGTGTCGTACTCTAGACCGGCGGGAAGTTGTGTAAATAAAATGGAAAAAAATCCATCAGGGAAGGTTGAAGATCCTTCCTCCAAACAGAACATCACATAATAGCTGGATGTCATGTGTACACTAATTAAAGAGTTTATAATCTAACATACTAACATAATAACTAATATATAATAACACACTAACTACAATTCTAACACTATTCATGATCTCACATATAATCATTACATTTACATTACGCTTTTATCCAAAGCGACTTACATTACATTTTTAACCCATGGTTTTTACATTTTTGCCCGGGGAGGAATTGGGGGTTAGGTGTCTTGCTCAGGGACACTTCGACATAGGACACGGGGCAGCCGGGGCTTCAACCACCAACCTTGCAGTTCCTGGCGCACCCTCTCTACCCCTACACCATGACGACCCTTCCACTATGCGTGGTCTTCTGGTTAAATTCCACTAAACACTCCTACTGCACACACACACACACACACACACACACACACACACACTCACACAGCAAAAAACGAATGGCCACTAACAATCGTGAACTCTTCATAGTTGAGTAGAGAAATTGGCTATTAGCATTAGCATGTAGACCTAATGAAGTCAAATGTATTGCTTCTTAACACGCAGCAAATTAACATTGTGATTGTGATCATGTTTGTATACTTGCATCAGCTAGTACATCTCACATGAACTAACTTAGCTCAGGTAAAGACAGGTTTTATATTAAATACAGAATGAGTACGTTTCCTTCTGTAAACAGTTACAATTTCGATACAAGTGCAACGTTTTACACAATATTTTTGCAGTGTTTGTAACAGAACTTCTTTTTACCTTCATGAACCTTTAATGTCATAAAATCTTCTTTTGCTGACTTTTGAGTAAAAATGAAATGAAAATACGACCAACTAACATTGAGGTTGTAAAGTTGACGTTGTTATTAAGAATATAAATTGAAACAAAGAACCACATGAGATGTGTCATGAAGCAGCCGGGTGGTCGACTCATAGTGGCACAGATTATATTGGACCGATATTCATACTGTTACTACTACATATAAACATACATATATATGCCATTAGGTTCAGGAAACTATAGATGAGAAAATGTAACTGAGATAACGGAACGACATTTGCGAAATACAGACTTCAATCAGAAAGTATGGAAAGAAAGATGATGTTGAAACAAAACACTAGACAGACAACATGTTTTATCTCAGGTAGGTGATCTTAGCTCCTCTGACACAAAGCTACAACGCACACCACTTCTTTCAGTCAACGACAAATCTATCACAACATAATAAATAAAATAATAACCAATAATCAAACAACCAGTAAAAAACTAAACTCATCAAACTCCTTCAGGACGTCGTGGTCCAACAGAAAATGTGTGTAAATGTTTAACTGAATAGTTAATTGAGTGGTGGCCGATCATTTAGAGAACCACCATCATACGTATTAACACACAAAGACAACAAGTCTGCAAACACAAAATAGTGTGCGTTGTTGTCGTTTGTTTAATAATTATACAAACAGTATTTTTGGTTCTACACTATATTCTATGGTAGCCGCAAGTTTGATGCCCTGCAGAACTGTCTTTATATAAGATGTTCACGAAGTCTCAAACAATAGCACTAAAGTGAAATACATTTTTAAAAAGTAGTAAGTAAGTAGTAAGTTTCTTAATTAACTTTGTTTTGTATATTTACACAATATTCTCAGGTTTTCATTCCATAATCTCAAGGTTCTCAATTCAAATTCTTCATGAATACATTGTTGTTCAGTCACCTATTTTCTTTTGGCCGGTAGACATTCTTCATAATCCTTTGTTGTCATCAACAGTTGATGCCGTTGTTGTGAAATCACGTGGTGTCAGCACTGGGTCCTTTGCAGTGAGACAACTGTCTTCTAGATTGTTGCTTCCACGTGTTCCTACAGCAAACAATTTAAGACATTTAATACAAATTAACATGAATCCAACATATTGTAGCAAACGGACAAATTGATGTCCGCAACACACATTCACCTACACACAGCAGCTCTCTCAAGCTGGGCACCGGTTCACTCACAGCTCCTTTCATGCAAATACCACAGCACTGGCACCAGCCAATCAGATCGCATTTATGTTGACATCTAGCGCGAAGCTCAAAAATCAAAGATAGCGGACCAAACTCCGTAGATGGTCGTATTTGTACCTAAAAGTTGTTTGTTGGACTTATTTTGGGTTAGATTTTTTTTAAATACAGAGAAATAGACACGTGTGGCCTGGCCACCCTGTACCTTGCACATGTTAAAAATAAAAATGTTAATGAATATATGAACCTGTGTATCATTTGAATAGCTTAGTATTGAACGCACAATAACATGGTAGCTATGTTTATACATGGCACTAGGCCCAGTATAATATAAACACAATTTCATGCAATTTATATAGTAGGGGGTCCCTGCACCTCGCATACATCTCGCCATCAGTTTGGGGGACCTGGGCCTGACATTTTTTTTTTAGTTGAGGGTTTCTAAACGAATTGGTGATAATAAATGTTATAATTTGAAGGTCATAAAAAAGAACCCAAATTCACATTTTTCTTCTACCTCGGCTCCCAGTGGATGTGATTCTTGGTCCGTCGTCGTCTCTGCACGCAAGTCCTCTCTTGTCCTGTCCCTAATAAACACACAAAAGAAGATGTACAAACTACAAAATATATTTTTATACTCTATACAGCAGGTATATTAAACTTAAGTATGTGCACTACTACTGTTCGGTACATTCGAAATTTCCACATCTTGTAACACAGAGCAGCGACAACGAGAATCATGATGATGATCAAAATCCCAAATGAGGTCCAACAGGCACGGCAGACTTCTGAGGAGAGACAGGACACAAAAAAGAATACGGTGAAAAAGAAAAAAATATACGCTGTACATTGCCAGTTAATCACGTGTACCTACTTAAATGTTGTTTATCCTACTCTATTTTCAGTGGTTTCTCAGCTCCTTTTATCAGATGAAGTCAGACTAGGAGGTTTTACAACCTGATGAAACCTGAAAGAAAAAAATAGTCTTTCTGCCTGCTTTAATGACCAATTTTGCCTTAAAGATGTATTATTAACTGACTGATGAATGATAAATATCCACCTTTAAATTTCAGTGTGCAACTTGGTCATTATTAATTTTGACTTCATTTTTATAGAAGAGAGCCAACGCTCAGGATGGGAGAGTATATACATGCTTTAACTTCTCAGCAGTGATATTCTGAGACGTTCATTATTTATTGTTTAGCTGGCAGCGTTTCCTCTCCAACTGTCTGGGTTGTTGGTAAACCGTCTCAAGCAGCGTTCCTTCCGCTTCTGGATACAAAGACATTCCACAGCCACATGTCATACGTATCAAATGCTCCAGTGTGTCCTGGTTTTCAAACATTTGCTGAGATTCAACTCAAGGCCCTGATATCAGAGCTTCTCCATAGGAGCTCATAGGTTTACCGCCATCGATTATTTAACTGCAATCTCTCTTTTTGTTATTGACAGACAGAAAAATTGAAAACGGAATCAGACTCGAAAATAGAAACACACAAACAGGAACAAAAGAAGAACACTGACATGAAAACTCACATCCAAATATAACTCGACCTCACCAGGAGTCACATTCACATAGATGTAGCTGTGTTTTTTTCCATACAGGTTAGATGCTTCACACTGGTAGAGGCCATTCAGGTCAGAGGTCATGCTCAGAAACCGTAGCGTTGCACCTTCTACTCTGACAGCAGACTGAAGCCTAGAACGGTCGGATCTGAAAAATACAAACAAGACTCAGCAGACAGCTAAAAAAAGACTTAATGAAATAAACCAATAAGGACTCTGAACAATGTTGAGTTGATAAAAGTGGAATGTTCTGATTATTTTTTGCAGCTGTAGCATTGGGAGAGAGGGTGTGAAGAGCCGACCAGTGATGAACATAAACTGTGTCTTAACCTTTGTAGAAAGACAAACAACGTTTAACATGGAAGATAAGTTCTGTTTGGTAAGATTGACCGATTTAAAACTGGTTCATTCAGCTACTGTACCTGCTCCAGGTAAATTGTGCATGTGGGTTGGCTTCAGTCTCACATTCAAATGCATCCTCCGATTTCATGCTGATGTTCACTTCAGTGGGTGGGACTGTGAGAGCGAATGAGGTGTGTTATTGTTATAATAACCACAAATAATATAAATATAATGAGAGAGATCTACAAGGACAAAGACCTTTACAGCTGCTTAGAGCTCCACATTTAACAAAATACTGTGAATATTTATTAAACTTTTATCGTCGTTAGATGTCTGACCCATCAGGGGAAAGAGCTCATTCAGCTAAATAATTTCGTAATATCTGTTTAATAAACTGCATGGAGATATTCGATAGTTTCTGCATCAGTGTTATTTCTCACAGGAAAGATTCCATGGTTCGAGGTCAGAGTGATGCATCACACAGAGATGATAAGAAGCAGTTGAAACTGTAAACACAGGATCCTGTTATGCAAACAAGGTTTCTCACTGGCTCGACACTATCAAAGGTGTCCTGTTTGTATTCAGACATGGAGGGGAACTCCACCCGTAACTGAAGAGCAGGTGTCCCTGAGGGCAGGTGGAGCAAAAACTGCAAAAGACAAAAGGTTTTGTTGTGCTCAAAAAGATATCAGCTTTCTACACTTGCAATAAAAAGGTTTTAGCGTATCATTTAGGCTACTAGAAAATTGCCAGTGCTCATTTGTTTGTTTATTTGCATTGAGTTATCCTCTATTTTTGCAACCAAACTGTCACGGTGTGGTTCACTTCCTGTTGTATTTTGTAGTTTTCTGCCACTCGTGTCTCCCCGGGTAACTTCACTTCCTGCCTTGTCCCGTCATCCCCTGTGATCGTCTAATAGTTTCCACCTGTGTCCAATCACCTGCACCTCCCTTGTGTATTTAAGCCGTGTGTCTCTTGTGTCACTTGTCGCGTCGTTGTCTATCGTCGTGGATGTTCGTAGTTTCCCGCCTGCTGTTTTTCCCCTGGTTCCTGTGTGTTTTTGCCTTTTGACTATTAAAGTCTTTTGTTTTCCGAGAAGTCTGCATTTGAGTCCTGCCTCCCCCACGCATCCTTGACACAAACAACACCATGTAGTTAAAAATAAAACACTAACATGTTTTTCTCTTTTTACAAAACTGAATTTTGTAGTAGTTAATGGTTTAGAGAACTTCAAGTGCAACAAAATTATATTGATTTGAAGGTGTTGAGCTTCACGTAACATTTTATTTCTCTTTAAATGTTAGTGTTATGTGAATATGAGGTGTTCACACAAAACAAATAATAAGCTGTAACTTTGGCGTCATAATGAGGTTATTCAACTGCAGTAAGACGGAACAGAAGACCCAGGTAGGAAATGCACGGCCCCACGCTGATATTTAGCTTGTTTATTGTTTAAATGTCTGTTTTTAATGTTTCAATCAATGTTCTGAAACATTTTCCAATTTTATTTTTGCTTGAGTTTTAAAGTTTTTAGTAGTTTTATGTGAAGCACTTGTTGTTGCTCTACAAATAAACTTGCCTGCATATATGTTAAATCTTAAATGTGTGAGTCAGTAAGAAAACTAGCTGGCGATGCTGCTGTGGTGGCAGGTTCTGTTTGTCTGCAGAGGAAACGGAAAGGGAAGTAGTTCATGAAATGGTGCAGAGGAAGAGAATTAATTGTCTGCTCATGGTGTTTTCTCTCCATGTGTTTAATCGTTAGGACGACCAGAGGAAGAGGAGGAGAAAAATAACATTCCAGTAGGTCTGCATGATGGAGCTCGTACATTCTTGGTTACCAATCGCTGTCGGTGTTTACGGACATTTTTGTGCTCAGAGAACCAACGAGTAACCTGAGCGTGTCAACTGACTTCAGTCCTTCTACACTGGATCAATGACATGGAACACATGTTGCTCTTCCTGGACTGACCAAGTCCTTTGTCTTAATTCTGTCCTCATGTGGCCTTGACCCTTTACTTTCTTTCACAGGAATGTGAAGAAACACTAGCAAGAAAACTACGAGACAAGAGGAGAGGTCATAACAGCATGAATGTCACGAGGAAGAGAACTGTTGATCAGCATCAAGAGCTCACAGATGGTTTGTGCTCATAATATTACAGAAATCTCTCCAGCTCTGTAACTTTGATTAGTCTAAAATAGCTCACAGTAACATCCTGGAACCTCTTCAGCGACAGCAGAGACCCAATCAGCCAAAAACACTGAGAGCACATGTGATGGTGAACATGCAAACATTGTCTTCATCCACAGCTCTTAAACAATTAATTAAAAGGTATTTAATAACTAATAAATTCCTAAACGACAATGATAAAATGCAGAAGATTGCTCCACATTGTAAGTGCGTGGTGAAGCGTGTGTGTACTCACAGTAGATCTGTATGTTGAAAGGCAGCCTCTCCTCTTTTGACAGGGCTGCATTAGTGACGATACACTCGACCAAGTGACCGTGGATTTCTCTGCTCGGCGCTCCAGACAGCGAGCTGACTGTGGTTGTCGTACCGTCGCCATGACGGGTGACGTGAGTTGTTTCTGTCACTTTTTCTGCCAAAGTACCTTTGAGCCAACGCACCTCTGCAGCAGGTTTGGAACCAGCTGCCTTGCATGTAACGAGGGGAACTTCTTCTTCACCCAAAATAGGACGATTATCCTCAAGGCTTGTGAGCGGAGGCACTAGCAGAGTAAGAGCAAGTAAGAGACGTCCACATGTGAGCATGAAGGTCAACACGGTTTCCTCTCACACACATTTATACAATGAAACATACCAAGCACGTTTAGAAGTATCTTCGTCTGGACATTTCCAGAGGGGAACAAAGTGAAGATACACGTGTAAGTGCCTTTATCTCTCAAAGTGATGTTGGAAAACCGTAGCGATCCGTTGTAGTCGCTAACGTCCCCAAAAAATTCAAATCGTTTATCCTCTCCGTTGACGAATTTCATTCCAGTAATGGGTTTAATCAAAATGAAATTTTCCTCCTCAGGCTCCTTCCTCCATGCGATCTGGGTGAGGGAGTCCTTAGCGTTGATGAGTTTGCACGGCAAGATGGCCGTCCCTCCTTGCTCTGCGTTCACGTTTCCTCCAATCACCTGGGGAGCTGTAAGGTAAATAAAATCACATCAAGAATCAGATTCCCAGTTAGGAAACACAAACGAGTTTGTTTCATTTTGGAGATTATGGTGAACAATGTGTTTAGGATCCACGGATTCCCCCAAGACATTGTGTCGGATTGGGGACACCAATTCGCCTCACGGTTCTGTAAGGAGTTCTGTAAGCTCATTGGAACCTCCGCTAGCTTCACATCTGGATACCTTCCTTGCCCTTCCTCGTGTGTCACCAGTCTGATTGTCTTTGTGTCCACCTGTTCCCACACATGTGTTCTTGTAGCGTCTCCCCTTGTCTTGTGCCAGTGTGTCCTTTTGTCTTGCGCACCCGCCTCATGCTAGTATCAAGTCCAAGTTGTACCGCATTTTCCGCACTTTAAGGGTAATTCAGGGTAGTAGTCGCTCTGTGTTCGCTGGTCGTGCACGGTAAAAGGACAAGAAAAACGCCGGGTGACGCGCGCACATAATTAGGAGAAAATCCAGTCAATGTTCAAAGGCCCTGCCTCCCGTCATCATGAGCGGGGAGCAAAGCTGTTGCTTCACTGAATAGGCCTATATGCTTAATCAATTATTTTATTATTATTTTAAGTCATGAAAGGTGTAGAGTAGCCTCTAAGCGTTAGAAAACAAGTCAGTTCTCAATGTAAAAACAAAACATGCTGTGCATGCATATGCATGAGTGTTCCTTTAACTTATGTTGTCAGTGTAATTGACAGGCTGCTAAACTGGTTAACTCTTAAATTCAACATATTGTTTCAGGCAGTGAGAGGACAGGCAATGATGCAGAGAGCACAGGGAGAGGAGAAACACAGAGGAGCCATGAACCCCAGAACGCGTGTTCTGGGGTTCATGGCTCCTCTGCAAGGCAGGACCTGACGTGGAGGACAAGGAGGCCCTCTGGGCACTACTGTAAAAAGGAGACTCCGTATGTAGATAGTTCTTTGTGTTGTTTTGACATACTTTTCTTTACTGTTTTCTTAAATTTAATAAACTCCAAACTACTAACACATGTATTCATTGTCATTGATTGTATATGACTTTTACTGATAACATAATGCAATATAGCCAGGACAGCCTTACAGAGTCGCAACGCTTTGTGTTGCGTTGCTTCGCATCGCGTCGAGGTCTGTATGATCACAAAATTCAGAGTTTACCCACCTCTAATTTTACCACTACAGCACTGGGTGCGCCCTGTGCATGTGTGTTACCCTCATCTTAACCTTCTTCTTATCTCAACTCGGTTTGCAACTTCGTGTACCTGCCCCTGAGAATGGCCTTCCTATGTGTATAAAAACTCAGCGTTTTTACTGCATCTCCACAGAGGACTGTAATACGTGCTCGTGTATTTGGCCTCCTGCTTAATAGCAATAAATGGACTTTTTGCAACTTTGATCATTGATCAACAAGTTTTATTGAAATATTCCACAACAAAAGGCCCAAATAAGAATAGTAAAACACAACTACATGTTGCTTTGCAGTTCAGTGTGTCGGCTACAATGAACAGAGGAAGGTTTGTCGGTTTTCACTGCGTTATATTTCCCGTTATTACTTTACTGTTCAGTACTGTAACTAATGTACCGCAACAAAATAATCTTTAGTTTCTATTTTTCATCATATTTACCACGCTAGACTTTCTTAACAGATTTAAAGATCCTTGTGGGAAAGAAAGAAAATAAAATACAAAGAAGTTGAAGAACGTCATCGTTATCGTCATCATTTCCTCGACGTTGTTTGTTTAAAGAAAAACATTTATCAAAGCTTACATACCTTCTACATGTGTGCTCAGGATGAAAGTAGTCCAAACTAAAAGCCTCGCGGTAAAAAACGAGTCATCCATTACTTCATATACAGTGAATGATGAAGTCACACAGCGAGCTGCGAGCTGCTCGCATCTTCCTCTTCATCGCACTTTTGGGCGTTTTACAAACCCAACAATTCACTAGCGCCACCAACTGGTTCTTATTAGGATGTTTAACACTTCTAATAGTAAAGAGCTCATAGATTCTTTATCAATATTACTTTCGACTTTCTAACGTGTAAGAATACGTGTTCAAGATTTGGAGCCTGGTCGGGGTTATCAAAAATTCAGCCGAATGACTTCTCTCGTTCTGGGAAATTTATTTGTCAGATCACAGGTCAAGTATCAGCGCTGCGTTTGCAAAGGCAGGAGCAGTTCCGGCAGCACACAGGCCGGAAGAACAACTCACTAACATCAGCAAGAACATCCTGTTTTATAACCCTTGAAAGACAGAGAAGGAAATATTTCTATTGGCCCTAAACTGGCGTAGAGGAGGACCTTCCACCTCCCGCATCTAAAGATCCGGTCACATCCAATGTCCAGACCCCTGACTTAACGTAAACATCGTAAACAGAGTGTGTATGTTGAATAGTGTTGGTGTGTCTCTAACCCCCCCTTGGCTGGTAAATCTTCTAGTTGACCCGCAGACCTTACATTCCTCAGCCAGGACACAAACTGACTCCCCATCCTGTCAGACTCGTGTCTGCCTGCTTGGCACATCCTGCTTCCCCCCTTACCTAACGCTTAAATCAAGACAAGACAGCAAACCCCCGACTAAGCCCATGAAAAGAACTTTTGATTATCAATTCCCCCTTTTTACATAATTCATTATGTAAACCAAAAAAATCAAAAGAAACCACTAATCTAAACGCTAAAAATCTATATCAGTGAATACGGGTGAATGCAGCAGTCATGGAAATCCCTAAACAGTACAAAAAATCTAAACCGAGTATAGAGCTTCCATAGTTTCTCTCTCGGTGTGAAGGAGGGAAACCGGAGCTTCTTCCTTCCTGCTGCTGTCACACTTAAAGATCAACACTTCTTAGTAGATCTGTTCAATATCCTCTGCTAAACATTATCTAAAATTACCTGTCATTCATGATGGAAGACATAAAAGTTAGTAGGAAGTATAAAAGAAATATCATATATTTTTACATTATTATTACATTACTGTCCCATTTATATTTAAACCATTTCAAGCCGTTACACACTCTCGCTTTACAGTAAAAGTCTTTTAACTCAAAAACATATAAAATCCAGATGGTAAACTTATTATTTAATTTCATTTAGGAAGATAAGCGTTATCTTCGGAGCATTTATTTCAGGCTGAAAGAAAAACATTTTGCGTTCATTTAAAAATAAATAAAAAATAGCTGCGTGTTCTTTTAGCTAAAAGTAATCTATCAATCCTAAAACAGAGAAGATTTATCAAGACAGTCAATTAAAAACCACTGCAGAGAAGAAAACATGTTTATTCATTTGTAGCAACACAGACTTTGTATTTTATGCATAAAGGATAAAAACCCTTTATGGCCCAACATATCCCAAGACGCTCAGCGGGCGATTACAATTTTCTCATTTTATTAATTATTGGCGACAGGTGAGCACGCAGCTGGAGAAGAGAGAACATTTTTGTTTAAAAGAAAGAAAAGGGTTTCAAATCGCTTCACAGAAGAGCAAAAAACAAAGGGAGGATTTACCTTCATCAATTAACCTTTAAAACCTTTAACCACTTCCTGGTTTCCCTGAACAGAAAAACATCCACAAGCAGACATAAAGACGCAGGTGGGGGTCGGTTGGCACACTAATGTATCAACACCAAATTACCTTTAATAGTAATTACAATAAATTGTTACCTGAACAGATTCCAGTTCTGCAAGCAATTTGTCAAGTTCTTTGGGCCCGGACCAGAACGTATAAGCACAGTTTGTCTTAATTCTGCCTCAGTGGGACGTTTGGGACACATTCTGAGCCATAAAGATATGTTTATTGAAACACTTGTCCAAATGTTGCACCCAACGCCGCTCTTCCCTACAAGACGACACTGATGTCAAACAAGGATCAAATCTTCAATGTTGCAGATGAGATTATTGAACACACATTGTCCAGAAAGGTTTGTTCTTCAGGGACAGTTTGTCTCCATGTCTCCCACTGCTTGAGGGAAACTGACTGACCAGAATTTTAATGCTCATATCTCCCTTTTTGTTTTATTTCTATTTTTATTTCTTCTTTAGGAATAATCATTTCAGAGAGCTCAGTATTAGCTCAGCAGGTTTGTGTGAAGATAAGGATGGACTGAAGGAAGTTGTACTCATAAGCTCTTTATTTCTAAACGTTTGTCATTTTTCATGCAGTTGATGTTTTGTGTGGATGGAATGTGTCGCTCTTCCCAGCATATTTTAGGGTTCCACTGCGCGTCGGGCCTAACACCCCCGAACTGTGACATTATTGGATGTTAAAGTACAGCCTCTAATGCTCATATCTCCATTTTTGTTTTATTTCTATTTTGCTTTCTTTCTTCAAGAATAATCATTTGAGACAGTTCTGCACTATAAGCCATTTCCTCGTTGTTCTTTGATTCCACACGTTGCTGCGGTGGGTTTTTTGCAATAATTCATCAACTTCATTTCAAATCTCCATGACGCAATAGAAACATACTAGGGAAGAAGATTATTATTATTATTATTATTAGAAGAACATTATCATAGAATTCAGTGAATGTAGAACATACAGAAATGTCCAGCGATGTAACTGTCACACTACGATCACACAATGTGCACAGATGGTGACGAGGAAGTCATTGTCCACAAAGATGAAGAGGAAAGGACTTGTGTTTATAAACTGCTTCAAAATGAAGCCATAAATAGTGAATAAAACACATACAATGTGTAACTTTTGTCATGAAAATTACTACTACAACACTTTCCACACACAGCAATGAATGAAAACTATTACTCACCTGCAGAGACAAACAGCTGTGATGAAGAAACTAAGAAGAGATCCAGTTGCAGTTGTGATATATAACCACAAATAACTGAATTCTGCACAAAATCACATGTGAATTAATGTAGGTACAGTTTCAGGTTTGAAATGCAGTGTGTCTGTAGAGGTGAATAGTTTTGTGCTCTACTTACCTTCATGTTCCTCAGACACCGTTACATTCCACTCAATACTCCATGTACCTTTATAGTCATATAAAGTACATCTGTAGATTCCTCGATCGTCAGGCTGAACGTTTGAAATATTCATCTTTGAGGGGAAGTTTGTGTCTATTGTCAGTCGGTGTGAAGTGAAATTTGAAACATTCTTATTTAATGAGACTTGAAACACAAAAGATAATCTGTCTTTGGTCCACTGGATTTGCGATACTTTTGTCTTGGACACGTTGCAGGTGAAGGTGACGGACTCTCCTCTGTACACCGATATATTCCTCTGCTCAACTGCATTACTATCTAACATTGAAAGAAACAACCAATCAATACAAATACAATCTGTGATTAAATGTACAGGTTTAACATGAATAACAAACACAAATGTCCTCTGTACCTGCAGAGACTTGGCACATCGTGAACAGTGTGATGGAGAGAAGAGCTGCTTGGTTCAGGTGGAACATGATGACCATCAGACAGAGAAAGAACGACTGCAAGTTTAACACCTCGATGTATTTGTGGAGGAGGCGCAGAGAAAAGGAAGTGGTTAGTTGTCATTTTGTTTAGTTTAAGTTATTCATTAGTATGTATCTTTTTGCTCTCAGGATAATAAATACCACTATTAAAGTAGTACAGGGCGGCTTGTTCTTGTTGTGTCAACATAGTTTTCTTCTCTTCCAATACAATCAAACAATTTAAAAACAAGCATCTCAGGTCAAATTGGTTATCTGTATCTTCGTGTTAGCCTAGTTTATGCTTCTGCGTTTTCAGAGCGACGCAGACGCAAGACCCCCTTGCGTGTCCCCTGGGTGCCTTTTCACACCTCCTTGCGTCCTTGCGTGCGTCGACCCATCCCGCAGCGCACCAGGCTGCGATTGGTCCGCTAACTACGTCCTTTACGGAGTCTCACATTTCCGCTTTCATAGCCCGATAGCGCCATTATTAAAACGAAGAATGTTTACGAGAGAACGGAGCAGATTTAAGAACTTCTGTCGGAGTAAATGCGCAAATATGACCCCTTCTACAAGCCGCGGCTTGTAGAAGGGTTGGATTCACGGAGGGAGATCGCCGCAAACGCCGGTTTGCCGGTCGAGAGGAACAAAGTTGTGGAGGAAAATACGGGACAAATGTGTCCGCGATAAAAGCAGCAGTGGCGATGCACGGGGCAATAAAGTCTGTGATAAATAAATAAATAGACGTGACTCTGTAGTTCGTCTTCAAAACACGTCACTCCGCCTGTTGTTCTGGCGGTGAATTGCTCTGCAACACACGCAGAACCGTGAATTGAAACGAGTGCGTCAACGCAGACGCAGATGCATGCGCCAGCCTTTAGTCTGAATCTGTTCAGGGTGCACACTATTTTTAACTGGGATTCGCTCGTTGCAACTTTAATTAAACGTAATTTTTTGGAATTTGAAACAGTCAAGAGATCTCCTTTTGGTCCATTGATTTGCATTATGTCAGTCTTGGAAATGTTCCAGCCGAAGATAAGAGTCTCCTCCAGACAACATTATATTCCTGTGCTCATCAATCTCTAACATTTGAGGAAACAAGCATCAGTGCAGAATATAATACATGTATTTAATTAACAAAAAAGATATCAGGAAAACCACCTATGAGACATTGAAGCTCTCAGCCACAGTGTGACCAGACTGCTGAGTGTTCTTTCAGCGCGTGTTGAATAGTTTTAATTGCTAATAAGAAGCAGAATACTTGCTACATGTGTGTTTCCCCAACAGAGTTCACAGCTTTTACTTTGAAATACTTTTACAACCACACGTCACCTCACAAATACATAAAATACTTTCTCTCTGCAGATAACCTCAAGATGTCTCCTCTTCAAAGATTCAAGATTCAAAGATTTTGTTATTTACACACCGTTTACACCCTGTGTATTGAAATTCTTGTGCTGGCCTTTCCGGAAAACCGACCAATTTTAAAATAAAATAAAAATAAGAATAAGAATACAATATTTACATAAATGTACCTCTTGGTCACAAAGTGCTTAAACCAAAGACATTCTAACAATCTCACTGTTTACTCTTCAGTGTGCTCGCATACTATGACTATAAATCATATCAGCAACACACACTCAGAGACGCCACTGAAATGATCAGAGATAAACCTGTGCTGAGGTCTCTGAATGTGATGCACTTTGTTTGAAAGGACCTTGTGTAATTCTCTCATGAGACACTAGAGGGCACCGACCCCCAACTGAAGCCTGTTAAACTCACATCTTTGCCTTAACAATAAACCACAAACATGGAAACATTCAACACATCACACAACAGATAAACCATTATGAACATTAGGAAACACAAAGAGAAGCATAAATACACAAGTGGAAACACAGTCCTTGAAGTGACCTACTGGTTTTAATGTAATAACGCACAAAGGAATCGGTGTGATTGACGTCCTCTGAAGCTCTTGGTTTCTTGTCTCTTGTTTAACGCTCATTGAAATGTGTCGTCAGCTCAGTGGAGCCCATAGATTGAATTGAGCCTCTCTGTGTACTGACTCCGCCGCTTGTTGTTGGTTCCACTGGCTGTGCCGGCCTGCGGTGGATTGAGGGTCGTCTAAGGAGGAAGGAAGTGAAGAATGTAAGTTCAACGCCGTAGCAGAGACAGGAAAGGAAAGAGGACGACAAAGTTCTTCTGACCTCTCCTGCTGAGTGGAGAGGAAACTGGTCGTGACTCTGGTTTGATTTTCTGGCTCTGATTTTTCTGAAAAGATCAAGTTCAAAGTTAAATACAGTCAGTGATGGAATGAGTACTCTTATTCTTTACTTTAGTTCTTTACTTTAAGTACTATTGGTACAATCTTGAATGACTTTGTGAAAGTACAGAAATACTTTCAGTATGATGTACTTAATCAACACATCACAAGTCAAAGTCCTCGTTCTTAGAAATTAGGCCCAGTGCTGTGTTCCTATGAAGAATCAAACAATATCACAGATAACAATAACAATCGATGGTCGATGTCAACGTCGATGGTGGCACAGGGGCAGAGAGGGTGGGCCGGGAACCGCAAGGTTGGCGGCGCCCCGGCTGCTCCATGTCCCATGTCGAAGTGTCCCTGAGCAAGACACCTAACCCCTCATTGCTCCCCGGGAAAAAATGTAAAAATCCATGGGTTAAAAATGCAATGCAAGTCGCTTTGGATAAAAGCGTCAGCTAAAATGACCTGTAATGTAATGTAACAAAAAGCTGTGACTGACTTTAAGAAACTTTTTATTTTTCATATTTTGTAATGCATTACTGATTGCAATAATTATTATAGTTATAAGTACTCACATCTATTGATCCTTACTTACTAGTAATACTGTTTTGTTTGTAAATCTCTATTGTCTGTTCATGTTTCATTTTGATCATTTTTCTGTACATTTTATGTCCAAATTTAAAGTCTTCAGCTCTACCAGCTAACAAAAACTTAATTGTTGAGAAATGGGGATAACTACAGGACAGTATCAAACATAAGACTACAAACCTTCAACATGTCCTTGAGTCACAGGTTTGTCTTTGTCGTCTTTGATAACATGTTTCCTCATTCATTCAGGAAACGCTTCTAACTTCAGATTATAGTTAGTGGGGGGAAAGCTGTTTATATATTTGGAATAGTTATACTAATAGTATCTGTATTGAGTTCAAAGCTACTTGAGTTGGTATGCAAAAATGGTAAATAAGTAATCATTTAAACGACATGAGCTTAGTTTCCCAAAGTGGAGGCAATGACCTTCTTTCATGTGTATCACTTAATTTCTGCCCCTTTTGTATCTTCCACTGTGAACCAAAGTCACACGACCAAACTCCACCATGAATCTCTTTAATCCTCCCAACTGAGTACCTGCAAACACCAGAGGTGCACATGGCTTCTCTATCATACCTATATGTTTTCATTAGCTAGGTGTGATTCTTAACTGCTGTATGTACATCATGACCTTACGTCAGGACGAACACAATGCCACGAGCATCACAAAGAGCTTTTTTGATTTTTCATGGCATGACACCAATAGGTCAGGAATTTAAATCCACCTCAGTTTCCAGAACAGACGACAGATCTGCTTCAGGAATGAGAAAGATTCTCGCAACGATGAAGAGGAAAGGACTTGTGTATGTGTGTATGTGTATAAACTGCTTCAAAATGAAGCCATAAACAGTGAATAAAACACATACAATGTGTAACTTCTGTCATGATAATTACTACTACTCCACTTTCCACACACAGCAATGAATGAAAACTATTACTCACCTGTAGAGACAAACAGCTGTGATGAAGAAACTAAGAAGAGATCCAGTTGCAGTTGTGATATATAACCACAAATAACTGAATTCTGCACAAAATCACATGTGAATTAATGTAGGTACAGTTTCAGGTTTGAAATGCAGTGTGTCTGTAGGTGAATAGTTTTGTGCTCTACTTACCTTCATGTTCCTCAGACACCGTTACATTCCACTCAATACTCCTCGTACCTTTCTCGTCATATAAAGTACATCTGTAGATTTCTGAATCGTTATGCTGAACGTTTGAAATATTCATCTTTGAGGGGAAGTTTGTGTCTATTGTCAGTCGGTGTGATGTGAAATTTGAAAAGGTCTGATTTAATGAGACTTCAAACACAAAAGACGATCCGCCTTTGGTCCACCGGATTTGCGATACTTTTGTCTTGGACACGTTGCAGGTGAAGGTGACGGACTCTCCTCTGTACACCGATATATTCCTCTGCTCAACTGCATTACTATCTAACATTGAAAGAAACAACCAATCAATACAAATACAATCTGTAATTAAATGTAGAGAATGAACACAAATAACAAACACAAATGTCCTCTGTACCTGCAGAGACTTGGACCATCGTGAACAGTGTGATGGAGAGAAGAGCTGCTTGGTTCAGGTGGAACATGATGACCATCAGACAGAGAAAGAACGACTGCAAGTTCAACACCTCGATGTATTTGTGGAGGAGGCGCAGAGAAAAGGAAGTGGTTAGTTGTTAGTTCGGCTGCTCACAGCTCAGCTTTGTGCTGTAAGTCAGAGGAAAAAAGAGACATTAAGTCAACGTGGGAACCAAACAATTAGAATGCTGAGGAACAAACTCCAATAAATATATTATAAGTAATCACTTTCCTCAATTTATTTTCCTCAATCTGGTCATAAACAGAATATAAGCGTCAGGGGAAAAAAGCAGGACTCAAACGCAGTGTTTCTTTAGAAACAAAAGGAACTTTAATAGTCAAAAAAGGTTTTCAAAATCATAAGGCCAAAAACGAAGGCAGGAACAGGCACGTGGACAGGACTTCCAAACAGTTAATGACATGACAAGTGACACATGGCTTGAATACATTAGGGAGGTGCAGGTGATTGGACACAAGTGGAAACGATCAGACAATCACAGACGATGACAGGACCAGGCAGGAAGTGAAGTTACCCAGGGAGACACGAAGCAGAAACCACAAAATGAGACAGGAAATAAACCACACCGTGACAGTACCCCCCCCCCTCCCCCCTCAAGGGCCAAATTACAGACGGCTCAAACTGGCAGAGAGCGGACAAGGGGCGGGAGGGAGGGAATCCAGCGACATTGGTCGGACTGCACGGCAAACTCTGGCGGGCGGCCCGGGGGGCGGTCAGCAGCCGACTGCAGGGCACTGAACGCCACCGAAGGCATGAAACCTGGAGTGGACTGGAGTCTCGGGGCCAGTACTGGCGGGGTCAGGGCCTGGAGTCTCGGGGCCAGATCAGGAGGTCGTTGCGGCCCAGCGCGGGACTTGGTGCGCTGCGGCCCAGCGTGGAGGGAGTAGGTGGCCTGGAGTTGGGCCGCCAGTTCAAGCACCCGCTCACAGTGTGACCCGGGAACTGGAGACCAGGAGATGGCCTCCACCTCCGGAGGCAGCAAAAAAATCAAAAAAGTTTTTCAAAATCAAAAGGCCAAAAGCAAAGGCAGAAACAGGAACCAGGATCGGGCACATGGACAGGACTTCCAAACCGTTAACAATGACGCGACAAGTGACACAAGAGACACACGGGTTAAATACACTGGGGAGGTGCAGGTGATTGGACACAGGTGGAAACGATTAGACGATCACAGGGGATGACAGGACCAGGCAGGAAGTGAAGTTACCCGGGGAGACACGAAGCAGAAACCTCAAAATAAGACAGGAAATAAACCACACCGTGACAGTAAGAAACACACATGAAATGCTCAACTGCAGGAAAACCACTTCTTTGAGACACATCGTGACTCTAAACTACTGAGCGCCTTCACATAAGTGATGGATGCTAATAGAAATAACCAGGGCTTGATGATGAAACTCTGATGGTGCTCAATGCCAAATAAAACCACATATATTATAGCAGTGTGAAAACCCAGCTGTTAATTGACTTTCACAAATGTGTAAAATATCAAGTGAATGTTGACTTTAATGGGAGAACTATAACCTGAATGGTTGTAGATAAGCAGCAAAGTAAATCTAAATAGTTAATATTTTGGTAAATAGCAAGTGATGAAAGCAACACATTTGAGATTCTTTGTCCGTACAGAATTGCTAGAATTGAGGCAAACTCATCTAGATGTTAAGAGAAGATTTGCTAGATTACAGTTATTCAAGCAAGATTTAACATTTCAAGTCAATAACCATCAAGTTATTGACTTGAAATTGCCATGTTTACCTGCAGACCACATCATATCTAGATGATGACGGTACAGAAGTCTGTAACTATTCTAAAACAAAATAACACATTCATTTCCTTGGAATGACTCATGTAATGCTAAAATATAATGAGTATAAGTAGTAGTAATAGTAATAATAATAGTAAATCTGTGTTGCTCTCAAACATTAAGAAGAAGCTTGCCACTGCCTGTCCATACTGCCTGTTGCAGACCTCTTCTTCCTTGCAAGAAATAAACGGAAAATACAACTTTGTTTCACAAGAGACTTTATAACAGTCTCCGAGTCTCGATTGCATGAGAAAATCTTCCACAACACTCACACACTCTGCAGAATGTCAACAGGAACAGGAAACTCACACGTGTCAAAGGTGTCAGAGGTGGACAGGCTTCATATACTCAACAGTAAACTTCATAAATATAGAGCACTTTCGATCACAAATATGTCACAAGCTGTCACTCGCATCGATGAGGTTTTAATTAATCAGGTTATGCCTTCTGTTTAGATTTTTTCTTTGATTTCAGCAAGGGCTACATAAAGCATGACAAAGGCCAGGCCATGTATTCCCCAGTCTTTTCAAAGGAGAGTTTATCATATGTAGGGACAGAGAACCACTGGCGTTGGTGAATAGTGAGTAAATAGCTGAGCAGGAGCTTTAGTCGTACTGTTTATCAGCAGAGGCTGCTGTGATTATTTCTTTCTTCTCCTCTTATGCATAAAGGAGTATGACAAAAATGTGTGTGTGAGGTACAAAAATATCATATGTTGTATAATTTATTTTATCACTCTATTACCATGAATACAATGAAATATGCAATACAATAAAAATTGATGCAATGGAGTTACACTGTAAATCTCATATGCTATAAAGTGTTCAAGCTGTCTCTCTCTCTCTCTCTCTCTCTCTCTCTCTCTCTCTCTCTCTCTCTCTCTCTCTCTCACACACACACAAGGAGGGGCCTGTGGAGCAGAATGGGATCATGGGTTGAAGATCTATTTAGATGGCACAGGTTTGTAAGGTCTGCAGAGGCCGGGTGTCCCAAAAAAACAGATGCAAACACAAAACACGAGTGCTTTGTGTTTGCATGTTCACGCCCACAGATTGTTTTGTGTCTAAATGCCAAGTTATTAATGATGTCTACAGTAATGGCGATCAGCAGGTGTCTATAAGTCATATTCACAGGAGACATTGCTGCAGGCTCATATGATTCCATTAATGTATAAAAAAGTAATCTTCAAATCATTTGTCTTTAACACTTTAACACTGAACCATGATTCCCATAAATTAGCTGGTTTCATTGCATTCGCTTCTTCCTGCTCTGCAATATTTGCAACTAGTGAAACATGAGGTCACATACATGTTATGAGCACTACAGAGTGAAAGAGGGCTTCTTATGCGTGACCACGTTTTCAGATTCTACACGGCTCGCCCACACACAAACACACATACAGGAAGCCTCAAGAATACATCCTTGTTGAGACAAGAGCCCTTAAAGGGGCCCAAAGCCTCAGAGACAAACCCTGAATCACACTTCGTACCCAACAGAGGAAGAGTTATGTAAAAAAAAAAGTGATTGAAGGATATTTCAGGAGCAAAAGAAAGCAGAATTTGAACCCTGGCAGAACACACACATTTAAACCAGTAGTATCAGAGACGGCTCAGAGGGGAAATGCGTATTGTTTGTCCGGCGTTGCAGCCAGAGGACAGATTATCAACCAGTTTGTCTGATTAAATATTCATCGTCTCGTGGCTGCATGCAGAACATGTGAAAGCAAATCTGCACTAAATGTGTGTCCTTTTGTCTAAGTCTGTGTTTAACATTTCACGCACATCTGTGTGTGCTTGAGTGTGTTTCTCTGTGTGCTGATGCCCACAAGAGAGGAGACAAAAGATTGTTAAAACTGAGCGTGTGACAGGATGACCCGTGTATCAGCTTTGCATTACATAATAATCAAGCTGCAGTCAGAAATATGCTGCCCTCAATTTGTGTGCATTTTTTAGAAAGGAGGTGGACATGAAGAGGAAAAAAAGTGTACTGAATTGTGTGTCGGTGGTTAGGAAACAGATAGATGGCGTCCAGAGTCTAGCACCCTGAGTGCTGCGTGTGGTTAAGCGCTGTAAGACCGTGGTTTCAGTTAAATGTGATGAAACCTGTTCCTACTGCGTCTACTTACTTTTGACTTGATGTGTAAAGGAAAAAAAAAGAGTAACAAAAATGAAAATCGGTCTCTGGCTTTTTGTGGCTCCCAAATTACCCACAATGCAACTATGTTTCCAAGCATCCTGCGAAAACCAATCTGGCAGTCGTAACAAAAAACTCTATATGTCAGTCTTTAGGTTGTAAACTGGAAACACGGATAACTGACCTAAAAAGCGCCGTAGGTGTTGCAGCAACCTGCCAATCTAAAGCCAAGCTCAGGAGAATACCCTGCACGGTACATGTTACTCTAATTAACATCTTTTAACAAATTAACATCATACTTTATTGAATAATTCTTGAACATAGCAAGTGAGCAATCATAAACTCCTGTTAACAATGTATTTTCTGAAAGTGGGTTTTCTTTGCTTGCTTGTATGTTGTGTTGTGGGTCTCTCTCCCCCCGCTGTGCTGCAGGTGAGCTCTGCTGAGGGATGAAGCTGCAAGTGGAAGGAGCCAGACTCTCCTCTCTGTGCACAAAGACAGGCAGCATGTTCTCTGTCAAATATTCTGTCAAGTGGCACAAAGCTTTGAACAGGAAAAGTTTCACTTGTCATGTTGCACCAGGCTTTCCCCGGGGTGAGTTGCAACATCATAGACCTCAATGCAACCATGCTTCTTTTGCAAAGGAGTGAGAACGTTTGAGGCACTTCTGCTTTCGTTTTCAAAAAGAATAATATTAGCCTTTGGAATGGTTAAGTCATGCTCAGAATCATAAGAACGTGTAAATGGTAGTAAATGTCATCACGTTGGAAAACAAACTTATTTGGTTTGGTTCAGCTGTTAAAGTTGACGTATTTGCTTGAATACTTGGATATTTCCCAAATCACGACTGCATAAAATGTTTATACATGGACGCGTGAACACACCTGTACGTATACAAAAGGAGCTTTACTAAGAGTGTAAAGCTCCTTTTGTATGAAAAGACAAAGAGTAGCTCACTGCATATAACTGGTGCAGAGGTACTTTGTTGTCTTGTCGGCTTTTGACTAACTGACGGAAACTTTATGGTCCTTCATCGTTTCCACTGTGAAATTGCTCGTCCCAACAAAAAGAGACCCCTTAACATTTCACCTCTGGACGTCCTACAATCAGTGAAATACATCATTTTCTTGACTGGATCATAAACCAGCCTTTCTCGGCTGGACCTTTACTTTTCTTTGTCTCCTCTTCATGTTTTGGTTTCATCGCCAGTTTTTCTCTTTTGTGTGTGTCTTGTGCCCCCACATCCTCGCGTTGCACTGAGCAAGTTTATTCACGCGTCCATGTTGCTTAGTAACCAGCGTACGGTGGCCGAGAGGGGGAAACGACACGTGCACAATACATTGTTAGCAGGACACGACAAGTTGTTTTGCATTTCCTTCTCAGAGTGTGACGTGTGAACTGGTTAAGATGCGTGTGTGTGAGAAGCCTGTAATGAGTTTATGCTTTTAGTAAACGAGCAGGCGGATCCACGTGGGGCGAACAGTCCTGGCTGTTAAACGGGTCTTCATCCGGCGGCGCTGAACTCTCTGAAGCGGATTCAGCATGCTAGCTAAGCTAAGTTATGCTATGCTATGCTAAGCTAAGCTAATGAAGTGCGCACTCACATCGTCGCATGACATCACCGTGGCCACCAACATGACCAAGCGTTCAGGATTCATGGAAAAAAGCAACTATCAAAAGGTACACGGACCTGTATGCTGTTCAACAATATATATATATATATATATATATATATATATATATATATTGTATATACTGTTCAGTACTGTTATACTGTTCAACTATATATACTGTTCAACAATATATATATATATATATATATATATATATATAGAATATATATATATATATTGTTGAACAGCATACAGGTCCGTATATATATATATATATATATATATATACCCTCAAACGCAGCATGTTTTTATCTTTTTCCAGTTTAGGCTTGTGAGATATTCTGCTGGTGTGAATCCGTCAATGTGTTTCAAGAATCTGATTCTTGATGTGATTTTATTTACCTTACAGCTCACCAGGTGATTGGAGGAAACGCGAATGTGGTACAAGGAGGGACGACAAATATTTGAAAACCGTTTGATGGTGGTTCTCTAAATGATGCATTAATCCTTAACCTGTTAACAAGAACAGAAATGAGCCACCACTCAATTAACTATTCAGTTAAACATTTACACACATTTTCTGTTGGACTACGACGTCCTGAAGGAGTCTGATGAGTTTAGTTTTTTACTGGTTGTTTGATTATTGGTTATTATTTTATTTATTATGTTGTGATAGATTTGTCGTTGACTCAAAGAAGTGGTGTGCGTTGTAGCTTTGTGTCAGAGGAGCTAAGATCACCTACCTGAGATAAAACACGGTGTCTGTCTAGTGTTTTGTTTCAACATCATCTTTCTTTCCATACTTTCTGATTGAAGTCTGTATTTCGCAAATGTCGTTCCGTTATCTCAGTTACATTTTCTCATGTATAGTTTCCTGAATCTAATGGCATACATATGTATGTTTATATGTAGACACACGTATGTATGTATTTAAGTTTGAGGAGCTTCATAACTGGTGCAGGTGTGTTACAGTATGAATATCGGTCCAATATAATCTGTGCCACTATGAGTCGACCACCCGGCTGCTTCATCTCACATCTCATGTGGTTCATATTCTAATAACAAAGCCACCGTTCCAACCTCAGTGTTAATCAGTCATGTTTTCATTTCATTTGAACTCGAAAGTCACCAAAAGAGGATTTTATCACATTCAAAGTTAGTGAATATAAAATGGTTCTTTGTTACAAACACAAAAATATTTGTGCAAGTGCATAAAAAGTTGCACATGTGTTAAAAACTTAACCGTTTACAGAAGGTGACCTTACCTATGACTTATTTAAGATAAAGCCTCATATTTTAAGCTGAGCCAAGTTTGTTCATGCTGGCAGCTACGTGAGATGTACTAAATAATGATGCAAGTATGCGAACATGATCAGAAACACAATGTTATTATGCTGCTTGGTACGAAATGATCTTTAACATATTCACCATCTTACTTAATTACATCAATATGCTAGAATTTGAAAACCACTAGCAAATAAAAGTAATATAATATAGATGTAAATATGTGTGTGTGTGTGTGTGTGTGTGTGTGTGTGTGTGTGTGTGTGTGTGTGTGTGCAGTAGTAGTGGGAGTGTTTAGTGGAATTCAAGCAGAAGAGAAATCTCATTAGGGATTATCACAAATAGTGTTAGAATCATCAGTCATTACACAGTAGTTATGCTAGATTAATAACTAAAAGGAAAACATTTAAAATCGAATCACACCGATTCCTTTGTGCGTTATTACATTAAAACCAGTAGGTCACTTCAAGGACTGTGTTTCCACTTGTGTATTTATGCTTCTCTTTGTGTTTCCTAAGGTTCATAATGGTTTATCTGTTGTGTGATGTGTTGAATGTTTCCATGTTTGTGGTTTATTGTGAAGGCAAAGATGTGAGTTTAACAGGCTTCAGTTGGGGGTCGGTGCCCTCTAGTGTCTCATGAGAGAATTACACAAGGTCCTTTCAAACAAAGTGCATCACATTCAGAGACTATTTGAAAGAAAAATCCTCCATCCAATGTCTGTGATCACGTTTCAAGGTTTTTTCCCTACAAGGTTGAAAAGGAGAAAATCCCAGTAGAAAATAGGAAAACGTCGTGTGCACCCTGAACAGGTTGACAGACTATCACAGAATAACACGTAGACACAGATAAACTATTTGACCTGAGCTGCTTGTTTTTAGATTGTAGCAGGAAGTCAGAGAACACAAAACTACGTGGACACGATTAAGTGCGTTCTACTTTAAAAGCTTTTAATATGACAAAAATAATGCAATAGTGGTATTTATTCTCCTTAGAGGGCAAAAAGATACATAATAATGAATCATTTAAACAAACTAAACAAAATGATTTGCTTGTAAATGTCCCATGTTACTGTTTTTAATGTGTTATTTGTAAAACATGAAAAGCATCCATTACTTTAGCGTCCATCACTTGTAAGAAGCCACTCAGTAGTTTAGAGTCACGATGCGGCCAAAAGGTGTTTAGAACCATCAGAAGTGGTTTTCCTGCAGTTGAGCATTTCATGTAATTGAAATAATTAAATTGTGTTTATGATAAGAATGAAGAACATAAAGTGAGGAAAGTGATTACTTATAATATATTTATTGGAGTTTGTTCCTCAGCATTCTAATTGTTTGGTTCCCACGTTGACTTAATGTCTCTTTGTTCCTCTGACTTACAGCACAAAGCTGAGCTGTGAGCAGCCGAACTAACAACTAACCACTTCCTTTTCTCTGCGCCTCCTCCACAAATACATCGAGGTGTTAAACTTGCAGTCGGTCTTTCTCTGTCTGATGGTCATCATGTTCCACCTGAACCAAGCAGCTCTTCTCTCCATCACACTGTTCACGATGGTCCAAGTCTCTGCAGGTACAGAGGACATTTGTGTTTGTTATTTATGTTCATTCTCTACATTTAATTACAGATTGTATTTGTATTGATTGGTTGTTTCTTTCAATGTTAGATAGTAATGCAGTTGAGCAGAGGAATATATCGGTGTACAGAGGAGAGTCCGTCACCTTCACCTGCAACGTGTCCAAGACAAAAGTATCGCAAATCCGGTGGACCAAAGGCGGATCATCTTTTGTGTTTGGAGTCCCATTAAATCAGACCTTTTCAAATTTCACTTCACACCGACTGACAATAGACACAAACTTCCCCTCAAAGATGATTATTTCAAACTTTCAGCATAACGATGCAGGAATCTACAGATGTACTTTATATGACGAGAAAGGTACGAGGAGTATTGAGTGGAATGTAACGGTGTCTGAGGAACATGAAGGTAAGTAGAGCACAAAACTATTCACCTCTACAGACACACTGCATTTCAAACCTGAAACTGTACCTACATTAATTCACATGTGATTTTGTGCAGAATTCAGTTATTTGTGGTTATATATCACAACTGCAACTGGATCTCTTCTTAGTTTCTTCATCACAGCTGTTTGTCTCTACAGGTGAGTAATAGTTTTCATTCATTGCTGTGTGTGAAAAGTGTTGTAGTAATTATCATGACAAAAGTTACACATTGTATGTGTTTTATTCACTATTTATGGCTTCAGTTTGAAGCAGTTTATAAACACAAGTCCTTTCCTCTTCATCTTTGTGGACAATGACTTCCTCGTCACCATCTGTGCACATTGTGTGATCGTAGTGTGACAGTTACATCGCTGGACATTTCTGTATGTTCTACATTCACTGAATTCTGTGATAATGTTAATCTTCTTCCTAGTAAATGTTTCTATTGCGTCATGGAGATTTGAAATGAAGTTTATGGATTATTGCAAAAACCCACAGAAGCCATTTTGACTTTTCAAAGCAGGAAATGGAAAATGTGTCTAACATGAAGCATAAAGCTTTATTCCCTCAAGTGTCCAGTCGGCCGTGTTAGTCAGTGAATATGGACAAAATACCAGAACACAACGATATTTGCTCAGTTTCTACTTACAACTAGAAAAGTTTTATATATTAACCCATTTTTACATGTTTTTATTAACGTTTCATGAGCTGCAGGAACATCGATCGTTAAACAAACAGGCGGCTCTTGAATGAGGAGCGTTAACAGAAGTTTGAATACGGACTTCCTCTTTGTGTTGTATATGCAATGTTGACTTAATGTTTCAGAGTTTACAGTTTCAGCCGTTTGTTCAACTTTTATTATATTTATTATTACAAATTCAGCATATTGTGAAGTCTTTTTCTTCTCCTTTTTAATTTTTGGTGGTTAGCACTGTTGCCTCACAGCAAGAAGGTCCTGGGTTCGATTCCGCCCAGTGGCCTTTCTGTGTGGAGTCTGCATGTTCTCCCCGTGTCAGCGTGGGTTCTCTCCGGGTTCTCCGGCTTCCTCCCACAGTCAAAGACATGCTCTGGGGATCAGGTTTATTGGGGACTCTAAATTGCCCGTAGATGTGTGAATGTGAGTGTGAATGGTTGTGTGTCTCTGTGTAGTCCTGCGATTGGCTGGCGACCAATCCAGGATGTACCCTGTCTATCGCCCGAAGTTGGCTAGGATGGACTCCAGCCCCCCCGCGACCATGTGTGCAGGGGGGGCGGTTTGACAATGGATGGATGGATGGAAAATATAGTTGTAGCCCAACTAATATAGTTACCCACATAATCACACATCTTACACAGTGTTTCTTCAAAACAATTTATTTTATTTAATTTTCATAAAGTAAGACTTTTAGCTGATGGATTTTTTCCTTTTAAACGCATGATGGAATATATACCGTGGTATTGGTCCCTAAACTTTTATGAATTAGATCCTTTACTTGACAAAAGTATTAATGTTGGTCTCTGCTTCATATAATAATGTGTCTGAATCAACTGGAAGCTGCACTGGAGTCTCATCACTGGTCTCAATTTCATTTCTGCATTAAGAAGCTGGACCAAGATCCCAGACCAGGACCAGGAAAGAAAGACCCTGAGTTACGTCACATTTCATCTTCAGTGTGGAAAAGAGGTCAGAAGGACTTTTTCATTACTCAAACTATTCCGTTCTAATGTCTTTTTGTTTCTTGGAGCAATAATGAGTTTATTTGCACTTTTGTCTCTACAGGTGGCTCCACTCCAACCACACAGTTGTGTAGAATACAGTAAGAATCACAAGTCAATACTTTAAGAGGCTCAATTCAAACCTTCTGGCCCGTTAAGGATGAAGTTCAGTGCAAAGACGAACAAGAAATAAAAGATGTTGGAAAGAGCAAAACATTCAATCAACACAAAACCTCAACTGCTTGAAAAATTTGCATTTTGGAGATATGAGCATTAAAATGCTGGTCAGTCAGTTTCCCTCAAGCAGTGGGAGACATGGAGACAAACTGTCCCTGAAGAACAAACCTTTCTGGACAATGTGTGCTCAAAAATCTGAAAACTGAAGACCTGTTCCTCCTCTGCAACATTGAAGATTTGATCCTTGTTTGACATCAGTGTCGTCTTGTAGGGGAGAGCGGCGTCGGGTGCAACATTTGGACATTTGGAACACTGCTAGTTAGATAGAAGTTTGAAAAATCTATTCATGTCAAATTGATGCAATGTTTCAATAAACATATTTTTGTGGCTTGTGTCCCAAACGTCCCGCAGAGGCAGAATTATGGGGAAATTCAACTGTTGTACATTTCATCAAACTGTGCTTTTTTCGTTCTGGTTTGGCTCCAGAGAACTTGACAAATTTGCAGACAACTGGAATCTGTAACGAATTTACTATTAAAGGTAAGTTTGTGTTGATGCAGCAGCAGTGAGCTTGTTGATGTTTTTCTGTTCAGGGAAACCAGGAAGTGGTTAAAGATTTTAAAGGTTAATTGATGAAGGTAAATCCTCCCTTGGTTTTTTGTTCTTCTGTGAAGCGATTTGAAACCCTTTTCTTTCTTTTAAACGAAAATGTTCTCTCTTCTCCAGCTGCGTGCTCACCCGTCGCCAATAATAAATAAAATGAGAAAATTGTAATCGCCCGCTAAGCATCTTGGGATATGTTGGGCCATAAAGGGTTTTTATCCTTTATGCATAAAATACAAAGTCTGTGTTGCTACAAATGAATAAACATGTTTCCTTCTCTGCAGTGGTTTTTAATTGACTGTCTTGATAAATTTCCTCTGTTTTAGGATTGATAGATTACTTTTAGCTAAAAGAACATGCAGCTATTTTAATTTATTTTAAAATGAACGCAAAATGTTTTTCTTTCAGCCTGAAATAAATGCTCTGAAGGTAACGCTTATCTTATCGCTTATGAAAGTAAATAAGATTACCATCTGCATTTTATATGTTTTTGAGTTATAAGGCTTTTACTGTAAAGCGAGTGTGTGTAACGGCTTGAAATGGTTTAAATATAAATGGGACAGTAATGTAATAATAATGTAAAAATTGAAGTGTGTTAAACATCCTAATAAGAACCAGTTGGTGGCGCTAGTGAATTGTTGGGTTTGTAAAACGCCCAAAAGTTCGATGAAGAGGAAGATGCGAGCAGCTCGCAGCTCGCTGTGTGACTTTTCGTTCACTGTATATGAAGTAATGGATGACTCGTTTTTTACCGCGAGGCTTTTAGCTTGGACTACTTTCATCCTGAGCACACATGTAGAAGGTATGTAAGCTTTGATAAATGTTTTTCTTTAAACAAACAACGTCGAGGAAATGATGACGATAACGATGACGTTATTCAACTTCTTTGTATTTTATTTTCTTTCTTTCCCACAAGGATCTTTAAATCTGTTAAGAAAGTCTAGCGTGGTAAATATGATGAAAATAGAAACTAAAGATTATTTTGTTGCGGTACATTAGTTACAGTACTGAACAGTAAAGTAATAACGGAAAATATAACGCAGTGAAAACCGACAAACCTTCCTCTGTTCATTGTAGCCGACACACTGAACTGCAAAGCAACATATAGTTGTGTTTTACTATTCGTATTCGGGCCTTTTGTTGTGGAATATTTCAATAAAACTTGTTGATCAATGATCAAAGTTGCAAAAAGTCAATTTATTGCTATTAAGCAGGAGGCCAAATACACGAGCACGTATTACAGTCCTCTGTGGAGATGCAGTAAAGACGCTGAGTTTTTATACACATAGGAAGGCCATTCTCAGTGGCAGGTACACGAAGTTGCAAACCGAGTTGAGATAAGAACCACGGTTAAGATGAGGGTAACACACACTGATCCTTTGTTCTTTCCTACTTCCTTCCTTCCTTGGAGGCTGTGTGTTGAAGGGGTTGGCTGAATTATTTTTGAGCCTGTGAGAGCAAGTTAACTCCCTTCTTCAGACACAGCTGCATGTGGAAACCTTAAATCTTTTCTGCTTTTGCACATCAGGGTCAAACACAAACACTTGAGACACAGGTTTAGCACAAGAGAATCCCTATATGGTTGTTGGTCTCTAAAATAACAAAATCAACAGAGCAGCTCATACATCTTTGTACTAATATATGATTTATTAGACAGTAAAGTATGACGTAAGGTGTGGCATTGGATTATTGAAAAGTTGACCCAGGTTTGTTGTCATTGTGATGAATTACTGTCACTAAGGGAGCTCGAGGAGAGGACTCGGATGCAGAGTAGAGGCTCCGCTGACAAAATACACAGGGAAATCCCTGGAAACAAAAACCTCCTTCGAAAAGGGATGAACGGGGAAATGCTCAGGCTAAACTAATAGAGCTGGGCAATACAAAATGACAGGACGCAAACAAAACCTCTCTGAGCGAGGAAAGGAGAAAATAACAAAGTAGAACTAAAAATGCTCTGATTTAACTGAAGAACTGAATAGTCCAAAAATGCTAAATTTGTAAAAACAAAATTTCTCTTACCGAGGAAATAAAAAATAATTAACCACAAGAAAGGCTCTGAAATGATTGGAAGAGCTGTGGAGCAATAAACGGCCAACTAAGGAATCTATAACGAGGTTCAGGACAAACAAAACTAGCGTATTGACATTTATTCCATATGAAAAACAAAATATCATCTATGAAATAATGTCGACAAACTAAACGGTACATAAAATGAAGAAATCTTCGGCTGCTCGCCTGCCAAGGGCTCCTTTTAGAATAACTTATTTCCCCGTTAAGATGGTTCAGCTACTGTAGAGAAAAGGGCACCATCTCTCGCTCTTTAATCTCATGAAGTTCTCGGCAAGAACGACAGCTTTGTCTCTCCGACGCGCCCTGAAACAAGCCCTAACCCTAAACACATTGTTCACCATAATCTCCAAAATAGTTAATTTCCAAAATGAAACAAACTGGTTTGTGTTTCCTAACTGGGAATCTGTTTCTTGATGAGATTTTATTTACCTTACAGCTCACCAGGTGATTGGAGGAAACGTGACCGTGGTGGAAGGAGGGACGAGCATCTTGCCGTGTAAACTCATCAACGATAAGGACTCCCTCACCCAGATGGCATGGAGGAAGGAACCTGAGGAGGACAATTTAATTTCGATTAAACCCATTACTGGAATGAAATTCGTCAACGGAGTGGATAAACGATTTGAATTTTTTGGGGACGTTAGCGACTACAACGGATCTCTACGGTTTTCCAACATCACTTTGAGAGATGAAGGCACCTACACGTGCATCTTCACTTTGTTCCCCATCGGAAATGTCCAGACGAAGATACTTCTAAACGTGCTTGGTATGTTTCATTGTATAAATGTGTGTGAGAGGAAACCGTGTTGACCTTCATGCTCACATGTGGACGTCTCTACTTGCTCTTACTCTGCTAGTGCCTCCGCTCACAAGCCTTGAGGATAATCGTCCTATTTTGGGTGAAGGAGAAGTTCCCCTCGTTACATGCAAGGCAGCTGGTTCCAAACCTGCTGCAGAGGTGCGTTGGCTCAAAGGTACTTTGGCAGAAAAAGTGACGGAAAGAACTCACGTCACCCGTCATGACGACGGTACGACAACCACAGTCAGCTTGCTGTCTGGAGCGCCGAGCAGAGAAATCCACGGTCACTTGGTCGAGTGTATCGTCACTAATGCAGCCCTGTCAAAAGAGGAGAGGCTGCCTTTCAACATACAGATCTACTGTGAGTACACACACGCTTCATCACGCACTTACAATGTGGAGCATTCTTCTTCATTTATCATTGTCGTTTAGGAATTTATTAGTTATTAAATACCTTTCAATCAATTGTTTAAGAGCTGTGGATGAAGACAATGTTTGCATGTTCACCATCACATGTGCTCTCAGTGTTTTTGGCTGATTGGGTCTCTGCTGTCGCTGTGAGGTTCCAGGATGTTACTGTGAGCTATTTTAGACTAATCAAAGTTACAGAGCTCGAGAGATTTCTGTCTGTAATATTATGAGCACAAACAATCTGTGAGCTCTTGATGCTGATCAACAGTTCTCTTCCTCGTGACATTCATGCTGTTATGACCTCTCCTCTTGTCTCGTGGTTTTCTTGCTTTGCAATAGTGTTTCTTCACATTCCTGTGAAAGAAAGTAAAGGGTCATGACTACATGAGGACAGAAATAAGACAAAGGACTTGGTCAGTCCAGGAAGAGCAACATGTGTTCCATGTCATTGATCCAGTGTAGAAGGACTGAAGTCAGTTGACACGCTCAGGTTACTCGTTGGTTCTCTGAGCACAAAAATGTCCGTACACACCGACAGCGATTGGTAACCAAGAATGTACAAGCTCCGTCATGCAGACCTACTGGAATGTTATTTTTCTCCTCCTCTTCCTCTGGTCGTCCTAACGATTAAACACATGGAGAGAAAACACCATGAGCAGACAATTAATTCTCTTCCTCTGCACCATTTCATGAACTACTTCCCTTTCCATTTCCTCTGCAGCCAAACAGAACCTGCCACCACAGCAGCATCGCCAGCTAGTTTTCTTACTGACTCACACATTTAACATTTAACACAGGCAGGCAAGTTTATTTGTAGAGCAACAACAAGGCAGTTCAGAGTGCTTCACATAAAACTATTAAAAACACCAAAACAGGAAGCAAAAGGAAATTGGAAAACAATTGAGAACATTGATTAAAACGTTAAAAACAGACATTTAAACAATAAACAAGCTAAATATCAGCGTGGGGCCGTGCATTTCATACCTGGGTCTTCTGTTCCGTCTTACTGCAGTTGAATAACCTCATTGTGACGCCACGGTTACAGCTTACGATTTGATTTGTGGGAGCACCTCTGTGGTGGCGGGCGTGGTTTGGCTCGGCTGCAGAGGGGACGGAACGGTGCCAGGTGGAGGCAATTGGCCTCAGCTGAGCCGATTGCACACCAACTGTTTGTATTGTGGTTTTAAAATGCAGTAGCGGAGAGCAGGAGTGGAGTTCGACGGCGAGAGAGTGAGATGCCGGGAGAGCTCGCAGATTCTGCGGAAAGAAACCAAAATAAACGTATTGCATCCGTACCTGCTGTGTCATGCCGACTCTGTACGCCCCCCCAAGAATCCGCACCGTGACAACCTCATATTTACATAACACTAACATTTAGAGAGAAAAAAAATGTTACGTGAAGCTCAACACCTACAAATACACCAACTGCAGACACAACAATGACGGGAGATTCATACAATCAAATCGATATAATCACCTCAACGACGAGAGGAAACTCAAGGACCAGTCGCGTGTAAAAACAATCCATCTAACTAACTAAACTAACTAACTAAAACTGCACACTAAAGAGCACGAGCCATTCAAACACTACTTACATCAGAGGGAACAATATTAATTAAATAATAAAAACAAGATGGACAGTGTGGTTTATGAAATATACAGTATTACATTGAAAGAGAAGTATTACTTTGGACTTTTATGTTACTGCCTGAACCTCTTTCTAATTCACAGAACTTTTAGAACAGAATTTTAAAACTTTTTTTTTTCAGGTTCTAGAACCAAGGTTCTCCCCTTTCTTTAGTTCCCTGATGTAGTCGACTGTGTTGGACATTCCCTCAGCGCCGGACATTTTTTAGCTTGTAGTATTTTGCTTTCTCGAGCCAAATAAATGAGTCTTGAGAACCAGTTACTAAATCTACTTGGTGGGCAGATGTTTTTCTGGTCCGCATTCTTTTCACTACAACCAGATACATTGTTGGTCACAGTTGTGTAACTTATTGAGCACAATAGAACTTTTGTGTTGGCTCAGGGACACTTCTGACTGGTGGAACTCTCCCTCCATGTCTGAATACAAACATCCTTTGATTGTGGAGAGTCGAGCCAATGAGAAACAGCTACATGTGCATGTGACTTCTGGTGAGGTCGAGTTATATTTGGATGTGAGTTTTTGTGTCAGTGTGTTCTTTTGTTTCTGTTTGTGTGTTTCTATTTTTGAGTCTGATTCTGTTTTCATTTTTTAAACTAACAAATGAGCACTGGTTTCTAGTAGCCTAAATAATCAGCCTGATCTCCAAAACCTGTTCGGATAAATGTATACGAAAATCTTGAACATACAAATTCATAGTGATACATACGAAATAAATACGTACTGCAACCGATGACGTCACCCTATTCAAAGTGAACGGGGACCTGCACCCCGTAAACACACTTTGTGAAGTCTAAATAAACGTGTTATGATTGCATTTTTAACGAGAAATCAATGTTAACTTGTAAGAATAGAATACTAACCCTAACCCCCTCAAAAAATCCAACATGGCGGAGAGACGTTGGTCAACATGGTCCGCCATGTTGTTCACTCAAGGGACGTGGTTAACCACCGCCAGTTTCTATGTATTGATACGAATTTGTATGTTCAAGATTTTCGTATACATTTTTACGAACAGGTTTTGGAGATCACGTTGAAATGATACGCTAAAAACTTTTCATTGCAAACGCAGAAAGCTGATTGTTGAGCAGGGACCCCTGCTCTTCAGTTTCAGTCGAGCGAGTGAGAAACCTTGTTTGCAAAACAGGATCCTGTGTTTACAGTTTCAACTGCTTCTTGTCATCTCTGTGTGATGCATCACTCTGACCTCGGACTTTGGAATCTTTCCTGTGAGAAATAACACTGATGCAGAAACTATCAAATATCTCCATGCAGTTTATTAAACAGATATTATGAAATAATTCAGCTGAATGAGCTCTTTCCCCTGATGGGTCAGACATCTAACGACGATAAAAATTTAATAAATATTCACAGTATTTTGTTAAATGTTGAGCTCTAAGCAGCTGTAAAGGTCTTTGTCCTTGTAGATCTCTCTCATTATATTTATATTATTTGTGGTTATTATAACAATAACACACCTCATTCGCTCTCACAGTCCCACCCACTGAAGTGAACATCAGCATGAAATCGGAGGATGCATTTGAATGTGAGACTGAAGCCAACCCACATGCACAATTTACCTGGAGCAGGTACAGCAGCTGAATGAACCAGTTTTAAATCGGTCAATCTTACCGAACAGAACTTATCTTCCATGTTAAACGTTGTTTGTCTTTCTACAAAGGTTACGACACAGTTTATGTTCATCACTGGTCGGCTCTTCACACCCTCTCTCCCAATGCTACAGCTGCAAAAAATAATCAGAACATTCCACTTTTATCAACTCAACATTGTTCAGAGTCCTTATTGGTTTATTTTATTAAGTCTTTATTCAGCTGTCTGCTGAGTCTTTTTTGTCTTTTTCAGATCCGACCGTTCTGGGCTTCAGTCTGCTGTCAGAGTAGAAGGTGCAACGCTACGGTTTCTGAGCATGACCTCTGACCTGAATGGCCTCTACCAGTGTGAAGCATCCAACCTGTATGGAAAAAAACACAGCTACATCTATGTGCATGTGACTTCTGGTGAGGTCGAGTTATATTTGGATGTGTTTTTGTGTCAGTGTTCGTCTTTTGTTCCTGTTTGTGTGTTTCTATTTTCGAGTCTGATTCTGTTTTCATATTTTCGGTCCGTCAGTAACAAAAAGAGAGATTGCCGTTAAATAATCAATGGCGGTAAACCTATGTGCTCCTATAGAGAAGCTCTGATATCAGGGCCTGGAGTTGAATCACAGCAAATATCTGAAACCAGGACACACTGGAGCATTTGATACGTATGACATGTGGCTGTGGAATGTCTTTGTATCCAGAAGCTGAAGGAACGCTGCTTGAGACGGTTTACCAACAACCCAGACAGTTGGAGAGGAAACGCTGCCAGCTAAACAATAAATAATGAACGTCTAAGAATATACTGCTGAGAAGTTAAAGCATGTATTTACTCTCCCATCCTGAGCGTTGGCTCTCTTCTATAAAAATTAAGTCAAAATGAATAATGACCAAGTTGCACACTGAAATTTGGATATTGGATATTCATCATTCATCAGTCAGTTAATAATAAATCTTTACGGCAAAATTGGTCATTAAAGCAGGCAGAAAGACTATTTTTTCCTTTCAGGTTTCATCAGGTTGTAAAACCTCCTAGTCTGACTTCATCTGATAAAAGGAGCTGAGAAACCACTGAAAGTAGAGTAGGATAAACAACATTTAAGTGTAAGGTACATGTGATTAACTGACAATGTACAGCGTATATTTTTTTCTTTTTCACCGTATTCTTTTTTGTGTCCTGTCTCTCCTCAGAAGTCTGCCGTACCTCATTTGGGATTTTGATCATCATCATGATTCTCATTGGAGTCGCTGCTCTGTGTTACAAGATGTGGAAATTTCGAATGTACCGAACAGTAGTAGTGCACATACTTAAGTTTAATATACCTGCTGTGTGGAGTAGAAAAATATATTTTGTAGTTTGTACATCTTCTTTTGTGTGTTTATTAGGGACAGGACAAGAGAGGACTTGTGTGCAGAGACGAGGACGGTCCAAGTATTACAGCCACTGGTAGAATAAAAATGTGAATTTGGGATCTTTTTTATGACCTTCAAATTATAACATTTATTATTACCAACCACCTAGTGGGTCGTCTGCATAACTTACTTAAGTAAGACTACTCATTCCATCACTCACTGTGAATAAACTCTCATCACAATACTGTGTTCAACTTTGAACTTCAGAAAAAACAGAGGGCCGCAGGCCGGCACAGCCAGTGGAACCAACAACAAGCGGCGGAGTCAGTACACAGAGAGGCTCAATTCAATCTATGGGCTCCACTGAGCTGACGACACATTTCAATGAGCGTTAAACAAGAGACAAGAAACCAAGAGCTTCAGAGGACGTCAATCACACCGATTCCTTTGTGCGTTATTACATTAAAACCAGCAGGTCACTTCAAGGACTGTTTCCACTTGTGTATTTATGCTTCTCTTTGTGTTTCCTAATGTTCATAATGGTTTATCTGTTGTGTGATGTGTTGAATGTTTCCATGTTTGTGGTTTATTGTGAAGGCAAAGATGTGAGTTTAACAGGCTTCAGTTGGGGGTCGGTGCCCTCTAGTGTCTCATGAGAGAATTACACAAGGTCCTTTCAAACAAAGTGCATCACATTCAGAGACCTCAGCACAGGTTTATCTCTGATCATTTCAGTGGCGTCTCTGAGTGTGTGTTGCTGATATGATTTATAGTCATAGTATGCGAGCACACTGAAGAGTAAACAGTGAGATTGTTAGAATGTCTTCACTGTCTTTGGTTTAAGCACTTTGTGACCAAGAGGAGACATCTTAAGGATATTTGCAGAGAGAAAGAGCTTTATGTAATTATGGTAGTCTGCTACTTATTAGCAATAAAACATTCTTCATGATACAATATTTGAAAGAAAAATCCTCCATCCATCGTCTGTGATCACGTTTCAAGGTTTTTTCCCTACAAGGTTGAAAAGGAGAAAATCCCAGTAGAAAATAGGAAAACGTCGTGTGCACCCTGAACAGGTTGACAGACTATCACAGAATAACACGTAGACACAGATAAACTATTTGACCTGAGCTGCTTGTTTTTAGATTGTAGCAGGAAGTCAGAGAACACAAAACTACGTGGACACGATTAAGTGCGTTCTACTTTAAAAGCTTTTAATATGACAAAAATAATGCAATAGTGGTATTTATTCTCCTTAGAGGCCAAAAAGATACATAATAATGAATCATTTAAACAAACTAAACAAAATGACTCGCTTGTAAATGTCCCATGTTACTGTTTTTAATGTGTTATTTGTAAAACATGAAAAGCATCCATTACTTTAGCGTCCATCACTTGTAAGAAGCCACTCAGTAGTTTAGAGTCACGATGCGGCCAAAAGGTGTTTAGAACCATCAGAAGTGGTTTTCCTGCAGTTGAGCAATTCATGTAATTGTAATAATTAAATTGTGTTTATAACAATAATGAGAAACAAAGTGAGGAAAGTGATTACTTATAATATATTTATTAGAGTTTGTTCCTCAGCATTCTAATTGTTTGGTTCCCACGTTGACTTAATGTCTCTTTGTTCCTCTGACTTACAGCACAAAGCTGAGCTGTGAGCAGCCGAACTAACAACTAACCACTTCCTTTTCTCTGCGCCTCCTCCACAAATACATCGAGGTGTTAAACTTGCAGTCGTTCTTTCTCTGTCTGATGGTCATCATGTTCCACCTGAACCAAGCAGCTCTTCTCTCCATCACACTGTTCACGATGGTCCAAGTCTCTGCAGGTACAGAGGACATTTGTGTTTGTTATTTATGTTCATTCTGTACATTTAATTACAGATTGTATTTGTATTGATTGGTTGTTTCTTTCAATGTTAGATAGTAATGCAGTTGAGCAGAGGAATATATCGGTGTACAGAGGAGAGTCCGTCACCTTCACCTGCAACATGACCAAGACACAAGTATTTCAAATCCAGTGGACCAAAGACAGATTATCTTTTGTGTTTGAAGTTTCATTAAATCAGACTGTTTCAAATTTCACTTCACACCGACTGACAATAGACACAAACTTCCCCTCAAAGATGAATATTTCAAACGTTCAGCATAACGATGCAGGAATCTACAGATGTACTTTATATGACGAGAAAGGTACACGGAGTATTGAGTGGAATTTAACGGTGTCTGAGGAACATGAAGGTAAGTAGAGCACAAAACTATTCACCTCTACAGACACACTGCATTTCAAACCTCAAACTGTACCTACATTAATTCACATGTGATTTTGTGCAGAATTCAGTTATTTGTGGTTATATATCACAACTGCAACTGGATCTCTTCTTAGTTTCTTCATCACAGCTGTTTGTCTCTGCAGGTGAGTAATAGTTTTCATTCATTGCTGTGTGTGGAAAGTGTTGTAGTAGTAATTATCATGACAAAAGTTACACATTGTATGTGTTTTATTCACTATTTATGGCTTCATTTTGAAGCAGTTTATAAACACGAGTCCTTTCCTCTTCATCTTTGTGGACAATGACTTCCTCGTCACCATCTGTGCACATTGTGTGATCGTAGTGTGACAGTTACATCGTTGGACATTTCTGTATGTTCTACATTCACTGAATTCTGTGATAATCTTAATCTTCTTCCTAGTAAATGTTTCTATTGCGTCATGGAGATTTGAAATGAAGTTTATGGATTATTGCAAAAACCCACAGAAGCCATTTTGACTTTTCAAAGCAGGAAATGGAAAATGTGACTAACATGAAGCATAAAGCTTTATTCCCTCAAGTGTCCAGTCGGCCGTGTTAGTCAGTGAATATGGACAAAATACCAGAACACAACGATATTTGCTCAGTTTCTACTTACAACTAGAAAAGTTTTACATATTAACCCATTTTTACATGTTTTTATTAACGTTTCATGAGCTGCAGGAACATCGATTGTTAAACAAACAGGCGGCTCTTGAATGAGGAGCGTTAACAGAAGTTTGAATACAGACTTCCTCTTTGTGTTGTATATGCAATGTTGACTTAATGTTTCAGAGTTTACAGTTTCAGCCGTTTGTTCAACTTTTATTATATTTATTATTACAAATTTAGAATATTGTGAAGTCTTTTTCTCCTTTTTAATTTTTTTTCTGATGTTTAAACTTAATACATGATTTCCAGAAATAAATGAACTGATTTATCCATTTTAAAATATAGTTGTAGCCCAACTAATATAGTTACCCACATAATCACACATCTTACACAGTGTTTCTTCAAAACAATTTATTTTATTTAATTTTCATACTTAAAGTAAGACTTTTAGCTGATGGATTTTTTCCTTTTAAACGCATGATGGAATATATACCGTGGTATTGGTCCCTAAACTTTTATGAATTAGATCCTTTACCTGACAAAAGTATTAATGTTGGTCTCTGCTTCATATAATAATGTGTCTGAATCAACTGGAAGCTGCACTGGAGTCTCATCACTGGTCTCAATTTCATTTCTGCATTAAGAAGCTGGACCAAGATCCCAGACCAGGACCAGGAAAGAAAGACCCTGAGTTACGTCACGTTTCATCTTCAGTGTGGAAAAGAGGTCAGAAGGACTTTTTCATTACTCAAACTATTCCGTTCTAATGTCTCCTATTTCCAGCACATCCGCCTTTTTGTTTCATGGAGCAATAATGAGTTTATTTTCACTTTTGTCTACAGGTGGCTCCACTCCAACCACACACTTGTGTAGAATACAGTAAGAATCACAAGTCAGTACTTTAAGAGGCTCAATTCAAACCTTCTGGCCCGTTAAGGATGAAGTTCAGTGCAAAGACGAACAAGAAATAAAAGATGTTGGAAAGAGCAAAACATTCAATCAACACAAAACCTCAACTGCTTGAAAAATTACAAAAGTGTAGAAATAAAGAGCTTAACTCATAAGATCATTATGAGTACTCAAGAGTTTATGAGTACAACTTCCTTCAGTCCATCTTCATCTTCACACAAACCTGCTCATTGGATGAGTAATAACATGTGGAATCAAAGAAGAACAAGGAAAGGGCTCGCAATGCAGAACTGTCTCAAATGATTATTCCTAAAGAAGAAATAAAACTAGAAATAAAACAAAAAGGGAGATATGAGCATTAAAATGCTGGTCAGTCAGTTTCCCTCAAGCAGTGGGAGACATGGAGACAAACTGTCCCTGAAGAACAAACCTTTCTGGACAATGTGTGCTCAATAATCTGAACAATGAAGAACTGTTCCTCCTCTGCAACATTGAAGATTTGATCCTTGTTTGACATCAGTGTCGTCTTGTAGGGGAGAGCGGCGTCGAGGTTTTTGCCAAAGTTCAAATGTTTTCATAATTTATGTAAATTTTTCAATAAACAATATTATAAACATTTTGGCGGCTCAGAACGTGTCCCAAACGTCCCAGAGAGGCAGAATTATAGACAAACTGTGCTTTTTACGTTTGGGTCTGGCTCCAAAGAACTTACCAACAAGTTAAGACAAATTGTTTATAGACAATTGGAATCTGTTCAGGTAACATTTTCGTATGTGTACAGACTGTAAAGCCCTCTGAGGCAACTTTGTAATTTGTGATTTTAAAATGAATTGAATTGAACTATAAGGTAACTTGGTGTTGACGCATCAGCGTGCCAACCGACTCACTCAAAATATGTGTCTTTATATTTTCTGTTTGTTTGATTGATTTAGACTTTGTCAGCTTTGGCCTTTATTATCTTTTTACGAAATTCAGTTTGAACATTTTGATTTGAAGGTTTTTACCATTAATCAAAGGATGCTTTTTCCCTTTGCTAATTGACTGCGAGGGTAAATACTCCCTTCGTTTCTGTTTTAACATTTGCATCATTAGATATTTGAGATGAGTTAAAAACCCTTTTCTTACTTTTGAAAGGAAATGTTTTCTCTTCTCCAGCTGCGTGCTCACCTGTTGCCAATAATAAATAAAATGAGTAAATTGTAATCGCCTGCTGTGCAGCTTGGGCCCCAAAGGGGTTCTCATCCTTTATGCATTTATGCATCCTGTGCGCATGTTGCTACACATTAATAAACATGTTTTCTTCTCTGCAGTGGTTTTTAATTGACTGTTGATAAATGTCCTCTGTCTTAGGATTGAAATATTACTTTTAGCTAAAAGAACATGCAGCTAGTTTAATTTAATTTAAAATGAACGGAAAATGTTTTTCTTTCAGCCTGAAATAAATGCTTGAAGTTAACGCTTATCTTCCTAAATGAAATTAAAAAATAATAAGATTACCATCTATGGCTGCGTTTTATATGTTTTTGATTGATACGGCTTTTACTGTAAAGCAAGAGTGTGTAAGGGCTTGAAATGATTTAAATATAAATGGGACAGCAGCACTTTGCTGCAACATGTCACGTCAACATAAAATAAATATATATGATATTTGAGGGTATTTATTTTATACTCTTACTCCCTGTTTGAACCTCATGAATGAGAGATGATGTTTTAGATAATGTTTAGCAGAGAATATTGAACAGTTTCACTGATGTTGCACACGAATGATTTCTTACCAAAGAAGTGTTGATCTTTAAGTGTGACAGCAGCAGGAAGGAAGAAGCGGTTTCAAACCAACAAGAGAAAGAGAAAGTAATATTTACGAAACCATGAGCCCTGTATTTGTAGAAGTCACAAACATCCTAATAAACACCATACCAGTTGGTGGCGTTCATGTTGACAAACAACTACAACCGTTATTAACAATAATTTGACCAAAACAGACTCAGCGAGCTGGACGAATCATTTTGGTCTTAATGTGCAGCCGCTTTCGAGGCAAGTGCGCAGGGACCGTCTGCCAATTAAAATGCGTAAAATTCAATACCTCCACTGTTATGAATGGTAGCTAGACCACAATCATTTTATATATAAGTGGGCTCATTATTGTTCTACTACAGTAGTTATTTTAATGAAATGTGCTTTGGACGATGATTCATTATTTTGAGTATTCATTCATTCATTAATCAATGGCTTCACTCTTGTATAAAGTGAAGCAGGACCAAAGTCCTGCCATACATCAATGGGCTTGTTCTTGTTGTACTAAAGCCAATATTACCATTAAATGTGCTTTGACTTTTAATCGGGGGAAATATTCAATAATTAATTCCTATTCAGTGTTTCTCCACCAGGGGGTTGAAGTAAAGCAGTAATTATTGAAAGATCTGCTTATATACTGCAGAATAATTTTGATTGGGAGGAATAGTCAATACCATAACTTTTGAAAAGTGTAGCAAGACCAAAGCCATGGCGTAGATTCATGGGCGTGTTCTTATTGTTGCTATTGAGTAATTATTAATATTAATGTTCAATATTTATGGCAAATAATATTCAATATCTTCACTGTTGTGAATAGTAGTATCCCACAAATCATGTCATTGTACTACACCAAGAAGCAATTTTAGAACAAAGTAGAAGGCTACTTTGTTTTAATATTGCTTCTGAATATTTTTTATGAATAATATTCATCTAGCATTTAATATTATCATTTATTTATTGCAAAAAACGTTCAATAACTCCACTGTTATGGATCCTAGCATCCCCAAAATCATGTCATGTGTCCATGAGCGTGTACATTTTGCACTACACCTTTAACTTTGTATAGAAACTGCTTTTGAGTATTTTCTATGAATAATATTCAATATTTATGGCAGATAATGTATAATAACTCCACCGAGATTCAAGCATCCCCAAAATCATAGCATATTTCTATGATAGTGTATCCATTGTACTACACCTTTTACTTTGTTTGAAAATGTCTTTTGAGTATTTTTTATGAATATTATTCATTATTTATGGTTATTCTGCCCTCTGTTGACCGAAAATAAACTACACCTCTAAATTACTGGTGAAACAAATCCGTCCGTCGGTAACTATGATCTACACAACATGATAAAAAAGATACCAGCATGATTACGTGATCATGTCTTTCTTCTTTAGGACTCATAATAGACCATTTAATGAACTAATGGAAGCAAGTGATCCTGATCAGGATGAAACGTGAGGCCAGTATCGGAGGGATGCGTCCCTGGATGAGCGCACACACGGTCCCACTATAAGTTAGGATGTCCACGCGTACACACACACACACACACACACACACACACACACACACACACACACACACACACACACACAGCAGCATTCACCAATGTGTGTATTTTTGTGGGTGTGAGATGGTTTCGCACACGCACACGCACACACACACACGTAAACGTGGTCTGGAGACTGCGGGCGTTTTCATTGGCCGAGGCGGTGAGCGAGGAGGAGGAGAGACTGACGGATTTGCAGGAATTCCTCCGCGCTCCTCAGATTTCTTGTACTCACACGGACCTCCTGCTCGCCTCCGCCCCGACAAACATCCAGACCGGTTCCTGTCCTCCTCGCGGCACATACCGAAACATCGAAAGACAATGGTAACGTACGAGGTCTGAAGTAGCCTTTTCCTCAAGTTTCCTTCTGGTGTGCGGGGGGGTGAAAGGATGGAAATGTGAAACTCTTACCTTTTCTCTTCTCGTGTCCAGATGTTGCGAGGTGTCGCTGTGCTCCTTCTGCTGGCCCTGGCTGTCTCTGACGCGGAGGTAAGTTCAGCTTTATCTTTCACTCTTAAACTATGGTCATTTCTCCAGGGGGTTCAAATGGGTCCCGGATGCTGCTTTTCATCTGTACCAAACACTTTCCGCACAGAACTGTCCCTCTGGAGTAACTTGCACGGCGAGCTAGAAAACATCTGGAAAAAGGGTCTTAAGTCTGTTATCGGGAACCAGCACGGCACTGTGGTGGAAATATGTCCTTTGCAGCTGATTGTACTGCGCCTACAGCTTGTTAGACTATTTATCTTATTAAGGAGAAACCAATTATTCTGTTATTGTAGCTACTCGTGCGCAACGATGAGCTCCATTGAGACAAACATGCTTAAACTAAATTGCCAGTTAGACAGTTTCTTCCAATAGAGGCATCATTATTAATCCTGAAATTGCTACGGCTGTCTGAGCATTGGTATTTCCTGGATATTGAAACACTCAAATTCTGTATATTCTGTTGGACCGCGCTGAGAAACATCCTCCCACGAGTCTCATTTGCTTATTTCTTCTGTGTGTGGAAATTTTGAGTGAACACAGCGGAAGCTGCCGTGAGGCGTCAGTAGTGTGACAGACAGCTGTGAAAAGAGAAGAAGGCCCACTGGTTTGTGTGTGTCTTTTGCTGCTTGTCTTTGGGGTTGATGTCCCTCATAATCAATATTGTAGGATGCTTGTGTGCTGAACGCTCCGCCGAGCGCCAGCTGCTCTAATGGCACACAGACACACACACACACACACACACACACGCCGTGTTTGGGTGGCCAGCGAGGGAGCATGTGTGTTTGTCTGTCTACACTCGGGAGTTGTGAGAATACTCACCTTACGGGTCTCACACTGCAGCGCCAGGCAGTCCGGTACCTCTGAGGAAGAACCGGGTTAATGTGCTGTGTGATTAGCTGGCCTGAGCGCACATCTCGATCTTTAACCTTCGGCGAGAGAAATTCAATGAGAGCATCCCCCCCCCCCCCCAAAAAAAATGTCCAACTGGATAGCGTGAGACACAAAGAACAGGTGGTGGTTAATGGGCTTAACCCGGACACAGCTGTTGAACACCTGGCTTTGTGTTGACTCCTCTGTTGACCTGCACAACCGCTGCATGCTGAGGAAACAAACAAGGGGGAAAAGCCGGAGCCTAATTAGAGGACAGATTTTCCAAGGAGCCTCGCCAAATGCGAAACACGAGATCAACCAAATGTCCGCTGCCATGGTGTCACAACGGCATCACTCGTAGGTGATCCCTCCCCCCCTTTCTCCTCCACTGACCTTCCACTGCTTACCCTACCTTTGCTCCCTGGCTGGAAAATGTGCCGTTGTTGGCGCCTTTATTGGATTGGCAGACGTGATCTGTGAGGTATGGCAGAGCACACAGCACAGCCTGTTGAGTCCACCCACAAAGTTTATGTGGAGGCATTAGACAGGCCTCTATTCTCCAAAGGTAATTACCCTGATAATATATGGCCCATTGACTGGGCGTGGGAAGGGCCTGAACTGGCATTCCTGTGTGCCGTCCAAAGGAGGTCAACAAGTCGCAGCGAAGCTGTATCTGATGAGCCTGCGGGGCGTGTATTAAGATCATGTGTGGATGAAGGGATGTGTGTTACATTTACCGCATTAAAGAGCAGGAAAGATGGATTCTATTGCGTGTGAACTGGTGTGTATATTTTCTGGTATTAAACCACGTAAGACCCGTGTGCTTCATGAGGTGAGAAATTGCAGCGTTTGATGACAAGCAGCTTGGAGATAGCGCAGTCGAAGCCGGAGCCGGGACTGTCTGCAGGCAGGAATCGAGATATGCATCTGGTGAAGAAAATGTTGACTCTTTGCTCAAACACACTCGGAGGTTGATATGCAAAGGAGGCACAGTGGGAGTCTAAAGAGTCTGCAGCCTAAGGGGACATGTGAGCACACGAGAACAGAGATCATTACAAGGCAGCTGGACAAGAGTTGATTAGCTGAGGATTAAAATGACGAGTTGAAGAGAAGAAGACGCCGCTTCTCCCTTGAACCTCGCCATGTTGCCATAATGATGCCTGTTCTCCCACATTCAAGGGGGGCTAAAAATATCTGCCCAGGTGGAGCAGAACACAGGCATGAGGGGACGCGGCGTCCTCTGTCCGTGTCCGCCTGCTCTAATTACTGTAACCCAACATCCAGGCGTGGATCCTGCGCAGGGATTGTTTAGGGCGGTGAGATGGAGAGTGATGTAAAGCAGAAAAGGAGATGGAGCCACAGTCATGCAATTATAGCAGGGAAGATTGGGGTTGAGGTAAGACTTTGTGTGGTGAGACAAAAGGAGGGGGGGGGGCGTGTTTCATGTCCCTGCAGTGTGTTTTCTTCACTCTTGGCTGGGCTTTAAAGGAGTCCTCATTTAGCTTAGCAGCTGTACTGGTGTCTTATCATTACCGCCACTCTGCACTCAGAGGCACAACACACATAAATTAACACACACTCAAATGACAAAGAGCAGCATGAAAGTCTACTGGAGGGGTTGGTGACACATGATGAATACACCGTATTTATACATGCTAGAGGTTAAAGATATCTATGGGGGCAAGACTGGAATAAGTTCGAGACACTCAGGAAAAGATGTTTGCTGGTTATATACAGTTTATAAAAAGTGACAATGACAATTGTTTTCCTTTTTGTGGGTCCCGGTCCAATTAATGTGTTAGATTTCCAAAACAGTTTTCTAAAACAATTTAAAAAAAATTGCAGTTGCATTTGCTGTCACCAGAAATGTTTTGTTCTCCAGAGATGGTTGTGTTTCCGTTGGCCGGTGTGGAGGACGCACCCTGAGATCAGGCCCTGCATCTAAAATGCAGTTTTTCTCGGTTAAAAAGAGGTCACTGAAGGATAAGTGATTTGTCAAAAAGGAAATGCATTCAGTAGTTATGGAAGACAAAGAAGAGCAACGGCTTAAAAAGCTGTACTTAAGAATTCTTCAGCATTTGCTCTTAAAACATTGAAAGCCTATCTACGCCTATGGCTGACTATATTTCCTTTCTTCCCATCGCTTTAGTGATGAACTCACTCATTTCTACGGGTCCAAATATGTTATGAATAGTTGGACCTTGAAGGACGTGATCTCTGTCACAGATTACATTGCGTGAATGTATCATCCCCGTCTAAGCGCTCAGAACAGCTTCTGCAGTCTTTTCCTTCTTCAAGCATTTCCCCAATACTGGCCTCAAAGAGGGCGAGGAATCTACTCATTCCCTCGGCCTGAGCCTAGCGGGGACCCTCCCAGCCTCCCTCCCTGCCTCCCTCCCTCCCTTTCCTGGCAGTGGAAAAATGCCCAGAACAGAGCAGGGGTGGGAGAGAGGGGGGAGGGGACAAAGAGGGGAAAGGAGAGGAAGAACATGGGAGAAAATAGGTACGCACCAAGAATTAGTGAACACACGATCCCTGCTTCCTGCAGACACAGATGACATGAGCAAAAGGTTTCTGTTTGGAGGTTTTGGTGGTTAAAGGTGGGTTACTTCTGCGTGGGATTGTTGTTGTTGTTGTTGTCTAGTGTTGGAGAAAGGGTGACAACAGGGTGCCCATGGGAGGGGGGGGGGGGGCTGCTTTATGTTCTCCGCTGACGTTTTAACTGCCAGCAGATGTGTCTCCACCCAGAGCATGACTTATTTCCTGTCTTTCTTTGGAGGGTCTCATTCTCTGTCTTTTTCTCACATTTTCTGTGCTTTCTGTCTCCCTCCATTCTTTCTCTCTCCTTCTGTTTATCTGATCCTTTCTTTCGGGGTGTAGCTGTAACTTTCAGCTCTTGAACAACGGGGCCTCTGGGTGTAAAATAAGAGGCTGCCGACTGCGGTGACATCATCCTGTCCGTTGGTGCATTCCTTCCAAACTGAATGAGAAACAGGGCGAAGAATAACAGCCCCGATCGGAGTAAACTGCCCGTTACCAAAGGTCCCTTTGTTTCTGCAGGTTTAGTCTTAGCGGGCAAGCACCACTAACAACGTGTGAGACCACCCGTACAGATAGCTCAGTTCTTTACTATACACTCAAATTAGTCTTACCTTGGCCTCATTATTTAAAGGACACAGCCTGTTCCAGTACCAGCTCATTGGTGTATAAATACATGAAACACTAAGCATGCATCTCGGCCCAAAGGAGCCACGCAGATGTCGGTTGGATGAGTGTTTTTTCTATGCCTGATCTCCAGAGGCTGTCAAGAAGAGAAGAAGTGAGTCTGAACCTGATTTCATATGCATGTGCAGAGATGTAGTTGAGTAGATTCAAAACAAAGAAATGCCAGAGATTAGAGGACGGAGGCCATTTCATTATTGAGGGCAAATGCTATAACTTTCTGCAGCGAGCCGATGGCGGTCTGTTGTGTTTCTCCCCTGTGCGATGCATTTAGCCGCAGGCTTGTGAACACTCAAACTGCTCAGGAGCCGGCGTACGGCGTCGGAGTAAAAGGGGACTTCATTGCTTTTCTTTTTGACTGTGCTCCACTTCCCTTCTAGAACGGCCCGGTTAGCGGGAAATGGAAGCTCTTTGGGGTCGTAGCCCAGCGTTTTCCCTTATCATCGCTCTTGGCGTGAACCCACATCTCATGGAGTGGAGGAGGGTTGGACAGTCTGGAGCTGGAGGAACAACACAGGGCGGAGGGGGGGCGGGGGGGGCACCTCTCTGACCTAAATACTGAGGAGATTCTGGCTCAAGACGAACGGTGCAGGACCCCGGCTGAGGCCGAACAAAGCTCAGGAATGTGCACCCCCTAAATCCTCATTCGGTCTCTCATCCATGTCCGTCACCTGCCTTCTTCTCTGCGCACCTCGCTTATTTTGCCTCCTCCTCATCGAAGGACTAGCTTGTGAACATGCAACAGGCTGTTGGAGAGAAGTCGCTCTGCGGGCGTTTGTCTGTCCATCCGTCAGTCAAAGACTTCCTGCTGTGTTGACAGAGTACACAATGTGGAGATTGGCATCATTGTTGGTAACAAACAAAGAGTATTTCTGCTTTCAGTCACATCGATTCTCACACTCTTAACTCTTTAGACACAGCCTAAAGAAGTAGTTCCCCAAAACTTGACTCGAATGACTTCCCCATGTGCTGATGTCATCGTTTTCACTTCCTGATGAGTTTTGAAATAAAATTTCTTCGATAAAGAATTCACATCTTATCAATTGTAATAGCCAAGCTTTTTAAATAATTCTCCCATTGATACTAATTCCCAGTATCAAATATAAATCGTGGTTGTATTCTGATTTTCTAGTTACAAATGTGATGGAGAATCAGCTCTGAGAATAGAAACTGAAAGGCTTTTTTGAGCATTAGTGGCCACAATAAAGGGAAACCGGATTACGTATCTATATTCTTGCACCCTTCTGAGACGATTTTACTTTAATATTTCATGTTGTCAAATAGCATAATATTTTATTCATAAAACACTCAACTGACCTTCAGCAAAAAAGGAACACAATTTATCAAACCTTTGCGTCTTTTACACAGATGTACCAGCTTACTAGAATCATCTGTCTACATCCAAATAACACTAACGTCCTGCAATGTGTAATATCTTTATTCATAACATTCTGTATTGTTTAAATCCTGTCATAGGGAGGCTGATGACATTCAAGGTGAACCACCCTTCACCCTTAGGTTATGTAGTACAATTCAACAGCACCGAAAAGTACAACCTTCAGAATGAATCAACATCTCTCTCACGTCTTCAGAAAAGCTCAATATGAACAGGATTTATAGCTGGGCTGGTTGTATTGGATTGTACTGAATGAAGCTCGAATAAAACCATCAAGCTGATTCAACTGATCTTGATCACCACACAAAGTCACATTGTTGTCGTCAGAAAGGTTAAATGCAGTATTTAATGCATTTTATTTTGAAAAGTGATGTCCATTATGCTCTTCGTCACTGCAGGCACATTATTATTGGCGTGTTTACAATCCGAAAATCAATGTTTTCCATGTTTGCGAGGGACAAGGTGCATTGTGGGAATGGATTCACAGTGGCTCTAAAGCAACACCCACAGCAGAGAGACATTGATCTGTCTGCAGGATCAATGGACCATCACCGTCACACACGGACACACACACATGCATAAACAAGTGGATAGATAAGCTCCATTACTCATACTTTAGTTTGAAACTCAGATAGACGATCAGATGCAGATAAACGTTCTAATGCGATTCTAATGCGTCAGTCGGTGCAGATTTAGCACCCCAAATCCTGTGCCCTTGATAGCGGTGGAAGAAGGAAAAGGCTTTTTAATTTTTTAACTGAAGCAAGAATACTTTGCCCTTTAACTCTATTCTGTCTCAGGGTGGAGCTTTTCAACACGTGGCAGAGGAGTGATTGACTTCAGATCCGCAGCCGCATTTTTTGCCTCTTCCCCATCTACCTCCATCCAAATAGTCCGACTTTCTGCACACGGCTTCCTCATCTTGTTCTTCCTCCTCTCTCTGTGCTCACCTATTCTCTCCCCAGACTTCCATCTCGCTCTGAAAAACTAGTCTCGGATCACTGATGCTCATCTTGCAGCCGTAGAAGGGCACTGAGAATCAGAGGAGTTACAGCAGAGGAGAAACAACAGTACATATGCAGAGATAGGATGATATAATTATGCACTTAGTGTTTTGAGAAATATTGCTTTGAATCTTCTTAAAGTCAAGTCAAAAAGACAAAAGCAGAAGAAAGGAAAATGGAAGAAAACGGGCAGGAGTCAAGGAAAATGATCTGTGATATGTATGCGATCCGTTTAGTGCTCGAGGCGTCTTTCTGCACGAACGCCTCTGCTTAATCTGTTATGTTTCACTATCAGAGGTCCTCCTCCATGATCCGTTTTAAATGGGGGAGAAGGAAAATATAGCGTCATTTGTTAGCTCTTGTAAAAAATTGCTGTCATTTAAGTAGATCAGCCACAGCGGGTTTGTTTGTTTTGGTTCGTGCTGAGTTTGTACATTTTTTACAATATCCGCTCTGATGGAGATTAGGTTAATGAATGTGTTTACATGAATTCCAGAATCCCAGTCGCTCCGGGCTTTTAGTAAATCCTGCTTATGTTTTTGCACGTCAACGTCTTGATTTCAACCGTTAAATGTGTGAACTCGGCCAATTTCTTGGGAATGGGTGTCGAGAATGGCACAGTTAGAATAATGTGCACAAGGAGATGATGGTGCAGGTCTGCACACCCGTGTTCATGGGAACCACTTCATGCAGGCATGATTAAAGACCACGTAAGGCCGCCTCCCTTCCCCGGGTTGTTCAAGGTCGGTTGGGTGACATTAGCGCCACTTTGTCCGTTGTTTTTGTACCATGTGCGTCAATCATAAACTCTGAACAACACGCTGTGCTGTGATCTCATTAAGAGGCTCGGTGCCTGGTTTGATTGACACCTCTGGTGATCTCGCCACAACAGGAGCCTGCGCATGCTCTCACCATGGCAACAATCCACTTGAATCAGCTGAAAAAAATAGAGCTCCGTGCCTCACTGTTCATCAGCTAAATGTCAGGGATGCTCGGCTGTTTCTAGTCGGAGAGAGATGGACTGACAAAGCTCTCCGCGTTTACACCACATTCATCCAAGCGTCCCATCCATTATTCATGTTCTCATCCAAGGTTGCTGCAGGTTTCAACAGGCTTCTATTACATCTGTGTCTAACAAATTGAATTGTCCAACATGCTCAAAGCCACAGGGATTGCTTTGAAGATTTTCCGTGACCTCAACCTTGAGTGCGAGTGTGCGTGTGTGTGTGTGTGTGTGTGTGTGTGTGTGTGTGTCTTTAAAAGATGCATAGAAATGAACCAAAACCCTACGATCTCTCTCCTCTCAACACTGCTGCACTGCGATGCTTCTGTGTGACAATCTTAACTCTCACGTCCGCGTCCGTCTTGTTATATTCCGTCGTCAGCGAGCTTATGAGAGTTTGGTCACAAGAATCCAGTTTCAGTTTAATCCACATACCAAACTTAGGTCTCACACACACACACACACACACACAGACACACAGCGGCTTGGAAGCAGCTCATGTGCGCTCACACACACACAGAGGGCCAACTTTGTGTCTGGCTCTTACAGGAAACAGCAGCTTAAGGAGGAGGAGGGGAGTCTAGAGAAACAGGGAGGAGTGACTATTCAGAGGAGCATTGGAAGGGGTCCAAAGGAAAACGCTGCTCAGACTCCAGATGTGGGAACACCATTTACACACGCGTACACACACTTATACAAAGACACACCAATGGAGAGAGGAGGATGTAATGAGGGCCGGCTTAGCTGCGCCTGGCGTGTTCTGAGTGGTTTGGTTTGTTGGATTGGTGAGGCGTTTGTAGCCCAAGTGAATTCATTTTTTGGCAAATCCAGTCCTCGGGCGACATTCTTCAACAAACAAGCAAAGACAAAGAAACAAAAGGCAAATCCCAATGTTTAACTGGCACTGAAATAATAGAAACCTTGGATTTCTTTGGTTGATTTTGAGCCAATGCTAAAGACCTCAGATTTTGTGAGCAGGGGACAATCAGACGGGTTGACATGGCAACTACTGGCAAACATGACTGGAACACAAAAAACAGACAGGGGTAAAGCAGTTACTAAGATGTTTAACGTTCTAAATGTGATTTTAAAATAAGGGAAATCTTTAGATTTTAAAATCTGCATCTTCATCTATATTTTAATCAAAATACGCAATAACATGTAATCCTGCCGATTGAGAGAATGAAGCCATATTTCTTTCTGAATTCTGCTGCTCGGAAATATTAAAGCTTTTCCTGAGAAGTTATTATGGCCATTTTAATTTATCAGTTCAGGTAGTGTCTACAAGAGGGGAAATCCAACAACGACACAACGTGTCCAAGAATTAGAGGAATGTGTTGAGGGAGAATATCTGCGGGAGGATATTTATTAGATACTTGTGAAGAAAATCTGAAAAGTCTTACTGTTGATAAGAGTTAAGTGCATTTTCATTTTGGATTTCATCCGGGGACGAATCATATACATTCTCCCTGGATCTATGACACAGGATTAACTTTGATGAAACTATATGAAAATATAATAATTAGGGTTTGAATCCAACAGCAAATTCGGGTTTTAAAATGTGGTCAGCACCTTAGTGGCGTTAAGCGGGTGTTCCGTTAGTAAAGCAACAGCACCACCCTGAGTGATCTGTAGAAATGATCATGACTCTTTGCTGTCCTTGCTCCGAAATGGTGGAACGAGCTCTCTGATGACATCAGGACCACAGAGAGTATTTACATCTTCCACCGCAAACCACAGACACACCTTCACTAAAAACACTAACAAATTCTACTTATAATGGCTCTTATCTATAGCAAGTTATGAATCAGCCCATTTGATGAAATTGCACTTTCTTGTTTCTTGCTCTTCTGGGTTTGTATCCTCATTGTAAGTCGCTTTGGATAAAGCGACAGCCAAATGACATGTAAAGTAATATAATGTAGAAACAATGCGTTTCCTTTCTTTTTAGGAGCTGCAGAGCAAGAGCAAAGTGTGCGCCAACGTGTTCTGTGGGGCCGGCAGAGAGTGCACGGTTACAGAGAAAGGGGAGCCCAGCTGTCTGTGCATAGAGGTGAGCGGCAAAGGTGCATCACTTAAATTCCAAGACAGGGAAAGGTAATGTGCACAGTTTTAAACAAGTGACTGAAGTGACTGTGACCGAGTTTTTCTTGCCCTCTCCCTCCAGAGCTGTAAGCCCCACAAGAGGTCAGTGTGCGGCAGCAATGGTAAGACTTACAGGAATCACTGCGAGCTCCACAGGGACGCTTGTCTCACCGGCTTGAAGATCCAGGTGGCCCACGACGGACACTGCCACGGTACGAGAAGCAGCAGCTGCACGAGCACCAGTCTCCCCACAGGGTCCACCGAGGAGCTGTCGAGGAGCTTCCCTTTGCGTCCGACTTTATCCCTCGTGAGATGGAGTCGGACCAGTGCTCCTGCAGACGTTAAAAGGAGCACTTCATCAACTTTAGAGTGAACGCTCTTTCTTAATCTCTGTGATAACATTGTCAACTGTTGTTCCCAGTGTCACCTTTACGACTCCAGTAAATTACATTTATTGGCATATATTAATAATGCTGAGTAGAGGGATGCAGTAATCTGCCGCCGCCAAGAAATACCAGTACTCTCTTCTTAAGTAGTACTCCCTTCAATAAAGTACATGTACGATGTTATGAGACTAGGACCTCTGACAATAAAAACTGAGGTGCTTAAATAATCCAAGAGGTGAACATTTTGTAATGCAATCAACCTAGAAACTGCCCCTATGTAACAATGTCAGAATTGACACCAAAACCAACGTAGCATCTCTGATCAGTCGTCCTCAGTGTTCTGTTGTCAGAAGCTTCAGACCCAAAGTTTATTGCACTAACAAGACTTCCTACTGACCCCAAACTATGACGTGACCCTTTTTTATTTCACCACACTTTGTTATGGATTTGAACTTTTAAATTGGAAAGAATTTGGCTCAGATGTTACACCTTCTGATAACACTTAATTACTTATTAATTACTAATAAGTGTGTGATCCCTGAACTAGAAGGCCACCCGCATTCTGCACTCCTGGCTCCCACTTATCTATTTATGATCTAATGTATAATTATAACCTTATCTCCTCTGAACTTTCACTGCTCACACTTTCAGTCCTCACATGTCACAGTCATGCTGAACATTGATCAGCTCTGTGGCAGAAAACGTAGTCGGGGAAAAAAGTTACATCACACTCTTCTCTTTGCAAACCTTTGGCCAAGTTCTAGGAGACAGTTTCGCTCGAATTATCTAATCCAATGAATGCTGTTGAATTTAATTATATATCTTTTTCTTTAAATGTTGTTCCTTCCATCCTTGTTTTTTAACATTTAGAGAAGAAAACCGACCAGTCAGCTGCCAGCCCAGGTGAGTTTTCTGTGTGTATCATTTATATATAAAATTGTGAATGTATTATTTGTATGTTCTGTTGTAAAGAAAATGGAAATACTTGCGCACAAAAAGACCGAAATGAATCGTTTTCGTGTTTCCTTGAATTATTTATTAAATGCTTCCCCCGCTGCAGTGGTCTGCTACTCTGCTGACCGTAATGAGCTGAGGAGTCGGGTGATCCAGTGGCTGCAGACTGAGGTGGTCCCAGACGGCTGGTTTGTCAAGGGATCCAACTTCTCCGACATCCTGCTCAAGTACTTCAAGGTTTGGCTTCTTTTCTCTGGACGTAACCGAATGGACACTGGTCTTCATTAGTGGAAACACTTGCTGGTGGACATTCTATTTACAAAGAACCCCGGTTCAGTTATCCGTTTATGGGCCTCATACAGGCCCCGTGCCTTATGTTAGTTAACATATGTTGGGAAAACTTAAATAATGTTTCACCTTAGGCAATACCAGTTAGACGACAGAGAGTCTGTGCCCTCTCACACGGAGGAACGTTGTGTTCTGGGTCATCTGATAATCAAGAGGTTTGTGATAATCAAGAGGTTTGTGCATCGACGTTCATAATCTCTGTGTGTGCGGCACTTATTCCGCCTCATTCCGTTAAAGGAGGGATTTGGATGGAGAGGCCAGGATCGGCTTGGGTCCGCTCACTGGTGGGCTGGATCGACATCAGAAAAGAGAATGATAAGATCCCTTTTCTACCAAATGGGACATGTTTTTCGTTACGGATGAAAAAGCTTTGGACAGTCTCTGGTTCTCGGTTTAGGAAAGGTTTTTCAAATCCTTGTAGAACATCTTAGGAGAAGTTCTTGTTTTGCCTTCAAGCTTTTAGTAAACATTGTTTTTCCTTTAAACTTTTGGTGGAACTAAGATTCCTTTCTTGTAGATTTACTAAAAGATTTATTTTGACATGTTTTAGTACTGAAAATTAGAGAGGTTGTAATATTTAACCCTAAGTTCACAAAAACATGAAAAAAAGATGTAATTAATGGGTTGTTCTATTAGCCGTGACTGGTGAGTCCTAAAATTAGTTATTCGGTTGTTCTATTAGCCGTGACCATCAAGTCCAAAAACTAGTTAATGGGTTGTTCTATTAGCCGTGACCGCTGAGTCCAAAAAATAGTTAATCGTTTGTTATAACTTAACACAATAATTATTCAACAATGCATTTTGTAAACCACTTAAAAAAATGCAATGTTGAAGATGCATGAGAAATATGCCAATATTATTAGAATATTTCATGCTTCAACATCCCTCGCTGGTCAAGCCCCATTTTTAAATATCACATCGGTAGTAGAGGCTGTATCTGTGGTGCTTATGCGAATGGGATTTCTCTTAGTTGTATTTATTAAGTTATTCAGCAAAAGTTATATTCGTATCAGGAAGTCTAAAAGTTATGGAAAGTCTCACTGTTCATAAGAGTCAACGGTGCCTCTGCCCTTTTCCGTGTGATTCTGCAGTCCTACGACAATGGGGATTCTCAGCTGGACTCCTCCGAGCTGCTCAAATTCATCCAGCAAAATGATTCGGTCGTGGAGTTGCAGTCCTACGCTGACAAGGAGAGCAACAAGCTGCTCAAGTAAGTGTGCTCGCCAGTTTGAAACGCTCACAAGAAGGTTTGCGGGGGGAAAGGATGGAGGAAAAGTAGAGACCCTTTGCATTCTTCTCCTCTCAGTTGTTTTTCTGAAAGTCTAACGCTTGTGCACACCGATTGATATCTGGATGCTGCTGTGCTATTTTAAGCTGCGCAGCTGCAGTCGTTGACCTACAGTTAGCCTTCACTCAAGGCCTCTTGTGGGAGTCCGCGACGGCAAAAATCACCTGTGCACTAAAGCTGATTCTTAACAACGGTTTAAATTTGTTAACTTCACTTAACAAATCTAAACCGGGTCAACCAAGTTAGCACAATTTTTAACCGGGCTCAAACAGGCGAGTATTAATTGTTTGCGTGTTCGTCTGTGCTTCCCAGGAGCCTGTGTGTCGATGCCCTCATTGAGCTCTCTGATGAGAACGCCGACTGGAAGCTGAGCTTTGACGAGTTCCTCAACTGCCTGAAGCCCGGCTTCAATCCACCAGAGAAGAGTGAGTCTAAAGTGACAGTTTACTTTTCCATAGTGTGAAATGAAGTTACACTTGGCATGAAGTCGCTGAGGCCGCCCCGACACCCAGCAGCCAACTGTGGGAATGAGTCTCAGATTGCATTTCTGGATAGAGCTTTCGCATAGTCTGCTAAATCATGTGATGCAACAATATCTGGGATAAAGTTCACTGGATCACAGAAATAGAGAAAGAAAACATTCGCAGCAGAGGACTGAACCCTGCAGCTCCACCAGGCTCAAGGACACACACACGTTTGGTTTACTTTGTGTGTTTGTATTCATACATTCCAGGTTTACCACAGATACCAGCTCCTTGGATTATGTAATCCATGCATTTAAAGCCAGGAGGAGAATGATAAACATGTTAAATGTTTTGGAAAAGTTTATTTATTCATTTTAACCTGGCAGAGCGGCCATTTAGAAGCTGTGTCTTTCTCCGGTTGTTCCTGTCGGGCTTTAGAGTTTGTTTTTGAGAGTACTCAGACTGTTTCTCAGACCCTTGCCAGCACTTTTCCCACAGAAAACAGAAAACTGAGGCTGCTTGACGGGAGTGTGCGCAGACTTGCTTACTTTTGAAGAGTAAGAGTAAGACTTGCCAAAGGCTCGAAAGAAGAAACAACCGGGTGAATGATGCGGCATTTTGAAATGCTGACAGGCCGTGGTCGTGGACACGGATTATCATTCTTCTGCAGGCTATTATCTGTGGTTTGACCTGAGTGGTTTTCCGTGTGTCTTCATGCAGAATGTGCCTTGGAGGACGAGACATATGAGGACGGAGCAGAGACCCAGGTGGAGTGTAACCGCTGTGTTTGTGCTTGCGGCAACTGGGTCTGCACCGCCATGACCTGCACTGGTGAGTTGGAACACTGAAGGTTTTCTTCACGCTATTGTATCCCCTTCTTTCTAGTCATTGAGGCGAATGCCTTGAGGCCATTTTTCACCGTTGTGTTGTCCGTGCAGACAAGGCAGCAGCCGTGGATGAGACAGCGGATGCCGGAGCAGAGATGACGGAGGAGGAGTGGAGCCTCCGTGTGGCTGAGCTCAACAAGCACCAGGTCTGTCTTTGCCGTGAGCAGGTCAAACGCGCAGTGGGCTCATACTGTTGTCGGCATAAATCAGATTCAGTAACCCGACCCAGAAATTCCCCACGGGAACAGGACAAACCCCGGGGCCAGCTTTGGAGTGCATGTCAAAGCTGCTGCTCGCTGGCCTCTGCTTATAAGGCCTCGACTTGTTTATAAGGTCCTTGAAATACCAACGGCCTGAGTCGAGGGTTGGCTTCACGATTCCTTCGGGACCCACACAGACATCTGCTCCCACCAGCACAAACAAAACACAGACGAGTTGGTTGGTGTACATTTTTATGTGACTGCGCACCAAGCAAACATATCTCACTGAGCCGGGGCGTAAACAGCTTTATGGTGCTGGCGTGAAATAAGAAACAATAAATCAAGGTGGGAACTGAAGACGTGTTCTCTAAATTGGGTTGATAAATCTATCAGATGCCCCGCGGATGTGAAATAAAGGCAGATGCCAGGAAAAAAATTATCAGCAACATTCTCCTTTTTATGAGTCGTAGAAGTGTTTGTGTGGATGATTCAGAGTCATGTAGTCAGCCGTTCCTAGAAGTGAATTTGATTCTTCGAGCTCTTAAAGGGAACCTGCGCCTGCTTTTCACAATAAAGTCTCTTTACAGTTCTGTGTAAAAAAAGAAGGGGTGTGAAATCCAATACCTCTGAGGACTACGAGTTTGAAAATGAAAAAAGCCCAAAAGTGGCGTTAAAGTGGAGTGTAAAAGTGGAGTTAGAAAAAAGAGAGTTTACTGGACCACTGTGGCCTGCGGCTTGTTCCTGCTTGGATTGCACAGCCTGTTCTGAATCACAATAGAAACACTCGCCTATAGAAAGGACTTGTCGATTTTAGAATGTAATGGAATACCTGTGTTGAGGTTCTGGAGCCTCCCTAATAATAAATAAAGATGGTGGCCATTCTAGTCCCTCTCTAGACAAAAAACGGCAGTCTAGAACCTCTTCAGCCAGAGAGCGAAGCTCTAGAACTGAACCCTTTCTGCGTTCAGAATATCTCCTAGCATGTCTGCTTGTGTGTTGGGAGGAAGGAAGGTCACGCACTCCAGAACGGCAGCTTTTAACGCCACTGTAAACAAAACGTGGCCCTGTGGGTTCAGGTTTGGTGTCACCAGGTGTCCGCTACACTCAACTAAACTAAAACAAAAAAAGAAACTTATTGATATATGTTCTCAAGTCCTTATATGCTCAGCGGTAAATTATACCCTCTCACTTTTCTGTCAATTTTGTTTTATTGTTTGAAATACAGGAAACAGTTGAGAAGATGAAGAGCAGCACAAAGGAGGCCTGAGCGAGGAGGCGAGGAATGAGAGGTTGCACGTCATCGCCCTTCCTCCACACTTGATTTACTTTGCGTCCGTGTGTTGTTATTTTGACCGATTTTTTTGTGTTATTTCCTACTTTGGTATGTTAATTATCATACGTTTCTACAGTGTTGATGTTTGTTAGATCCAGGGGCTATCAAAGAATGTTACAGGATCCCATTATAGTCAATCCTGTCATATCTCATTGTGTCACTGCGCCTCCACACCAGCCCTGGGGCTATTTTTTAATACAATCTTTATACTTTTTACAGTTATTATAAAACAAAAAACTGTCACGATGTCACTGTGTTGGAATGTGGAGAGTCATTGTCTGAAACGGTAGCGAGGTGAGGAGCTGGGAGAGTCCACCTGTAGACGCGAGGGAGCCGTCGGAGCACACAGGGAGCTGACTACTTGACACCGGGTGCGGCGCGTGTCTCCGTACGTCCTCCTACGCGCCTTGTGGACACAGGAGCTTGGTTAAAGAAGCTGGGACAAGAGGGTAAAGCTACTAGTGATTGTGATGCCATTTAGAACTGCCACCGTAGGCCGATACTTGACCCCCACGCGCTTCTCTTTCTTTTCTATACATAGTTTTAGTTTTAGTTTGGTACCAGTCCGTTTTGTTTGTACCTTAGTAATCATTTTGCTACCAGATTGTTGGCTTTTGTGTATTTGTATGTTATCGGCTTGTGTTGGAACTCATCTGGTTCCCACGTTATACTCGGGCGAGTCTCTCCGGTGCCCATCGGTTGAACCGGCGTCTGGCATCTCTTGAGACAGAGACGTAGCGCGGAGCGGCACAGCGGCGTCCAGGAGAGGCCTGATCTTTGAATATAGCGTGTCGACAACTGAAACCAAAGTATTGATGAAGTGTTTGAATGACGAACAAACGTATCCAGGTAAAACATTACTGTGGACCCAGCAACAACATTATACCTGTGCTTTCAAAATCGCTCCTAACAGAAGGACTAGCCTCCCTGTCAGCTGAAGTAGTGTAGACGCACCGATGGGTGCATATAAGTTATGTGTGCTTGTGCGTGATTGTGTGCGTGTGCTAGTAAAGAGTGACGCTGAGAGTTTGCTTTGTTGAATGTGTTTCGTCGTTACAATCCTGTATCTTATTTATCAGGATTGACAATAAAAATCAGTGCCTTAGACCTCCAGAAACGATTGGTCTCTGCCTTCGCCTGCACGAAGGCTCGTGTCTTCGTTGTGTGTTTCTCTGATATTTGTCTGTATGAAAGTAGCATTATAGGTTCAATCTAAAACTTTATATTCCACTAAAGGTGCAGTGACTGTAAGGAATATTTATGTACGCCAATAAAGCCCACAGAAAACAAAGCTCTCTTGTCCACTTGTACGTCTGAATTAAAAAATTATAAATCCAAGCTATTCCTTCTTCTAACAACTACAAAGTGTACGGAACCTATTTAGATTATCTTGACTGCCGGTGTGGTTTAGAGATGTAATCATTTTTTTATTACCGATGAGACACGTCCCCCTGAGTCGTGCTGAGAAGGAATGTGTCCATAAAGCAGCTTGACATCTCTCAGGTCATCTTATCAGTGTTTACAGGATGTGCATGCAGCTTAAAAGTACAGCACTGTGCTTCTCAACTTAAGAATACTTTTCTCACACTAATACGTTATTAAAATTACTTTGATGTGATTGTTTTTTCATTAACAAACTCATTTTTAATGAATAATTCCTTGTTTTCCTGATGTTTTGGTCTTATTTCTGATATTTCTTCTTGACATTGGGGCAAATCCTGTGCACAGGGAATCACTTTTGATTCTGATGAAGTACTGAATAGATACATAGCAATAGATACTTAATGTATTTGGGCTTCACATTGTAAGAGTATAATGTATATTGGCACATTACAGTCTTCTTTATAAATCCATGGAAACAATACTGCAGTGTGTAGCTGGTCCAGGTGACACACATCACATTTTTCCACTCACTGTTTAAAGGTTTGAACCTGTCACACTGCATCATGTGAATATAATTGTGTTTTTAATTTCAATATCTAATTCTAAACATTAGCCTTTCGAGTAACTACAGCAGTTGGCGCAGCTCCTCAAAACTCCATATACAGTGATCCTTTAGAAAATCCTACTTACCTCACCCTAATTTCCCAGGAAATGGTGTCACGATTAGAACAGAGGTGTGACTGTTTTATGGGAAGAACCAAATCATCCTGTACGGTTCATTTTTTAAATCCTGCAATGCACACATGCAGGGTATTGCATAATGTAACAGAGGGGGGGTGTTGCATAATGCAGACCGCGCGGGGCAGCTGGTATGTCCGATGATCGGACTCAAATCCTCCCGTTGCTGCAAGACTGAACCAGACTACACACAACGACCCGGTAATATATGCGCCTACAATAAAAGTCGAAACTGCAATAAACTTTTTACAAATTCCGTGATGAAACTCTTTAGTAACGTGACAGATCGGGAGACTGACCAATCAACGGTGGCGTGGGCGGGGTCTGTCTCAAGAATCAGCCAATCGCCGAACATTTAGGCAAACGCTCTGGTCAAAGAAGGGATTTATTGAGGCGCAGCGCCTCCGCATTCAATGGTGCTCCGCGTCCCGGCAGCTGCGCGGCTTGACCCCCCCGGTATCGACCCAGTGACCCGGGTTTTCACCAGCGATGCGGTCCCGCGATACCAGCCGGCGTTCAGCGGTCCCCACCTTCTCCGCGTCGCGGAGCTAACTCGCGGGTCCACGGGGCCGTTCAGCCTCGCGGCGGAACCTCTGCGCAGGACTTCCAGGGTCTGAACCTAAACGACGAAAGCGATAACGATGGAGATTCCCGAAGGGGCCGCGGCGGCGGCGACGGCGACCGCGTCGGGCGACGGCGTGCTCGACTTTTCCCGCTTGAGCCTGAGCAGCTTCAGCGCGGACGGCGTCAGCGACGAGCGGAGGAGGGACGCCAGGCAGCTGTACCTGAGCTACAACCGGCTGGCCTCGCTGCCCTCCTCCGTCGGCCTCTTCTGCAACCTCGAATTCCTGGACGTCAGCAACAACGGGCTGTCGGCCATCTGCGAGGGCGTCACGCGGCTGACCAGGCTGAAAACGCTGGTGGCCAAGAACAACCGGCTGGACGAGTTCTCGCTGCCCAAGGACTTCGGCTCCCTGCAGCTGGAGGTGTTGAACTTCAGCGGGAACCGCTTCGAGGAGATCCCGCTGCAGTGCATGAAGCTGCTGCGCCTGCAGTCGCTGTCGCTCGGGGGGAACCGGCTGAGGAGTATACCTGCGGAGATCGAGAATCTGACCAGGTGAGGAGGGCCGAAGCCAGGCGCCGCAAGGGGTTAACGTCGGGTAACTTGCACGGTTGTTGTTGTTGTTGTTAAAAGTCTGAGTTTCTGTTTCTCACGCTGTCATTGCAGCCCCCCGTATTACGTCTATTGACGTCCCCGTTAACCAGGTCATTTCGGTTGAATACAGCCGCTGGTTCACCCAACTGGTAACGGGGTCATACGAGTTACCGGTGATTCGTCCCAACTGGTTTCCAAACCAGCTGGTGTTCCGTGGCGTGGTGTTCGCTGAGCGCAGCCATTGTTGGGGCCCTGTCGGCAGATTCGTCACACTTTCACAAACATGTTATTGGTTGCGGGGTGTTTACGTCTTTTTCTCGTAGTGGATCGTAGGGGCTGTGTAGTGGTCGTAGCCTTGAGAAAACCCGTACTGGTAAATATATTTCAATATTGTCTAAAATCCTATCAAGCTAGACGTTTTTTCTGATCGGCCGAGCACAAAAAGTTGCGAGACGCTGACGTAATGTATCGTTACCTGGAAACGCTTAATCTACTATTGATTTGCTCCTGTGAGATCGTTTCCAGCTCCACGCGATCTTACGAAAGCATGCATGTTGCAGATGCATGCTTGAAAAGTGCCAAACACCCTGTTCGTGAATGTGTGACGAATCTGTTGGCCGGTGCACCTTGTTGCTGTTAGATAAAACGCAATGCTACGGAACACCAGTTGGGGCGCAACACCGGTAAGAGAGGATTTATATTGGTGTTGACATTTTTTACTGGAATTTTAAACTGACAACTACAAGCCAGTCATAAAAGTAAAAATATTAGCATTCAAGGAAGTTGATATTGACCACTTTTATTGCCTAATGTGTTATTTAATTATTATTTAATTAACAGCTGAAATAAGACCCATAAAACGGATACACAAAATGTTGACTGTACATTTTTATTATTTTTGATTGGGAAAATTGCCAATAACACATTTATCCTATAAATGCTACTAAACTAAATAATTAAGCACTCGGGTCACTTGTAGAGTTTTTGAAATGGTAACTTAATCTAAACATTAAGTTAGATTAATGCTAAAAGGGCCACTCTTTAAAAATTACCTTTTTAATGGATTTGACGGTGTTTACTTCACTTTACCATCCTGTTACGTTGATGTGTGTGACCAGGTCAGTTCCAGGCAGTTTATCTTGTAATCAAAGTTGGAGCAGGAAGTTCATTTCAACTGTTCTAGTTGTTTCTCAGAATTAATTCTGCAGATGAACAAGTAGTAGTTATTAATGTCAGGAAGGCCATATAGTGCCACTTATAGTATTGTTGTGCCATATTCCGAAGAAAATAGAAAAGACTGCTATGATTGAACAGAAGAGAAGCTCCTTCAGTAACAATTCTGTAAAGAAAAGTAAAGATACGGAGAAAGAACGTGACTCATGATGACGCAACCAAGATAAATTGAGCAAAAGACATTCCTTTTCAAAACAACACTCAAATGTCAGCGGCAGCCAGTTTAAGGCTTCAAAAGATGTTTATTTGCTGTGGAAGACATCGACAGAGCAGCCATGACATCATTTGTTATCTTATCATTTCCTGGGTTTAACAGTAGCAAGTCACAGTGACCCACTGTCAGGTCAAAGATCAAGCGAGCCTCCTCCACAAAGGCACCAATGTGGCAAATTGAGTACGGAATTGAGCAAGAGGCTGACGAGGAAAGGAGCCACGTCGTTTATAGTCACATGTGGCCAACCCGATTTCACTTAACACTATTAGGGTAAATAAATCCAGATATTGTTTTTTTTTGTTTAATTGAGACCAAATGTTGACTATTCTCAAGTTCTGGATTAGCTTTAGTTGACTTGCAACAATGAAGAAGTTAAACTCCAAAACCGTTTAATTTTTTTGTAGATTGAGTCCAACCTGAGTTACTATGTTTCCATTTGGTTTTCCATGGTCTCAGGTAGGCCCTCCGCGGTGCAGGCTGTCTAACGTTGGTCCTTCTGCCGATTGCACTCATGCTTCAAAAACCTCCATAAAAGAGCCATTATCTGGTTGAACAAGCATCATAAACTTGTGTTTGCCAATAATCCAAAATCCAATGCAAATTGCTTATTGTCCAATCGCATAATCAGGAGCTTTATAGCGTTTGTCTCTAGCTGCTGATTAGCGTCGCTGCGTGGGAGGGGGAGGGGGGGGGGCAGTGAGCAGACCCTGAATGTCTCACAGCGCTCGGCCACCAAGCAAAGTGTAACGCTGTCGCTGTGTTATCTGTTGCAGCAGGCAGGGGGCCCGCCGGCTTACTTTTGCTCACCAGCTATTTGTCTTTCACCCCATTAACCTCCCAGAGTCTCAATGCCACAGCGATATACGCTTCATTTCGGCCTTCGAACTTTGAAGCGGAGACTTCAAAGTTCTTTATATCATCGCGTACTTGATGTTTGTAACAATCGCAATAAAAAATAAATCTGATCTCTGATCATTTTGAACTCATCGGCCCCACAAGCAAACGTTGTTTCGGCACAAAGAGGCACGTGCACAGGGACTCCCGCATGTAGCTGTGCATCTTCAGCGCCCCCTTGTGGTATTCATTCGTTGGACGAGGTCACTCAGTTTGCCAGAGGAATTCCCCTTTTGTATCTTTACCTCCTGTACAGAGCATCTAAAACAATGCATCTTTTATTGTGGTCTGTGTCATGAGGTTAACTACTTATTAACATATGTTGTCCTCTTCTCTCCGTTAGTCTGGAGCTGTTGTATCTGGGTGGAAACCTCATCACAGCCATTCCTCCTGAAGTGGCCAACCTGCCCTGGCTCAGCTACCTAGTGCTGTGTGACAACCGCATCCAAAGTGTCCCCCCGCAGCTCACCAGGTAATTAAACAAGATAATAATCAGATCAAATAAAACCAGACTTGCACGTGTCCCGTAGTCATGTTCCTTTGGTCTCGCTCCAGGCTCCACTCGCTGCGATCTTTGAGTCTCCACAACAACTTGCTGACTTACCTGCCGAGGGAGATCCTCTGCCTGGTGCACCTGCAGGAGCTCAGTCTCCGCGGCAACCCGCTGGTGGTGCGCTTCGTTAAGGAGATGACCTACGACCCCCCGTCGCTGCTAGAGTTTGCGGGACGTACGATCAAGAGCCGGAATATACCCTACTACCCCGGCGACCTGCCCGCAAACCTGCTGAGCTACCTGGACTTTGCCAGCAAGTGCCCCAACCCAAAGTGTGCCGGTAGGATGCGTTTTCACAGTATTTGAAGGAAATGCTTAGATTATAGTTTTTATTTATAGAGTGTAAATATTAGGCATTCTTTCTTTTTTTTTTATGCAGCCCTCTCATTGGTTCTTGACTTAGTTTATCAAACATTCTTCTGGCTTGTGAGACCCCCCCATCTTGTTTTATTCAAATACTTATTAAAAACTTAAAGTAAACACTATCCAGTGATTTACCAGAGGAAACTACAAGGTCTAGAAGAAAGTCTCAGGGAACTTCTTAGCCCCCTTGTTTCCCAATCCCCAAATTCTGCACCAATTCAATCCAGTACACTGTACCAGGACCAAAGGCAAAGTTTGAAACTATGTATTCACACATTTACACACATGCTGTCTCCCCCCCCCCCCCTCACTCTGCTCCTTCCGGGCGTGGACTTTGATTCCTGTGTGCGCCCAAATCAAATTTGTGGACTTCTGCGGGAAGTACCGGCTGCCCCTCATGCACTACCTGTGCTCCCCAGAGTGCACCTCCCCCTGCAGCTCCAACCCGCAGAGCGACGCCGAGTCGGAGGACGAGAGCAGCGTGCCCGCATACCGCCTGCAGAGGGTGCTCCTGGGATAGGACGACCGCACCGGGGGACCCGCTGACCCTCTGCATCGGCCCCACTGCGTCCCGCACTCGCTCAGACATTAACTCTCCCGTCGGGCTGAGCACGAAGCCAGCGCGCAGCGGTAGCGCTGCCTCACAGTACTGCATCTGTGGCCGTTTTGCAGACCAGAGGCCTCGCGGCGCCCTGGAAACCCGTCGACTCGATTTTAAAGGAACTTTTTTTTTTTTTTAAAGAGGAGAAATCGTTTGCTCGCTCGCACCACACGTCACTCTAACGTAACATGAGCAGAGGAGCCCTGTAGCCGCGTGAGTCCGTCGACAGGGTTCTTTTCATAACACACTCGGTGCTTTTTGCTTTTCTGAAGCTTGGATACAAACACTTTATCTTCTGTCTGGCTTCTGGTGACCGGTAGCTTCTTTTTAAAAATGTTTCTCACTTGGTGAGCACCAAAGCTGCTGTGCCAACTAAAAGACGAGTCTGGGATTTCTAAAATGATATCAGCTGGAACATTTAGTTTAAGACCACAGTGTTCTAGGTTGATTGAGTGTTGTGTGAGACGGCCTCATTTACTCTGCGGTCGGTCCTTCTGGGCAGTGCTCTCGCACAATATTAAAAGATCCAGGTTTATCTGTTTCACCACGGTGGCCTAGTCGCCGTTAATGAATCTAGAATATGGCTTACGTGAGCTTGTCCCTGCCTGCTGACAGGAAGTGGATGTGGGCTGGACCAGGGAAAACCGCTCGCCGTGTTCACACAGAAACAATGGCTATTCAGCAAAACAATGACACACATGTATACGTTCATGGCTGTTGGTTCTCTCTGCGATATAGATGTGTGTGAATGGAGACTATAGAGGTGTGTGTGTGTGTGTGTGTGTGTGTGTGTGTGTGTGTGTGTGTGTGTGTGTGTGTGTGTGTGTGTGTGTGTGTGTGTGTGTGTGTGTGTGTGTGTGTGTGTGTGTGTGTGTGTGTGTGTGTGTGTGCGTGTGTGTGTGTGTGCGCGTGTGTGTGTGTGTGTGTGTGTGTGCGCGTGTGTGCGCGTCAATGGAGACAAAAGTCAAATAAAAAAAAAACACCCAATATTTTGGAATGGAACTGGTTGTTTCAGGTCCTGGTTCCATCTCTGAGCTGTTATTTCCTCCCAGACAGGTTGGGTGAGGAAGGACTCACTGGCTGCACGTTAGAGCCCGATATTTAGAAAACAGAAGAAAGCTCCAATGTTTGTGATACTTATACTAAAACATTAAAGTGCCTTAACAATAGAGACTTCCTTTCCCACGGAGAAATAAAGTGTGAAGAAATGTGAAATAGGCCTTTGGACCCTCAAATGTGACAGCATTAACATTATGATTATTAGGATTTTTGAGTGATTTTTCTTTTTTTATACTCATCATCTTAACAGCTTTAAAAAAATATATAACTATAAAATGCTTTTATAGAAATCCTTTTCTCAAATGTTAAACACTACATATTTAAATGACCTGCAAAATAGATGGCACTTGAACATAATATATATGAAGACATTAATTGTATTTACCTGTACCCCATTCATATAATGTAAGTAGACTGTAAGGTATATAATGCCAATAATAAAACTGATTGTAATAACTTTAAACTGTTTCTAACCGGACCTTTTGTCATTTGATTAAAGCCGTGAGCTGCTCCTCAGATTTCACACTTCTCATCTCAGCTTCTTGTTTCCATTTCTTTTCACCTCACGGTTTCTTTCTGCCTGGCTGGCAGGACGGATGCTCTGAGTTCTATTTATCTGCTATGTTTTGTATGGTTGAAGCTTTGTTCCAGCGTTTTGTGGTCTTGCAGCAGAAGGATGCTGTCTCTGCAATATAAACGCACCTCTTCATCATCATACTGAACATCTCGCACGTCTTGCTCGCGTCTGCTGTAAGTTCCGATGAGCTCCTTTGTGTTTTTTGGCTGCCGATTTGTTGGAGTACCTTTTTCCTTCACTGACCAGTGACCATCGCGTTTACTAACGCAGGTGGTCAGAGAACAAAGCGCTGTGGTACAGCGAGCGTTTGATGCTGTAAGCTTCTTACAGCCCTCATGCAGCCAAACATCAGCTCACTGTTTTGCCAGTGAGCATTAACGTGCATGCCGGACCCCACACATGACCGATTTACCCCCGCTGAGCCTTCACACGCGACTGCCACACACACTGCAGACGCCCTCGCAACACGCCGATGCTGTCTTCATTTATACAGTTAATCCTTCAAGGGGGAAGTCTAGTTGGAGCCCAGAGTGAAATGAGAAATGAGGATAATCAACTGCTGTGTTAACAATATTAACAATATTTCATTGTCACTTGAAACTTGACTGATGTTTCCTGCCACAGTCGCTCTTCACCCAAAGTCATTCCCTCAATCGTTCAGCTCTACAGACTGTGTGGTGCATTTCAATGTATCAAGCATTACTTTTTGGACAATTTGTAACAGATATAGAGATATAAATTGAGTCGATGGAATTACAGTATTTCTTTTCCCACCATCTTACAATTCCCGCCAACATTACTATGAACCAATTGCATCTCTTTCCTCGCTGTGGAGATTACACAGATATTTGAGGAAAGATGAGAAATGTTGCCAAAAGCAGAGGAAAAACTTAGTGGACTCAGTTTAGTTTCTGTAAAATCACTGTTTGTTGCACACTTTTAGATTCCCCCACTTACACATTATTATTAACCGACATTGCGATTGCAACTTTAATCTAAAAACTTGAGTTGCTTTCATTGATACTCTTATTTTGTAAAAAGATCAAATTATTTTTTTAATCCTCTGCAAGAAAAAATAAAATATCAACAAGCCAATGAATAGAATGAAGCATTTAGCGGTTAAGAGTTGCTATTGTGTTCCTGCCCTGACTGATCACGTGTGTATGACATCCTGCTGTCCGTTAAATAACACGCCTGCTGGTCTCCACTGCACTTAAGTCTCTGTACTGCCTTTTAGGTCCTTTTACATAATGGCGTAAATATCAATAAATGCATAAACAATTATGTACAGTAATGAATAAACCAATTCATTAATAAATGTTTGAATACAAAATAAAATCAATTAAGACTGAAATAAATGCAAAGAAATTATTATGAATAAATAAATGATTTTATGATAAATACAAGAAAAGCTCAAATAATACATACTGTACATTTAGTCAAGGTCATTGACATTTGTTTTTAATGCTGGTTTATCCATTGCATCGTTTTAACAAGCTTTTCTCAAATGAATTGGGATCATTAGCGAACGATTTAGAGAGCCAATGTTCTGCAACGCTTATTATAGTTATAATATCAACTCGACTCATTCACAGGCTCATCCATCACCATTCATTCATGTTGCGCCCTCCGCCTTAGAAGCACAACCACTGGGGCCCGCGGGGGAGCCCTGATCGGGCACGGCTGCTAATCCAGGTCCATGGCAACGCGGCAGGAGGAGCCGCAACCTCCCACAGGGAGATTTGCCTTTGATTATGTTAGCGGGCAAACCCGGGCATGTCGCGGGGGAGCGTCCAGGCTGTGGCAAAGGACAGCGTGTAGGGCCGCGGGGGGTTGGTATGTTGCCCTACTGAGTTCACACCCACACAATCTCCAACACGGAACGGTGGGGCCGGCTGCCACTGTGGTCAGATGTTGATTTACAGATGTGGATGCTTCCACGTCAGGAAGCGGCACGTCAGGAGTGGCTCTACAGGAAGTGGTGTGTCACCGGCTCAGAAGCTCTGCCGGTTGTTTATTTGGGTTGGTGGAGTTCCAGCTGATACATGAGCGCGTTGTGGCCGTCCAGAAGAGCGCAACTCTTTGTGACTCCTGCATCTATTGATTCAAGCATCTTGATGTTAGGATTGATCCCCAGTGACCAGACGTGATGTGTCCTGTTTCATCCTCTTTGTCCCGCCTGCCAGCTGCTGCTCTTTGACTTCTGCTTCATCAACAACAGTGTCCCCAGATGAAATATTCAAGATCCTGGTAATCTGAGGATCGATGGCGTGCGGCTGCCGTTGGTGCTGTCCGTCTTGAACCTGATCTCGAGGGAAACCTGAGAGTGATTGCCACGCTATCTGTGAAACAGAGCTGGACGCTCAGTCACTCCCTGTGCTGTCATTTGATCTGAGAGCATAAGGGAAAATATTGAGTTTAGCTTATTGCCTCATTTCTCAAATCTTTTTAAAAGTTTTTTGATCTTGGATAAATTTCCTGATTGATATATGTTTTTTAAAGGACATAACAATAGAAGGATCATATATTTGGGGAGCCCAGTCGTCAGGTAAAGAGTGGCACTTAATGCTGAATCATTGTTGCCCATATTGGGTTGATCGTCGTGCATAACCTGATTCTTACATGTTAACAGCTCCTTAGATTCTTGAACTAAAAAGCAACTCTGCATTGTGTTCCCAAAAATGGGAAGATGTTGCGAAAATTCATAAGGGATCCCTGTGGTGTAACGTGGACCTCTTTGCACAGTATTTAATGAAGGATTTGGGGTTTACTTAAAGCAAACATTAGGATGAGAGCGTGTCAATAACTGCAGAGGTCAGTGACAGGGTGAATGAATGCTTGCACGATCGCTTCCTTACACTGACTGGTTTCCGCTCCCCGCTAACATCTGCTGTCAGTGGTGGTGACACTCCCTCGTCAGGAATGACCCAGTGTGAATGCTCCCGCTATAAATCTCCATGACGTGTTAATAACACCTTTATGCTTCTTATGGCTGCCGGGACAAAAGCAGACATATTTCTTCTGGCTCACCGCTGCCAGAAGCTAGTTTTTTGATGTGTTTCACCAGCCGACCACCAACCAGCTCGACAAGCTCTCTGCCACCCGTAAGGGAGGCCGGCTTTTGGAAAGTAAAACAGAGATAAAGTGTGTGTTTGTCTTTCCATTGGAACGAGTGCTGTTATTCACTATATATATATATATATATTTTTTTTTTTGCGCTGTGAAAACACATTGTTCGCCCCCCAAATGCCACCCGGTCCCCCGGGGGTCCATCTGCACCCACACTGTCACTTCGGCCTCCTTGCACACATGGGAGGAGGGGGGGGGAGAGAGGGAGAGAGACAGTATGCACACACCTCCTGTCCCTGACACACACACACACACACACACACACACACACACACACACACACACACACACACTCCTCCCTCCCTCGCAGCTCAAATGAAAACTCCGGCAGTCTGGTAACTCGTGTCATGAGTGGCAGGATCTTTTCAGTGGGACAGTTCTACACGGGACGCATTGTGTCGTGGGATTAATTACCAGCCTGCAGCGATGGGACCTTTGTAGCGATGCTGGATAAAAGCACATTATTCTCTCATTTATTTCCGGTTATCAATCAGTTTCTCAGCCTCGCGCGATGGAGCCCGAAGCGGGACGAGACGACGGGACCCTCCGCGCGCTCTGGAGACCAAGGTTTGCTTTTTTAAATGATTTTTCTTTGAATACTTTTCCTTTCTCTTCGGGACGTCTACGGCTTGACTTCCTCTCCAGCGAAATCATTGGTTGAATTAGCGCGCCGCTGAGGCGCAATGTGGAGACACATGTTTTACGCATCTTCGCACCAATTTCGCTATTGAGGGACGTGAAACCTACATAAAACATTAGTTCGATATAGTTACAAGTTTGTAATATGCTTCTTAACACATTATTATTATAACAAGGTATTATACTGTGACGCATTCCTTCAGGTGTTTGAGATGGCCACCTGGTTTCAAGCAGCAGTGCAGACAATCTTTAGATATTAGGATTACTGATAAAGCGTTGGGTTGTAAAATGTAAATGTGCCCAGAAATGACGTGGCTCTGAGGCGGGATTTCACTGTTCTAACATTCTAACTTTTTACAGACTAAATGTATAAACGGATTACTTACCGAGGAGGAATGTTCCAATATTGGCCCCTGAACCCGGCTTTACACCAGGCAGGGCCTGTGGTTTCAATCTTAAAAGGGAATCAGTGAGACTGACAGGACGATGAATGAGCTTTGCTGCGTGCGGTATATTAAAGGCTGAGAGCAAAGGTTTGTCAAGAATGGCTGAAATATTCCAAATACACAAATGAAAAGAGAAAAAAGAACTAAAGAGACCCACGGACAGGGTAACAAGTGAAAGCTAAACTACACGCACAAGGCCTCCCCTCCCCTACAGAGATAGCTGATGTGCAACCTGCAGTTAAGCCTTCAGCATTTCCAGAAAAACTCCTCAGGACTAAACTGTAACTCAGTCCGGGTTCTTGACTTCTGCGAGGTGGCGGTTTTTCTCCCAAACTGAAAGCTACAAAGCCGGAATTTTTTCAAAAACAGCGGAAACGCCTATCTCAGCTGTCGTTCCCTGCGGAAAGCTCCAAAACCGTGATCTAAACTTGGAAAGTGACGACAGGACATGAACAGGAACTCCAGACGTTTCCCAGATATGCTGCCCAGTGGGCTCCATTGTTCTGTTGACACCATTCATTTCTGGAAATGTGTGCTCTCATGTCGGGTGGATTAACTATATTAACCTCCAATATTCAAATGCAATTCAAAGATGCTTTGATCGGATCCCATAATGCAACTATCAATCAAAGTTCTCTTACATTGTCTCGACAGCATGCAGCTGAGTCACTGCAGCGAATGCATCAGACGGTTGGTTCTGTTTGTTTTATAGCTGCAGAGTATCGTCTGATACCGCGCTGCATAATTGAATCTGCAACATGTCAGTGCAGCACAGGGAGCCTGGTGAAAATGCCTGTGGCAAGAGTGACAAACGGTTTGGTGATACTCTCCAAAGTTTGTCTTCGAGATGTCCTGGATTTAATGGCACGTTACGTGGCCCTCGGAGAGTTCGGGTGTGCTACTCGTGTTACATTATCTTTTGTTTTGCTCAGCTTTCCGCGCTGTGCACAGATGTTTATCCCCAGCAGAGTGTTCCTGCGTTGAATGGTCGACTTTAGGGGTGACGTAGTGCGAGTGGAAATCAAGGATAAGCAGAATCCCACAGGCTTCCTGTCACACAGTCTGAGTCCTGGCTCCTCTGTTTGTTCTGTGGTGGTGAATTATCGACACTATTTGGGCATTTCCATTTTGACCTTAAATTCCCCCTTTAAAGCTTTTGGGTTGATTGTGCTTATCGTCTCAAGCGTTTTACTTGGTGAAATAACACTGAAGTGAAAAATCACTTCCTCGCTTGTATAAATTCTCCTGTCAGAGGTTTTCATCATAGCACCACACTGTGGTGGCCAAACGTCCTACATCTAATCTGTCAGACCTCGACATAGAAGCAGGAATTTGCATAAGATTGGCTTCTCTGGGCTCAGCTGCCTGTTCTTCTTTTGGATCTTAGTGAATGCTCCAACTTTGAAGACATTTAAAGGTGCAGTAAAAACCTTTTGACCAAAGCAGGTACAGAAATTATGCATTTTCAGTTTCACAAAGAGAATCGTTCATCACATCCGTCGTCTCATCTGTGTGTTCTTCAGGAGGCGTGTATGAGGGTGGACGGACTGGCTTCAGTCATGGAGCCTGAGCTGAACTGCAGCTCCCAGTGTGATTCCCCACTCTGCTTCATCCACTCAGGAGTCAACAGGCAGGACGGCCTCCACATTCTGCAGAGACTATGCACTCTCAGCTCGGTAATCACACACACACAGGCAGACATCCATCTTATTAACACAGTATGTTTGGTCCTTCAAAACATTGAAGGTTTAAAAACATTTGTATATATAGATACATATGCTGTCTATTATATCGATAGTGCTTGTAATAAAATCACATTATCGTACATCACCGAAACCACGCACAGAAATGAGATAAATTGGACAAAAGCATTCAGGAAATGTGTTATTTACCACTTGAGCAGTCAGTTCAATAGCACAGAGCCAGACATGTGGAGCCACTGGACTAGTGAGGCTATCTTTAGCACCATCACAGTTGCTGGTGCCTTTAAGAGAAGGTTGAGCGAAGACCGGCGACATGAGGCGGGCACACGCATGTCTAATGTTACTTTTCAAATAGAAACTAAATGAGTAGAGCCACTGTGCCAGGGAACACTAGCACTCTGCTGTAGACTACTTTCGTCTTCGTGCTACGCCACATAAAGCGAGGTAAGTTGTCTCTTTGATTTATTTCATGCTTTATGATGTTAATTCATTTGTCAGTCTTAACATACTCAAAAGGGAAGGGAACAATGCGACGGCCTTGGTTTGCTTCATGGTAATGATGTGATATGATTGTATTTTAATGTAGTGTAATCTGTTTTATTCTAATGTCATAACAATGCCTTTTTATTAGTTTCCGTAGAACTTTGTTCATAAAGCTTGTTCAGCTAGAAGGAATTATCCTGTGATGAAATGTAACACCGGGCATGTGTTACTATTTGTGGACGTAGACAGCTCACCAGGCCCAACTGTTCCTTATAGTATAATAAAAAAAACTCCTAGAGTCAACTTTTTCTATGAAATCCAACCTGCTTTCCTTCTGAATGTCTTGCTAGATATGGCTGCTGCTGGCACCCTGCTGACTAAGGAGCAGCTTCTGTGTCCCATCTGTCTGGATTTGTTCAACCAGCCAGTCTCCACTCCGTGTGGGCACAACTTCTGCAGGGATTGCATACAAAGATACTGGCAGAGCGCTAATCTGTCACAGTGTCCCATGTGCAAGCAGAAGTTCTACAGGAGGCCGGAGCTCAAAGTTAACACCTTCATATGTGAGGTGGCTTCCCAGTTCAAGAATTCATTGGAAAAGAAAGACAAAGAAGAAGCCAGTACAGTGGACCAGTATTCAAGCCTCAAAGGAGACGTCTCATGTGACGTATGCGTTGGAAAAGGAGTCAAGGCTCTTAAATCGTGCCTAGAGTGCTTGGCTTCCTTCTGTGAAACTCACCTGGAGCCCCATCATGTTTTAGGCACCTTCAAGAAACACCACCTGATCAACCCCACAATGAACATGCAAGACAGAGTCTGTAAGAAGCATGCAAAACTGCTAGACCTGTTCTGTAACACTGACCAGACCTGTGTGTGCCAGGTCTGTATCAAGAGAGACCACAGTGCTCATCGCACTGTGTCTGTAGTGGATGAGAGCAGGGACAGAAGAGCTCAAATCCAAAGGATTAATGCAGAAGTGGAAGAAATGATTAAGTGCCGGCTTGAAAAAATCAGCGAAATCAATCAAACCGTTGAACTCAGCAGAGGAAACACAGATCGTGAGATTGAAGAGAGCATGCAAGTCTTCAACAATCTGCTCCACTTTGTCCAGAGAGGTCAAGCTGAGGTGGTGGAGGCGATTGGTGCAAAGCAGAGGAAAATTCAAGGCGAGGCCAGAGGTCTCATCGTGGAGCTGGAGCAGGAGATCAATGAGCTGAGGCGGAGAAACGCCGAGCTGGAGGAGCTCTCACGCGCCGAAGACGACCTCTTTCTCATCCGCAGCTTTCCAGGTTCCTCCACGCCTCCGGCCACCAGGGACTGGTCCACCACCTGCGTAGAGAGTGCTGTGTATGTGGGCACCGTCAGGAGGGCGGTGAGGAGGGTGGCGTGTCAGCTCGAGGAGACGGTCAAGGCTGAGGTGAAGAGACTATGCGAGACCGAATTTCAGAGGGCCAAGCAATGTGCTGTGGATGTGACTCTGGATCCTGATACAGCTCATCCCAAACTGGTGCTGTCCGAAAACAGGAAGCAGGTATTTCACTGCGACGTAGCGCAGAGCTTTCCGGACAACCCAATGAGATTCTACCCCGGTGTCAGCGTGCTGGGGAAGGAGGGTTTCTCCTCAGGCCGCTTGTACTGTGAAGTCCAGGTGAAGGGCAAGACCGAGTGGGATATTGGAGTCGGGCTTCAGTCCATCAGCCGGAAAGGAGGGACTATCGTGAACCCTGAGACGGGCTACTGGGCCCTGGGGATGAGGAAGGACAGCAGCTACTGGGCGCTCAGCAGCACTCCCATTCGCGTGCCGTTGGTCGGGAAGCCCCAGAGAGTCGGGGTGTACGTGGATCTGGACTGGGGGCAGGTTTCTTTTTACGACACCGATTCAGCGTCTCACATTTACTCGTTCACTGGATATTCATTCAATGACAGACTTTTCCTCTACCTTAACCCTCGCCGCAATCATGGCGGCGTCAACTCCGCTCCTCTGATCATCGTGCCTGTCGGCGTCTGACATCCGACGTTTCATCCCTTCGTGTTTCCTTTAACTGTTTTCTTTTTCAAATGAAAGTGAGCAAAGGTCCACCATGTTAACTGCTGCTCTGTTTTGCCTGAATAAAATCTGTTAATTCATCTGAATCCTTTGTGCTTCTTTTTGTAGCTTTTTACGTCCGTATGTGTGTGAGCTGTAATGTTTTGGACTGGATTTTGAAGGGCTTTCATGTGCATATGTGCGTGTAGACGGAGCTCCCGAGGCGGCCTGTCTCTCCTGTGTTGAGCGCTGTGGTGTGGACGCTGCTGTCCTGTGGCATCCTGCTGGCTTTCTGCTTCCTGCTCTTTACCCTGCGCTTCAAAAACAACAGGTAGTCTTTTCAAAGCGAAACACATCTGGAAACAAAGATGTTTACTGGATTAACTGACGATTGTGTGTGTGCGTGTGTGTTTGCACATTTGTTGTACTATCAGGATAGTGAAGATGTCCAGTCCCAACCTGAATGTCCTGACTCTCTTTGGAAGTGTCCTCACCTACAGCAGCGGCTTCTTCTTTGCCGTTGGGGAGCGATCACAAGGCGGCGCCTCCACAGCTGTGCTGCAAGTAAGGCCCGCAGCCTCTGACCGTCGCTGTATTTGTTGATGGATCATTGCTGGATATTTTATGCACCGCTGTCTCCTTCAGGCTCGGATGTGGACTCTTTGTGTCGGAAGTACCCTGATGTTTGGCCCAATTCTGGGAAAGACGTGGAGACTGTACAGAGTGTTCACCCAGCGGGTGCCCGACAAGAGAGTGGTAGGAAGGCTCAACCAGCATTTGTGTTCCGACCGACATATTTACCGGATAACTTTATTTATTGTTACTTCCCAAAAAAGCATATTATTGACCTTGTTCTGGTCTGCCAGAGTGTTAGAAAAGGATCAACGACAGTTCAATTTTTGTAGGACATTGATGTGATTGTTGACTTCTGGCCCAGATCATCCGAGACATCCAGCTGATGGGCCTGGTGGCTCTGTTGGTCCTGGTCGACATGCTGGTTCTCACCACCTGGAACCTCACAGACCCGATCAGGTGTTCACGGACCGTCAGAGCCGTCGTCACGGTATAATTCAATTGTCATTTTCTGTGAGGCTGCAAAGAAAAGTCAAGACTGTTTTTGTTTGATTACAGAAATGTTTTGTGCATCACGCATTAATTAATTAATTGCCAACACGTGTTTGCGTCCAATTGTTTATTGATGTCAAATAACAATTTATAGATGGTTTCGTTTCAACGTGTAAGAAGGTTTGACTTTGGGACCGCAAAACAAACGTCCTAATCCTTGAAGCTTAATTTAATTAGTTATTATTAGACGTGATGGTGACATGATCACATATTCAGGTTACGACTCACTGATACTATACATGTTTTCTTGATCTAGGTGGTAGAGAGAGACATTTCCTACTCTTTGTCTCAGCTGGACACCTGCTCATCTGTATATTCAGCTCTATGGATTGTCATCATTGCTCTTCAGAAGGTGAGCCATTTCTCTTTTTGTCGAAAGCAATTATAAGCTTCATTTGAATACAATAGAGATTCCTTCATTTTCATGGTAATAGGATTTATTTACATTTTCCTTTACTGTGACCCCACATTTCTGCTTAGGTCGGTCTTCTCTTCTACGGGACTTATTTAGCAGGGTTGACCAGCAACGTCAGCCACCCTCCCGTCAACCAGTCGCCCACCATCATGACCACCGTCACTTTGGTCACCCTCTTTTCGGCTGTGGCCGTGCCTGTGTCCATCTTCCTGCAGGCCTGGCCCGACCTGGTTTACATCACTGTGGCCGGAGCCATCTTCATCTGCACTCTGGCTACCAACTGCATGCTGTTTGTGCCCCAGGTGAGAAAACACTCATGCATGCAAGAAAGTACAAAACGGTTTCTGGGGGCAGGTTTTGGTTTCTTCCTTATCTGTTTCTGTGGATCACACTTATATTTAAAGGAGGAACCACTAGGGAGGGTGATTTTATTTTTCAGGAGCAATTGTCATATATTCATAGAATACCATGTCTGGAAACCAGCCGTAAATCTGACGGGCAAAAATCTAGATATGTCATATCTGTCATTTAAGATACACTTGAATGACAGATATGACTTTCTCTATTTGTCTTAACAAAAGTAGTCAAATCTATGAATGACTATGATGCGGGACCTCTATTCTTTATACGCGTATTCATTTGCCATGTCTGTCTGTGAGGTGTGACTCACACAGAAGGTGTGAATGAGTCAAAACTACATAGGATATTGCAAACAGGTTTATGGCCCTTGTGTCTGGCGGTGGGTTCATGTCAGAATAAAGGAATGCGTCTTCAATGAAAGGGAAGGAAATATCTGAAAGATGAGTAATGTGCTCAAACGCACCTGGCCCAAGCGTCTCGTGGGAAACGGTCGTGGTAAGATGAACTGGTGTGACACACTGTTTCACCGACACACAGCTGACTCAGTGGCGGCAGTTCGAAGAGGACCAGAACAACCCGAGTCAGATGGCCAAGTATTTCAGCAGCCCCAGTAAGAGCCAGCCGTCCGTGTACAGCCAGGACGAGATGTACTACATCCTGGGCGAGAACGACTCCATGAAGAAAATCCTAAGTGAGGTACTATGTCTATGTGTTATTTCATTTTTACTAATAACCTAAAATATTTCATGAGTTTGTGGACCTGGGTCTTTCATTGAATGCAAAACACAGTTTCTTCTTTTTTTGAACGTTTTGCCGGGTGCCTGTTAGATGGGACTTGCCTCCCTTGGAAATTGGTTGACACGGTTATTTAAACGCTATTGTGTTTTCTGATACAATCTCCAGAAGGACGCCGTGATTGACAGTCTGCAGGAGCAGGTGAACAACGCCAAGGGGAAACTCCTGCGACTGGTGTCAGCCAGCCAGCCGCCCGAGGACCAGCACCTCGACTCGGCCGACAGCAACCTCAACTCCACCTCCACTCAGACCACGGAGCTTCAGGCCGACGGCTCTGCTTCGTCTTCTTCTTCTTCTTCTCTACCTCAAAGAGACGCTAAATCCCAACTCTCGCCACCGCATCTCTACTCTCGACTCACGGCCGCAGCCGTTGCGCCGTCCGCTGGGCCTCCCTCGGCTCCTGGCGCCTCGGCCCCCGCCGCTGCTCCGTCTCTTCTCCCCGGGGATGTGTATGAAAGTGAGAACATGAGGGGTGTTTCTGCTGCCGGTCTCCCGGGGGAGGATCTCAAACCTCCCTCGCCCCTCGCGTCCCCTGGCTCGCTCAGGACGGCAGCAGAGACGGTTCACTTTGTCACTTCCCTACAATCCCGCAGAGGGTTAAACCCTTCTCCCTTAGAGGCTTTCAACCGTCAGAGCGGCGCGCTTTCCCAGCTCGCACCAAATGCAAGACCAGCGGGTTTTGTCAGCAGTGAGCAGTTGCAGGAGATCCTCCAGGAGCTGAGTGTGGATGCAGTGATGGAATTTGCTCTTCGTTCCCCTGGTCAGACATCGGCAACGCTAAAACGTACCGACGCCTCGGCTCTTTCCCCCCTCTCCCTCCGCACGCCGCGCTCCCCTCATCCGCCGGCCTTCTTCCGCTACCCGAGCATCTCCCCCTACGCGATGAGGAAACGTCGGCCGCCCTTCCACCCCTCCAGGAAAGGGTTGGGCCCTCCCCGTTTCTATGCAGGTTCAGAGGTTGCCGGGTGTGAAAAGATAAGGGACAACTGGGAACATGAAGATGCAGGGAAGCATCGCGGCGGGATCCCTGTGGACGGCCCCCTCCTCCAGGTTCACAACCCTGACCTCCAGCTGGAGGAGGAGGAGGAGGAGGAGAAGGAGGAAGGAAATGAAGCGATAAGGAAAGGTCAGAAGCGAATCTCAAGGTCTCGCAGACTCTCGGCCTTGCACCGTGCAGATCCCACGACTCCACCCGATGTGGAGGCGGGTGGTGGTTACGAGCAGCGCCGCAGACGCATTAGAGACTCCTGTGGCTACTGGGACTCCGACTCTAGCAGCTCAACAGACCACGGCTTCTACCACCGTCCCTACTGTGACTCCTGCCTGCAGCGAGGCTCCCTCATGTCGTCAGAAAGCTCCTCGGACTCCTCCGACAGCGAGTACGGAGGCTACACCAGCCTGTGCCGCTCGCCGCTCCCTGTGGTGTTCAAAGAGGACATCAAACCCACCTTTGTGTGAGCACAGGGTGACTGCACTTTACCATTCCCTCCGTTTCCATCGCTTGAGTTCATGTCCTAAGAAACGTTGAACAAAATGAGTAAGATGTTCATTGTGTGTTAAGCTATTGTGGAGATCATCTGACTGTAGCTTTCAGGTGGAACATGTTTGGGGTTCTGTATGACAAGGGCGGTAGTATTCTTGAATAAACAAATAAAATGTTTTTTTTTATTAGATTTTTCAGTGGCTCACAAGCACACCATGCTGTTTGGTTTGGTGTATTACTTGTGGCCTAATGTGTAATATTCCATCATTCAAATTACATCTCTTACACAAACAAAGTCTCAGTCTGACATTTAGAAAAAAAATGAGTATATGTGTCTTTCACAGGACAGCTGAAATGTTATATATTATCTATATATTATCTATTGTGTGTATGTTGTATTTATTTTAATATTTATAGTAAGATCTGTTAATGTATACAGAATTCCTCTTTGTAACATTTTTATTGTTTTGCATTATTTACACATAATTTAAAGTGTATTCCATTTTATTGTGTGGTCAGAATTTTGTTGTTAAAGCTTAATGCTTTATATTTGTTGTCAGATTATTTCAAATCGACATGTGGCTGTTTTGAGGGACACCGCACCTTTAAAGCAACTGGAGAAAATGAGTCACTGCCATTGCTTTGAGCCATTTCCTTATCATCTCAGTATTACTGTCCTGACTAATGAAGGGTATTTAATGAGCAAAGCGCTTTCATATCTGGTGCGTGTGTGCAAGACAATTTTTTTTAATTGTTTTTAAAGAAACATCACATCCCTTCACTCTGCATTTGCTTCTGTTTTAAACAGTGGAGATCTGTAGGCACGGATTAAAAGCCTGGGGGCCGCGGGGCAAAAATAAGTCCCTATTAGGCCGCCCACACTAGCATCCCCTCAACCCTTGTTTCCCAAAACCCTACAAACCAATAGGCTGCTGTAACACCACACTGGTTTGTTACCTTTTGTCGTCCCTGTCTTGGTCTCTCTCTGTCTCCTCCACTATCTCCTTTCCGTCTCCTTGTGACTTTTCCTTCTGCTAACGGGACAATGTGTTTTTGCCTGAGGAGGTATTGCTATGAAGGCCAAACAGCATCCTGCGTTACTTCTGCTCCACTGCCTTTTTTTGAGACACTACTGCTCTCTGTTCTGCATATGAACCATTGAAGGGAATCCTGGGGGAAATTCCTTAGAGTATAAATAACCCACACTAAAGAAAGACTACCAGCCTCCCTGTGCAGCAGGAAAGACGTTCCTGGCAAGTGATTCGCCTTTTATTCAAGATGGGAATAACTGGCGTATAACGTGAAGCAGTTGTCAATTACATTTATTTTGTCCATAGCTGTCTGCTACCTTAACATGTATTAAATTATGAATAGAATAATGACATTAGATAGCAGAGTTGTACCCATTATAAATGGGCTTTATCGATGGTAAATTGATAATTTACCTGCTCTTTTGAACAGTTTAAAGCCGTTACTGTAATAGACAGTAACAACTAATGGGACAGTACGACAACTTCACGTGTAAAATGGGTTTCCACTGGATCCAGGCCAAAGCTGACAGCTCAATTATTACTAGCAGTATGTTCAGTATCATTGGTTTACCAAAATTTACTACATTACACCACAAAGAGTGAAAAGGATTTTTCACCAGAAAATGTGTTTTCACTAACGGCATCTACTGGGTGAGTAAAGGTTCAAGGTTCAGCTCTGTGTCATCAGGCAGGTACGGAGTGATACAGTGACGGGATCAATGATTTACTCTTAACACAGCAATCACTTCGAAATTATAACCCCTTCATAACCTAATTATCACCCTATTACACGTGTAAGTCAACGTATATACGATCAAGGGTGGGAGATAACTTGCATACAGAGTTTTAATGACGGGCAGCGGTGCACATACGCACGTGCACATAGTTCAAATGGTTCTGCGTGACGCCACTAAGCTAATGGTGCTCGAGGGCTGCGTGTGTGGAAAATGTGGAGGAAGAGAGACAGTGGACGGTCTTCTGGGACTAACATAGCAACAGCGCTGCATGAGCACCGGTCCTCTGTGACAGATGGGTCCAAGTTGAACTGACAGTCTGCATTTGGAGCGCCATTGGCTGACAAACTTATCAGTCGTGGGAGCCAATACGCCCATTGTCCCCGTCGCGGCATGGGGGAAAAAAGAATCCTCTGACGTTGTGAGGGCGGTGCCGCGAAACTATGTCATGTGACGCTGAAGAGCGGCGTTCCTATTGGACCGCAGGAACCCAGCTCACGCCCATTACCGACGGATACCGTAGCTGATTGGCTACATCGGCGACCCCAGATTTCCCGTATGCGTGTTCACAGTTGCTCTATCCCCCATGCACGCCTACGTCAACAGCGTGAACCTCCTTCCACCACGGCGGAGCAATCCCTGTAACCTCTAACGGAAACGGCGCAAGTAACGTGCGTAGCGACAAAGACAGCGAGCCCGAAACCTATGGGGAAGGAATAAAAAAAAGAGATTCGGTATCGTCTCACTCTGTACCTAAAACCCGCCGGCCCGGAAGCCTCGGCGAGGACACCGACATTTGACAGCAACGAGGGCGGCCTTTGATTCCGAATTCGTTGAGGAAAACTGTGACAACTGGCGGATTTTCCGTTGGACGGTCCGCAGGCTAGGCTATAGCGAGGGAGCCGCCATGGCAGTCGGGTCGCCGAGCCTCCACATCGGGATATGAGGAGGAACCGCATGTGTCCCGAACCGTCGAGGGAAAACCGCCGCATTTAGACCGCAGAACCGCGCCGGGACCAGCCCTGCTAGCACCCGATCTCACCCTTCTTTTGTGAAGGAGGATTCTGCACCCAGAAAGCAATCGGGATTGGTTTTATTGGAGGTGGGGGCGGAGGAGAAGGAGGGGGGGCGCACACAGGGAGAGGCCAGATTCATGACTATTTTAGTCGGAGACGTGTCTTCAAAAGGTCCGCCGAGAGCCACAAACGGGGATTTAAGGAGGAAAAATGCTGCTCTGATTGTCCGTTGACGGGCAGGGAAGGACTCGATTTTGTTTAGGGTGGTAAGAACGTAACGTTGGCAGGATAAAGGGATTATAGTGCTTTTCAATTTACTCTCATCCTTCCTTCGGATGAGAAGGTTCGGACAAGCGACCAGTGCTGCCGATTAGCAAGTCACAGTCTCCCAAGTCAAGAGAGAGAGAGAGCGAGAGCGAGGAAGAACGCGAGAGAACCGAAGGGATCGGATCATGTCTGGTCGGCCCAGGACCACATCCTTCGCGGAGAGCTGCAAACCAGTGCCGCAGCCCTCGGCATTCGGCAGCATGAAAGTCAGCAGTAAGTACCCCCCCCCCCCCATCTCCTCCTCCCTCCCCACCTGTATTACTAGTCTGCCGTACCTCTACCGGCATGCACCGGGGCCCGCAAACCCGGGATTTTTTTTTGGAGGGGGGCGTCCTGTTTGCATAGCTTAAGCCCTGTCAGTCCCGGTGTCACCGAGAGCGGGCGGTTCTAGATGGGACACGCACTGACATGCACGCGCGCAATCCTGCCTTGGGTGTTAAGAAGACGCCGTTGCCCTCTGACGCGCGATCCCCGAGGCGGGTCAGCGTGACCCAGTGTTAGCAGGCCGCGCCGGGCCAGACGGCGGAGGAGGAAGGGAGGGGGGGGGGGGGGGGTGCGCTTGGCACTAACCCAGGTTCAAAAATCGAGCCCCTCTCTTGTTACTGCAGACCGGGCCGGATTATTGTCCACCTTGGATGCAGATTAGGTGCCGGAGCGGTGCTACTACGCGGCACCAAGCGCCTGCGTAATTGAGTTAAAGCGATCCGGCCGATCTATTACGCAACTGCCAACGCGGGAGGTGGCGCCCATGGGTGACTCGGGCGAAACTGACGTGATCCCCGGAGAGGGCTGGTTCTCAGCGATCATATGGGTCGTGTCCAAGTCGGCAGGCGGGAGGGTGACACCCAGTTTGTCCTGTGCACGTAGACACGTAGTGACACCGTGCCCGAGGCTGGTTTTAGACTGCAGAGATGGAGGTGGTCCTCACCCGGATCTGGACCTATTTTGGATATCCGCTTTATGTTATCTCCTCTAGTCACAGCTTTCACCCTGCCCGATAAATGTCTCCTTTCCACTTCACAAACTGACTCCTTAGCATTTTGTCACAGTGCCTGTGTGACCATATGAAATCTGGGTCACAAGACTACATTTTTGGGATTGGTTTTAACATAATATAACTAAGATCAATATTGACAATATTCACGAGTGATCCGGCTGAAGTGATGTCCATTGTTAATGTCTGGAGACACCCGGTGTACCGACCCTTTCTCATCCTGCAGGCAGGCACACATTTGGGCGTGTGTGATGGGAGAAATTCAGTCTGTTATGGAATGTGCCTCAGACCAGCGATGGAGATTATGATGTGTGTTATTGTGGTGAGGCTTCAGGCTGAGGCTCTCCTCCTGAAACCACTCCGACTAGGACACACACACACACACACACACACAGGAAGATGCACACCTGTCCCAAATGTTAATACGTATCGTGTCCCAGATTTGGCTGTTGAAGCACTGGTGTGTTGGCGGTGATGCTCTAAATGCTCTGCGGTGTAAAAGGCCTTGTGCCCATCAATAGGTCAGCCAAATGGCTGGAGGACTGTGAGTCTGTGGCCCAATTTACCTTCAGATTTAAGCTACTGAATTAGAACCAAATGGAAGACTGATCTTTTGGACTTCACATTACTTGAGCTTGATCACAGTGTCTCGCTGTGGTTTTCTCAACCCTTAATGTTTTTAAGGGACATCTGGTGGACATCTGGTGGGCCAATACATCATTATAAGTCTGATCATTTGATTTGTACTAGCAGGTGGTGTTCACCACCCTGCTGGATTGAAGGTACTTGTCCTTAAGGCTGGCCCCTCGCTCTCATCTGAGGGAAGATGCCTTTACAATATACACCAATTGTATTTTCCGTTTGGGAGAGAAATGATGTTGCTATACGCTATAATCGTTCAAGACAATGGAAAGCACCAAATCGTCACTTTGAACTCATGGAGTGTAGGGATTGCTTTTGCAGGAATAATGAGTTTTCGTTCCAACAACTGATTTAAAAAAAAAAAAAAAAATACTGTGAAATCAGATTAGTCATCCGGAGAAACACAATTTGCAATTTTGGCTGCGTCACGATTGTACTTTGAACTCAATTGATATAACCCTTCTCACCTGGTTATTATCTACCTAGGCTTGTTTTCTCTCACTATGTCATCCACCCTTACCCTGACCTCCACCAGTGTGTGTGTGTGTGTGTGTGTGTGCGTGCGTTTGAATAACGGTAGATTATCTCAAGCAGCTGTAGCTGTATTCAGTGTGCAGAACACTCTTACCCCTCCTACGCAGACAGACAAGAACACACACACACACATCCGTTTGCACACCCACATGAGCTCTCTTTGATTTTGTTTTTTGGGGTGAGGCAGCTGGCCAAGAACAATGAGCGGCCTGTTTAGCATTTCAAAGCTGCAGCTCCCTCCCACCCTCCCTCTTTCCATTTTTTCCCCCTCCCCTTTCCTCTCGGCCCCTCTTTCTCGTCGTCGCGATTGATGATGGGAGCAAAATGAACCAACTATTATGCGCCTTTGAGTTCTAAATGAAACCGAATGCAATTCACAGACGAGACGAGAGCCGTCGGAATCCCTCACAGGATGCAAAACCTAGCTTCCTAGAGTCTAGAAAGGAGGTGAACGCGAGCAGATGATCGGCCTGCGTGGCGTCTGCAGGGTGTAGTATGCGTGTCGGCAGGGCAGCCGGGACTCTGCAGGCTGCACACCGCTGCCATGTCTCCAATCTATCCACCCACAAGGTTGTCTGGTGGAAAAAAGAAAAAACCCACCAATACCTTGATGTCTTAATCCGAGCTCTGCTCAACATCCCTGCGACTGGATGTTCCAGTCGTGTCGAGAATGTCTTCAGCCTTGCAACGGTGCTGGAACACTCTGCTCTTTGCACGAGTGTGTGTGTGTGTGTGTGTGTGTGTGTACCTGCACAGATTAACACCGTGCATGCTTTGCTCCTCCGTTTTGCTGTCCAGGAATCTTAACAAGTCGGGTCATACAATCCTGACAAATGTCCATTTGCCCCGCAGCCCAGTTCGTTGCGTCTTGTAGTCTGAAAGCTTTAATGTGTTCAGCAGACTTAACGTGATCTTAACCCAATTACGTGAGTGCATTCTGAAGTGATTGATGGTGATGTGATCGCAATCGGCGTTTGAGGTCGCAGCGCCGTTCGGTGTGTGTGACGTGTGCGACTGCCAAACAGTTGAAACATTGATGCACGGAGGATTGTACGCGTTGGCCAAACGTGCACATCTCGTTCTGTGAAACTGCCTCAACATGAAGCGTGTGAAATGACTCCTAAATGCAGTAAATATACAAATACCACTGCAGCCTGATGGTGCCTCAAAAGGGCAACGATTGAGTCATACTATTAATGATTCTCTGGGTATCAATGATAAGTGGAATGCAGAATATCTGACGTTGAGTCTCTTGAATTTTAAGAGCTATCGTTTCAGACTGGCGTCAATCGCAAGGCAGTTTTTAAATGAATTAACTATTTTTTTTCCTTTCCTTTTTTGACCCCACATGAGAATGCTGGGGCACATGGCTTGGTGAGCGAGCGCACTGCATACTAGAAAGTCTTCCACTTCTAGAAGCCAAACATTTATGGGCTTGCAAGGCCCAATGAAATGCTCAGCTTGTGTAATTATGTGCTTAAGTAGTTTCAAAGGACGTGACCCTGTATCCCTCTGGTGGAAGTTCATGTTTGCAGGAGTAGAAAATATTTGTCGGTATCATGTACAATATATTTTGAAAATATATCCACATTTTGACTATAATAGAGTGGAATGTGCCTGTTTTGTTCTCCACTTAAATCAGTGATTTAGCTCCAGCATTTCGGTCATTTCCTTCCGAGCTGTCTGTATTTAGAGATGCTCGCCGGTGGCGTTCTTCCGGCCCGGTCGGGCGCGCGTGTTGGGGGCCCAGCTAGTCTGGTGACGCCTCTGGCTAGAAGTCGCAGCAGCTGTCTCTCCTGTGTCACTCTCGGGCTGAGTGATGTCGACATGGAGACGAAATCATGCAGCGGGATTTGTCACACCAATTATTTCCTCGTGACCGGCTAATGGGCAAAGTAATTATGGTAGTGCTGCAAGCACATGTTGCACTGTGGTCTTGCTCTTCGCTGTGAAGGCTGCAAGTTACATTTTTTTGTGGGATTTCTTTTGTTTTACCAACTTGCACATAATTCAGTTTAGTAAAAAAAAATGCTTTTACTTTTAAAGAAGCTAAATTTAATTCAAAATAAAATGAATAATAATTAGAAATTACGATGCATGCTGCTTAAGTCTATATCAGACTAGTGCGGGAAACTGCGCTCCACGCGGGCTTCCAATCGTGGACGTGCAAGAAAATCAAATGCAATCTGATTGCTTGGTCATTTCATGGATTGCATCCCGTGTGAGGACAGGAAAGTGCCGAGGGGTCCTAAAAACAGCGCTGCCAAGTTGCACCCCACCGCGCCCCCCTTCTTTCTACAGAATCCGTGACGCTCTGTCGGCATCTCGGACCTTTCGCTTCTACCCCCCCCTCCACTCTCTTCCCTATTCCCTGATCATAATCACATCTTCAGTAACAGGAAGTGGCCACATGTCCCCGTTGGATGGTCACGACCTCCTCACGTGGACATCCCGCCGGTATCGTCCGTCCTCCTGGACTGCGTCCACGCAGCGCTGCACGGACTCTATCAAACTTCCCCGTGATCTGGTTATTAAGCGGCACAAATCCACGCGGCGACGTGATGCGGCGACGTGATGCGGCGACGTGATGCGGCACCGTGATGCGGCGACGTGATGCGGTTTCCGCCGCGCGCTGTTATTAACAAATTACGGTCTTGGCAAGTCGAAAACCTAAATTTAGAGCCATTTCACGATTTCATTCACAAAATGCCTATTTGAGGTGCGTGGGCGCTTTTGGCTCGAGGGCCACTTTTCTCTGCTGCGAAAGGGGATTATGCTAATACGACTAGTCGTTTTAAAAAGAGGGGGCGGGGGGGAGCAGGTGTTGCCACACACGTTTTAGTCACAAGTTTTGTAGTTAATTTGAGAGCTTGTCGAGACAGGAGCAGGCCCACAACACACACACACACACACACACACTGTCACTTGGTTGTCATGTTGACTGCCAGCTAATGTGAATTTTGCTCCTTGACACTTCGGTGGGGGAAGGGGGGAGGCTGAGGGAGAGAACCACTTAACCAGGAGAAAGCCTCCACGTGGAGATCTCAGGGGAGCCGCTCCTGACTGACAAGAGAGGAGCGCCTCCAGGGAGGGAGGGAGGGAGGGGGGGGGGGGGGTGAGGATGCAAAAGCGGTTTCCAATCTACAGTGCATTAGCATCATAGTCGGTCTTACTAGCTCGTGCCTTTACAGCGATGATAATCCTGGCATTTTGCTCCCTGTCTGTACGCGTTGGTTGTAGAGGGATCACATGCGTCCGATTGTTTCCTCCCTGAGGTTTAGTCTTTATGGTCTCTCCCCCACTGCAGGTACACAGCGCACGTCCTCTGAGCTCAGCAATGATTCACAGCCAGTCAGCTGGGAGCTGATCAGTACGAGCACAGCTGTTGACCACGAGTACTGCTGGAACAAATGTGGGGGTGGTGGGGAACTGGAGGGGGCGACTGTGGCTAACGACGGAGGCCAAGCATTCAGTCGGTGGGAGTTCAATGTGTGAGATCAAATCTCCTGAGCTGGCACTATTGGTTCGGCACCATAAGCGATTTGAAAATGTCACAATAGAAAAAAAACAATCCGTTTGTCCCTCTTGTTCACCGAGCTTCTTATTAGCAAGTTATCGGTCTCCTTAAACGCCCCTCGTAGATTCCTAGAATTTGCATGCCACTACTTGTGGTCGTCATCTTTTATTTCATCTGGTTCTCTGCCTCTAGGAGATAAAGACGGCGGCAAGGTAACAACAGTGGTGGCCACACCAGGCCAGGGCCCCGACCGGCCACAGGAGGTGAGCTACACGGACACCAAGGTCATCGGCAACGGCTCGTTCGGCGTCGTCTACCAGGCCAAACTCTGCGACTCCGGAGAGATGGTGGCCATCAAGAAGGTCCTGCAAGACAAGCGATTTAAGGTAAAGATGAAAACCCGCCTCCCTCAGCTCACGCAGCTCTCTGACTCGTCGACAGGAAAAGACGCTTAAGGACGGACCGAAAGCAGCGTTTACAAATACTCCTCTGAATGCGATTGAAGTAACTGTGAAAAATGGAGAGATCCTTCACAGGAACATAGAGACACTAACACAGGCAGGCTTTAAATTGTGTGTTTGAGGGAAGTGTGTGTGTTGTAGCGGTGGGAGATCCTTTATTTAATCTCTTTCCCACAAACTAAACTTGAACCCGCTGACATCAGTCATCTCGTAACGGCCATCCGTCCTGTTCAGTTGCCCCTCGTAGAAATGTCCCGTTTCCTTCCACGCCGACCGCTGCAGGAATTCCTCCTGTGCTTTGAATAGATTTGACTGACGGCTTGTTGTTCCTCGGCGTGGGCGACATTGCGGGGCCCCCAGCGGCCCCCGCTGCTGGCTTCCAGCTCACCGATAAAAGGTCCTGTGACTGCCGAGCCTGCAGGGCAGCTGCTCAGATTCTCATTAGGTGCAGAGGCTGCAGGGCAGAAGGGTAATGGCTGCAAAGCAATCGCAACGGCGCCGATCATTTTGTTTGTGTGTAATCCTGCAAACACGTTATCAAACTGGGATCTGTGTCAAAATCCCGCTTTAGCTTTTCTTTAAAGCGTACACTACGTTCTTAGGTACGGCTAGCTAAACCCGATGCAAGTACAGCAGCGCTGCAATAAATCCCACCTCCGTTAAGGTATTATTATGAGAGGAGCCGACAGCCGCTGATGGGGGGGGGGCGGACAAATGCTCACTACATTAGACTATAATTTGATGGCACCACAAACCCCTTGAAACGGCTCCAACAAATGCTACTGTGATAAAGAAAAGACGCATCGCACCACTGCTGCAAAAGGCTCTATTCGTTTTTAGAAATTCTTTTTGCGTTCTGTTTCGTGTCACTTTCTATTACAACTCATTACTATTGCATTTTTTTGGAAGATGCAGATTTCTCCTTTTTTCGTTATTGGCTTTAGGCAAACGTGTGTCGGTCAACATTTGTCCAAAGAGGTTTTTGAAGAAAAAAAAAAAAAAGCAAGGACCAAGATGTTTTTGAAACGTTGCGTTCAGGGTCATGTTGATCCCTTCCACACACGTGGCACTTTAGATTGTTTTGTCTCCATCACACATTTCCTGCCTTTCACGGGCCGAGCAACGGCACATGAAGTACACAGTTAGGATGAAGCAAAACTACGTGTGTCTATAATGTTTTCCATGTGCGCTGTAACACCCACACACTTTTACTCTGATTGCGGGTCATTTGAACATCATGCAATTTATAATTGCGGAGATTAGACGTAAACGGTAAGAGGCGGCTTTTTAAAGGGTTTGTTTGATACTTTGGCAAAAGGCTTCGATGCGTAAGTAACAGAATTCTTCAATCAGCCGCAGTTCTTAGCCGGTCTTTGTGCCGACCGGCTGCAAGAAAAGGAATGGTGTGTTCTAAAGGGACGAAATAGTCCTTTCTAGGGGACATCCTGGAGCAGGGCTCTGCTCCGTAGGCTGGTGCACTACTCGAATAAAAAGGCAAATGAGATTAAATCCGATCGTACTTGCTGTGTTCAGTTATGCAAAGGCTCATTTAGGGGCAGGCATTGCAAACTGTCTTATGAATGCTGTGGTTGAAGTGTGGCGTTTGTCCATGTGATATATTTGTCCCCGTTGTGTCGTTCATCAATGAATTATTATGATCTGAATTGGTAAGACAGCGCTGACTTACGGATTCCCTCCGCTCCGAGGGCAGTGCTCATTATTTTGTGTTCCTACTGTCGTTCCTCTCGGGCGAGCAGGGCTGTGTGGAGGGGGAGGACGGTGGAACACTGAATGTGTCCCTGGTTGAACTCCAGCGTGGGACTGTTGCGTTTAGCCAACCGGTTCCGCTAAATACTCCAGCAGCTCAGTGACCTCAGGCGTAACCTTTTTTTGGGGGGGGGGCGGGAGGATCAGCAGTTTTTCAGCGGGTGCTCGTCGTTCGCTGTCCAAAACCAGACTAGATAAAAGATGTTCCCTTTTTTTAATGGTGTCGACCATCTGTCACAGAGAATCCTCCGTTGTTGTGGAGGGGAGCTATCTGTGCCTCTGCGTGCCGCTGGCCGTGATAGTCATATCCTGTTATCCTGTGGTTAGCAGGGCACACTAGCAGATTGCATCTTTACGCACTCTGCTGCTGAAGATCTTCTCTTTTCCCTTCGAGCAGAGCGTCTGCCGTCTCTGCACAGCCGGTTCTCGGTGTCAATAGCTAATAATAAAAAATAATAAAAAACAGCGACTCCTCACGTGACTGCCAAGTGTGCGTATCCGCCCCAACGCACAAACCTATCCAAACACCTGCCTTCCATTTTCTTCTCCCCGCCAAAAGTTTTCTCTCTGGTTTTCCCGTCTGATGAGGCGTCCATCTGTGCCGTGAGGCTGAGCCAACGGAACCGGCCCGGTCCTACATGTGTGCATGCTGTATTTTCTCCCAGTAGCACAAACACACGGGAGTAATCCTGTGAATAGACCCTGTGTCAGGATGTACATGATAGATATGTGAGGCTATGTTGGTGGGCTGCTGCTGCTGCTGCTGCTGCTGGTGCATTATGGGATAGGTCCTCGTCCACTCCCATTAGAGGGATCCTGTATCATACTATTGGAAAATGGATGCTGGCATTGGAACCATCAATCATCCACACACATTAACTCAGAATGATGACACACGCACAACGTTGTCAAAGGACGGATCTGTGTTCTTTCTGTGTTTCCATTGTGTTTGTGACTAAGTGTTGTGTTGCCCGTTGCGGCCTGCTGCTCCTCCTGCGTTACATTCTTCTCCTGAACGCGTCATTGAGCCACAGGGTGACATGTTTCCTTAAGAGGGACACAGTCCCACATACGTCCCACATGCTACTGGGATTACTCGCCAGAGACACGAGGCACACGGCTTTCCCCACGGACGGCTCAGCGAGGTCAAAGTGCCGAGAGGCCCTCTCAAGGTGTGGCTGACGGGACAGACTCATTCACTAGTTTACAAACTGAGTCACCGCATTCCGTGTCCTTTAACCGTAGCTGTCATCAGTCCTCACTGCACATACTGCGTGTGTGTCTGGGCTCTGAATCATTTTCTTAGCTGAATGTGGTTTTTTGTCTCACCGCAAGCATCTCCACCGCCTGAATTTGAGGTGTTCTCCCTGTCTTTGCCCTCCGTTTGTCTGCGGCTGACGCGCTGGAGGATGACAGGTCAGCAGCACTGCCTGCAGTATAAAGTGGACCGACCGCCACACACACACACACACCCTGAAACAATCCCGCTAAGCCACTGCAAGAAGACCAGGGCGTTGCCTGCAGTGCACGTTGCCTTTGATGGCTGGTCAGTGACCAGGGTAAGCGATGATGTCACTACGTGGCGCTTGCGTGTGCACTGGAGGTATTTGTGTGAAGGGTGAAGAAGCACGAGGAGGAGGACCGTACCATTAGTCTCTGAGGGAATCAGACCGGGGTGAAAGTCCACACCAGGACAATGAGTTGGAAGATGCTGCGGCTGAGCTGATGAGGTCCTGCTTCAGTGGACAGACGGACTCACTCTGCTCTGTTAATACATAAATGAGAGGGGATTAAATCCTCATAAAGTGGCAGATAAGTCTGGAGGGACAGCAGCGAATCGCCCTGCGCAAGTCAGCATGTCCCTGATCCACGTAACCGGGGGATCCCATTAGTGGCCCAATCAGTGGCTCAGCCAGCCGCCTCATCAGGCAGCTTCTCAATGGAATCTCTCAAAGCTGTGGAGCGGAAACATTTAGCCAACTAATTGATAATTGTGATCCCATTATTTATAATCGCTTGTTCATCTAAATAAGAATTTACTTCATTTGGGTTTAATTTCAAGGATTCATAACTGGTGAGGACAATTTATTTCAGTTTTTTAAATTATTTTACGGTCCCAACGATAATGTATAAGTACATTATCTTTATCTTGCGACTGATTTGTCACCATTTATCCCGTCTTGCTTTGGACAAACGATTAGAACCTGGTGAACAAAGGCTGATCCAAAAGGTTCAAACCTGATCACGGAGCTCACGTGACCCGCTGGGAAAGTGCAAACACATCTGACCGAACATGAACTCAACCGTATTTTCCATTTCCTCTGGCAGTAATAATACGTATTTATTAACAAACAAGCAGAATCAATGAACTACAACGAGAGCTGAGCCTTTTCCCACCCGGAACCCCACACACGGGCTGAGACGTTGGTTTGAAGAGGCGATGTACTCGCGTTACTGCTCATTTAATGAAGCGGAGACCTTGGTGTCCAGTTTTTGAGCTGATTTAGTTGGCGAGCTGCTGGCGGGTTCCTCTGTCAGTTTAATTGTACAACAGAAGTTTCTCAACAGATGTCAGCTGGAGGCTGATCGCTTTATGCCCCCATACATTATTTATGCTGCGCACTCTAATTAGTTCTTACACACTGTGAGGTTTACAAATACTGAATATAAAAAAACAGGAATGATAGTTCCATATTATGAGGAATTTAATTGAATGTAAATCCCACATTCTGACGTCCTTGCTGTAATGACCTCCTATTCAGAATTCTATTCATTGCACTTATGGATTGGCTCTTTATGGAGTTATGGTACAATCTGTAACCGTACAGAATCCCATCCTCTTACTCTACAAGTAGCTAAAAACAAAAGCCCAACTGGTGTGTAGAGGCGGCGTTAACACAACCTCCCTCTGACTTTTGGCCCTGCGTCCTGCTTTCTTCCTGTTCTCTGGACTCTGACAGTTCTCCATTCACCTTCTGCAGTGGAGCCCAAATGTTACACAAGCACTTTAGTTCAACACAAAGCACAGTGAGGAGGGGCAGAGAGAATGTGAACTGTATGAAGCCGTTAGAGCTTTATGTAATGTAATGACACGCTGCACGACGAGGTGCTACAGGGTCCACTGCTTACATCTTGTCCTTGTGGCCCTGTGAGCGGTTACTTTAACATCTCTTTATCAGATGGGTTTGTGTTGTGGACTAGTTTTGCTTTTGTGTTGTTGTTTTTTTTTTGTGTGTTGTAATTGTCGCTTCCTCTCAATGCTTAATTGTGTCGCCATGTTTCAGCCCGTGGGATTTATTCCAGCTTCTGGCAGTGAGAAAAAGGCCCGAGGGTGTCCCTTCGTCAACCATCAGCCTGAATCTTGATGTAATATGGAAAAAATGTAACGTGTCCTTCATGTTTTTACTTTGTGCAGAACCGCGAGCTGCAGATCATGAGGAAGTTGGACCACTGCAACATTGTCCGCTTGCGCTACTTCTTCTACTCCAGTGGAGACAAGGTCAGTTGACTGAGTGTGTCTGAGGTTTGTGTCTCGACTGCATTATTAACTGTTTCATACAACTTTTACTCATGCATACTATTTCTTTTTAAGTACTCACTTACATTTAAAAAAAAAGCATAATTAGGTTGACTGGACTTTTAATGACCACGCAGTTTGCTGCAATCTGAGTTCTGATATAACTCCCATGTTCAGGACCCTGAGTCATGACTACATTTATTTTGTATTTAGCTGTGTCGGCTTTTGAACTCGCTTCCTGTCAGCTGCACGGTTTGACGTCCTTCCCCCGGCCTCAATGGGGAAGTCCCCCTCTCTGTCGGCCATTGGTGTTCTCTCCTGGAGACGACACGGCTGGACTGTGTCATTGCACCAGCTGAGAGACATGCAGAGGTCCACGTGTCAAATATAGACCTGGCAGACGGGCAGTTGGGACCACACCATGACTCTGCAGTCAGGAATGCTTCCACGTTGCGCACCTACTGAGGCCAGGGAAAGCTGTGGGGGATTATAGAAGGGGGGTTTATTATAGACTCACCCTGCCTCCCATTTGTGCTCTAAGCTCCACTCAGTACCGCCCCCTCCACCCCCCCTCCCTCCCCTCTTGCCTCATCCCATGTGGTCACTGACCTCTGGGAATCTCGCCGCCGCTACACGTCCCAAGAAACGAGCCATGCAGCTTCCCAACATGACTTCTGCAATCGCAGGGGTTTGCTATTTTGATAACCCACGACGCTCATGCGTGTCTTTCATTACCCCTTTCACCCCCCCCCGTGTGTCCTCCGCTCATGTGTCCGTTTCTTCCCCCTCACCAAATCGCTGTGGTCTAATTATGGACACTGGCAGTGTGCTGCTGGAATGAGGATTTACCTCCCGCAGAGCCAGAGAGGAGAGGAGAGGAGAGGGTGCTGGGGGGGGAAGTAGGCAAAGGGTGAATCACCTGGATGGGGAGCTCAGCGGGTGGACGGAGCGTGGCAGACACAATGAGGTATAGGGTGAGGGTGCTGCTGGGGTCCTGATGGGAGAGTCCATGCCAGGCGCAGCTGCGTGCACGTGGCACCCGGCACGTGCACAGGTAGCCTTGTGTAACCGTGTGCTTTTTGCTTTTACCCTTTAACCACTCGTATAACGCCGTTCAAACAGAAGTCCTCGTGTCCAAACAGCGTGGGCGGGTCGGCAAATAGCGGATTGACTTAGAAATATGCAGTCGCCGAGATAGTGCAGGTAAGACGTGCTGACACAGTTGCCCTCCACTGTGGTTACTTACTTACATTCCTGCCTGCTCGCCATAAAGCTACCGGCCTCGGTTGTAACTCCATAAATATTCATCCTCTTCAACGAGACCCAGAAGTCACCCAGTCATTCTACGCTGGAACGGCACCGTCTGTCCTCAGGCTCCGTTTGTGTGCGAGTGGTAATTTTATTAAATACACCTTTTCTTTACAAATATGCAACAGTACAGAACACTATTAATGTCTACACCGCTACTTAAAAATGCCAATACTGTTGCAAATTTCAATATATCTTTAATATGCTATAAATGGACACCGGGGGCTTGTGGGGCCCGTGTAGAACTGGGCTCTGAGGCAGTGGTACACTGTGTGCGGTTGGATTACCAACCACACCCAGTGAGATCTGTCTGTGCTAGTCAGCTTCAAGCCGAAGTGACAGCTCTATGTTTCCATGTGGGTCCACAGAGCTCTCGTCTTCAGGCTGGATAGGCGAGCAGGCGCTGCCCCAAAACCTGGAGGTTCACCCTGAGTCCATAATTGCTGTAGTGGGTCGGTTCCGAGGCTTCAGGCGGAGATAGTGTAGTGTGTGTGTGTGTGTGTGTGTGTTGCACCTAACATGGTGGCCACAGTGGAGGGTGAGAAACGGTTGGATGGGCCCATGGCTTAGTTTTTCCCCCTCGGGCCCCCCAGCAGGTTAACGTGACCCTCGCAGCCTCCATGTTCTCTAGTTGCAAGGCAAAGCCATTTTATTTTGTAAAGCACATTTCGGCAATTCAGAGTGCTTCACACAAAACTATTAAAAACATAAAGCCAGGAGATTTAAAAAAAAAAACAATTAAGATTATTAATTAACGTTAATTGAAACATAAAAGAAAAACATTAATTAAAAAGATGTCTTAAAATCAAATTTTCAGTTTTTAGTTTAAGATGACTATTTTAGTATTTTAACATGAGTTGGTTAAACAGCATTGCTTCTGCGTAATAATCCAGCAGGTGTGTAGTCCAGCAGAAGCCCACATGCTGGTATGAGGCACACGTGTGGAAACAGACACGTAACCTACATATTACTGCTCCTCTCTTACACGACGCTGCTGATGACATATTGCTGAGATTGTTGTTCAGGTGCAAGCAGTTTTTCACAGCTAATTAAATGCTGAATTATTTAGCTGGGAGGCGAACAAGGAGCTCAATCAGACCCCCCCTGGTTCAGCATTTGGGAACGAGCCGAGGAAGTGGCTTTGTAGTCAGGCAGGAAGTGAGTCATGGCTGTTGCTAGGCTAAATATAGCTTTGGTGGCGCTAGCAGGAGGCGGGGCGCGCCTTCTAGTCGTCGCAAATGTTATCAATGGGAGTTTGCTGGTGGGTGCACTGCACGCACACACATGGCGCTGAGAGAGACACACGCAGAGCGTGTTGGGGGGGACAAAGCTACCCTCTGCCCAGAGCTTTAAGAGGCTCCTCCTCCTGAGCCGGTGTTTCATTCTGTCTCCATATATCTGTGTACACGTGTCTGACGGGGAGCAGCACAAAGGACCACACACACTGTCCCCTGACGCCGCTCAAAGGTGGACACACGGCTCCACACCGAAATTCGAGTCGTAGGCCCTTTCCATTTAGTCTCGCAGGTGCTTTTTAAACCACCCACTGATAATTCCTCCCCACAAAGGGATGGTTAACATTCAAAGACTGTTATAGGAAATTACTGCGCATGTTTAAATAGATTGTTTGTGAATCTGTGTTGTATCTAAACGTGTGAGCAGCCGGTTTCCTCTCCGTACGCGCTACGAGTCCAGGGGGGGAACCTTCAGGCTTCACATTCAGCTTCCTTTCAGGGTCGCTGTGCTCCAGAGTTTCACGAGCACAACTCTGCCTTCCCATACAGGCCGTTGTCATTGTCTGCCGGCGCGTGGGCCGCTGTGACGTGCAGTTGTGTGTTTCCTGCCCTCCTATTGTACGATACACAATAGTTCCCCAGTTTGACTGTGAAGAAAATAAATGAGCTACATCAGATGGGGTCGACGTACCCTAACGGGGGAGGAGGAGACGCTAGAGGAACATATTTGGCAGCCGACGTAGACGTGTGCATTTGGAGTGCTATTTTTATGTTCTATGGTCACACTCAGAGTAAAGGCATCTGTTCTGCTTGACCTGTAATCATTTATACTTGGCTCATGTCTCTGCATGCTTTTGCTCTCCTCCAACAGAAAGATGAAGTGTATCTGAACTTGGTTCTGGATTATGTTCCCGAGACGGTCTACAGAGTGGCCCGACACTACAGCCGAGCCAAGCAGACTCTGCCCATGGTTTATGTCAAGGTGCGTGTGTGTGTGTGTGTGCGTGTGCGAGAGACTTTAACCATCACAGCAGGAAGTGGTGTGGGCAGCTCTCTTTTCATTTGAATTTCCAGAACTCTTTCTAAAAACGAAAAAAGAAATGCCAATGTGAAAATAAAATGTCACTTCATTTGTTTAAAAAAATAATACACGCAGTAAAATGTTTATAGTTAGCTTGCACGCTCTGTGCAAAGATTGTGGCAAACGTGCAAATAATTTGCAAAGGCAAATAAGTAATTGCACATTGCCTGCTTCTTCAGCCTGAATCATTTCCAGTGAAATACTAGAAAAAAGGCACACAATTTATTAGTTCCACCAAACAAAGGAAGCAGTCAGCACCAGGATGAGTATCAATCAGTGTTTTGCTTACGTTTATTCCAATAACCCAAATCACCAGTTCCTGACAGACTGAGGGGAGAGAATACGGTCTTTGAGTTGCAGACGCAGCTTTTCTTTATCTACACGAGGCTTTGTTCACCAGGTTCAGGAATTTGAAGAGGAAATGCGAGACGCTATTGTTCAAACATGACAAAATGTAACGTTCCCGACTGGTTGTTGTTGTGCTGAGCCTTGTGTTTGTGTGTTTAGTTGTACATGTACCAGCTGTTCAGGAGTCTGGCCTACATCCATTCTTTTGGGATCTGTCATCGGGACATCAAGCCCCAGAATCTGCTGCTGGATCCAGAGACCGCTGTGCTCAAGCTCTGCGACTTTGGCAGGTGAGACTCGGTAACCTGGTAAATGTTATGAGTCAACAGTGGTCTCTGCTTGTTGCCTAGCAACTTCATAGTAAAAATAAGGTCCCGGGAGGCTACGTGTAGTTTTTCCGACTTTAGGCGCTTTTTGTGTTCTGATAGTTGTAGTACTTTGCCTTTTTGGATAGCGCCGTTTCCCTCCGTCTCCAGTCTTAGCTAAGCTAATCATTGGTTTAAATTCAGCATACAGACAGGAAATATTTACTAGTCTCTCCATCTAACTCTCAGTAAGAGACGGTCAAATGTCAAACTACTCATTTAGAAGAAGTTGGTCTCATGCTGAGCTAAATGATTCCTGTTAAGGAATTAAAATGAAAATGTTCCATCACAATTTAAGGGGTTGACTGAAAAAAGTTTTAAGTAGGCAGCATTTTTAGCTTCTCTTATTTTCTTTTAATCAGAAAAGCACTCCCTTATTTTTGTGAATCTTAATCACAAGGCCTTTCTTTAGGTCCACGTTTGTAGCAGAATGTGATGTGCTTATCATTTCCTGTGCAGTGCGAAGCAGCTGGTCCGCGGGGAGCCCAACGTGTCTTACATCTGCTCTCGCTACTATCGAGCCCCTGAGCTCATCTTTGGCGCCACCGACTACACCTCCAGCATAGGTAGGATGACTCCAACGGTCCCCGTCACACTTTAACCCCTAAGCCGCCTCATAAGCTTCACCTCAGCTCATGAGTTGCTGCTAATGACCGATCGTATGTTACTCATAAACGTATCTGATTGATTGTAAAGATAAAGACGTAGTGTGGAAGAAGGTAAAAGCTTATCAGAAATCTGTTATTAAATGTTGCTCATGCAGACCCATCCAGGTGGTTGAGGTCATCTCTGCGCTTTTGCTTGTATCTGACATTTCTTTTCCTTTTTCTTCTAGACGTGTGGTCAGCTGGCTGTGTTCTGGCGGAGCTGTTGCTAGGACAACCGATCTTCCCCGGTGACAGTGGAGTCGATCAATTGGTTGAAATAATCAAGGTAATGATGGTTGGTGACGGAAGTGGGTGTAGAAGTCTTCATATATGATAATATTTATTTTTCTTTTTCACAATCTGATGAGCAATTCAAGTTATTGAAACAACGCTCTTGTTCTTGTGTTCTTTTTCCAGGTTCTCGGGACCCCAACCCGGGAGCAGATCCGTGAGATGAACCCCAACTACACCGAGTTTAAGTTCCCCCAGATTAAGGCACATCCTTGGACTAAGGTGAGTCAACAGGTACAGGAACCCTTTTTACTTCTCTAAGATCCACCGCTGCTTCATCTCTTGTCTTCATGCTTGTGTTTCTTTTGTCGCTCCGCAGGTATCCAACTTCCTCAGATTCACCCAACTGAGATGCTTTGGGCCTAAAGAGTCCTGCACGTTTTAGCCCCCATGAAGGGAGACTCATTAAACACAGGCTCAAGACTGTACAGAATCCGTTGTCGTACGATTATCTAAACGCCACGATTCTTTAAAATCCAGCTAAAAAATAGGATTCTTCCGTAGTTCTTGACAATTTGTTGCTTAAGCTTTTCACCCTCCAACAGCGACATGTGAGATTTCCTTTACATTCTAGCATTAATTTAAACCGGTGTTGCCTCAGAAGCACCAAGAGCTCAGTGCTTTGCCTTGTCTGTTAGTTCATCAAAGACGGGTTGCACTGTCGACACCGGACACATTCATTCTCCACTTCACGCTCTCGTGGTTTGGAAACGGTGGCGAGACATTTTCTCGCCCACAGATCTTCCGTTAATGGATGATCTTATAGTCAGTCATCCAACGCGCAGGCAGCCCCTAAAAACAAATGATTACATTTGAGCACGATGGGCTTCATAGAACACACTGGCGATTCTGCATGTTGTCATTTACAAGTCCATTGTTTGTGCGCGTGTTTGTTAACGGCATTGGAATATCTCCTTTTGGTGAGCGTGGACTTCACATGGTCCCTGCTGACATCCGTATTTGTGTCTAACTGTCGTTCAGGTGTTCCGGCCGCGTACGCCTCCGGAGGCCATCGCCCTGTGCTCCCGCCTGCTGGAGTACACGCCCACGGCCCGCCTCACCCCGCTGGAGGCCTGCGCACACTCCTTCTTCGACGAGCTGCGCGACCCCAACGTCAAACTGCCCAACGGGAGGGAGAAGCCCTCTCTCTTCAACTTCACCACCCAGGGTGCGCACACAGGGAACTAAGTCAAAGTGTCGGTGTCCAGGACTGAAGTAAACCAGTGGATGTTAAAACTGAAGCGTGAATAAAACCAGGGGGAAAAAAGGATGCAGATGAACATAGTTGAAGTTTGCTGTTTTCTCTTGCAGAGTTATCCAGTAATCCCTCTTTGGCCTCCATACTCCTGCCTGCCCACGCCCGCAGCCAGGCCGCCGCCTCCACCCCAACCAACACCTCTGCCACCACAGGTCCGAGCCTCGCTTCCTTCAGCCGGCCCTGTTTTTGACGCAGCTCGAAGGCTCTATTTAACTGTTAGAATTAGCAGCCGCAGAACTCACAACTGGTAACTTCAAAAAGCTCAATGCAAACCGTTTGAACTTGTTGAAGGTGGCGTATAGAAAGGACCGCGGACGTTTAATGCTGCCACATGAGTTGCGTTTGGCCGGAGAGTTGACTGCTTGCTTTTTCCGCAACATTGAAAACACCTTTCACACATTCATACCCGAGGCCGCCCAAAACAACCGGGGACTGTTGTACACGCAGCGGCTCCAGCTGGGTGTTAAAAGTCCTGCTGATGAGCTTGGACTCGCAGTAGCAGCTGAGGGAGGGGAGGAGCCTTACTCGTTCCCTTTCTCTGCCTATACTTTCCCATCCCAGGGAGACCCATCGCTCCTCTTTGTGTCTCCTGTCCCTCACTCACCGATCTGCCCCACAAACCCGACACAAGTAACTGTTTGACTTGAAGGACCCTCTCCTCTTCCTGTCCGCAGATGGCAGCAGCACAGAGCGAGGTCCCAGCACCACCACCAACGCCTCGGCCTCGGCCTCCAACTCCACCTCCTGAACCCACAGACGCCCCCGCCCCCGAGTCTCAGCCCCGGCCCGCGGCCTCTCCATCGCCCCGGCCAGGGGGTGAGCTCCGCTCAAGCTCCGCCCCCCCCGCTCTCCTCCCTGACCGCAGCGGAGGGATGCTAACGCTGTCCGGGTTCAACGCCCGGCCAACAGCCCCCCACGCCACCACCACAAACACAGCATCCCCACTCCCGCCTCCTTTATCGCCCACCGGCCGCTCACCCGGCATCCAACTCTACTCCATCCTCCGTCAGAGACGCCTCTCTGAGCCCTCAACGGGGAAAGAAAGCGCAGGGCCACAGCTGTTGTTGACTGTACTATTGATAAAAGTACAGTGTACATGTATACACAATGCTAGCCTGCTAATGTTTGTAAGAGGACAATCTGTAGAAAAAGTCCTACGCCCCCTCCCCCACCTACTCCCTCCCCTGTGTCCTCTTCCACACTGTCCCATTCTTCTGCATATGTGTCTCCTGGCCGATCCCACCTCTGGTTCCTCCTGTAGTGCATGGCCTGAGTATGGTTAGGATCACCCAGGGGAGGGGGGTCATCCGCCCCTTTCACTTCTCAACTCCACCTCTACAGACAAGGCATGAGGCTCGCGCACGGGTACACATACACACACACACACACACACACACTCATAAAAACACGCACATGGGTGCATGATGATCCTGATGTATGTGGAAAGAATCAGTCCACTTGTGTGGGTAAAGTTTGGACTTTATTTTTGTTTTTCTTTGCCTCGGGTTGTTTTTAAATGGTCAGAAAAGCTGTTTTACTCGACCTTGTTTTTAATTTTTGTTTTGTACTCCTAGGCAGATGTTTTCGGATTGCCATGTGCAATGGATGTGACGTGTATCTGGTCCTGTGTGCTTGTATAATATATACATACAAGAACAAACATGCATACATACAGTTTATATATTACTTTTCCTTATGTATAAAAGTATATATAGATATATGTATATTAACTGCAATGATTCAGAAATCATTTATGGTGAGCTCATATCTGGCTGAGCAGTGGCAATATTTGCCGCCGCCTAAGGACAATAGATGTAGACACGGTGGTGTTTTTGTTTTCTTTGCTGGAGTGAGGTTAGATTCCAGCTGTCTCATCCATGTCTCTTTTTAAGGCTGTAGATGGACTTCTCCCGTCTTCGTACATGTGCTGTCCCGGTCTCTGTGAAGAACTCAAGGCGTTTCTCCATCCTTGTCTTTCCTCGACACCTCGCGAAGCCTCGGCGGTGGTCGCTCGGCTCGTCCCCGGCTGTCTCGTGCGTTGTGACCACTGACTGCAGTGTTAGCGTAGCCTTCTTCCTCACCCGCCCGCCGCACATAGAGCCGCCCGGTACAGTCAGTCCAAGCGTCGTACCCACAGAATACTCACTACGTTAAAAAATAATAAAAAAGAAGAAATGAAAAAAGCAGAATTTGTATATACAGTATAAATGCGCCTCACCAAAATTCTGACATGTATGACTTGTATGTTTCTTTTTTTCATGTTTTTTTTTTATTTTATTTTTTTATGTTTAAGGTATGTATATCTGCAGACCCATGTACTGTTTATGAGCAAAAACAAAGATGAAAAAGGGTAGACGTGAAAAAAAAGATTAAAAAAAAAAACGGCATCAGGGCGAACTGATGTTTGTGGATATTGTAGAGATGATGATGATGATGATGATCAGCTTTATCCAGCCATATGTTCAATCTTACCTGTACAGTAGATGACCGCTGTATTATTGTAACAAGAACTAGTCATGTATAGTGTAACTATAGTTTGGAGTGCCTTTGCTTTCATACACCCTTCGCCTTGTTTCCCTCCTCACCCAGCCGCCATCACCCTCTCACCCCCATTGTGACTCTCCCTTTGGTGCTGTTGAAGGTCCTGCTATCCTGCAACACACACACACACACACACACGCACACACACAAATTCTGTACCCACTTGAATATCAGCTCCCTCCATTTGCACCTCTTTCCCCTTTTCCCATTGCACATTACTTGTAATATACAGACATTGTTAATTATAAGGTTTTTGTTTTTGTTTTGGTAGTTTATCTTGGGAAACATGTACGCACAGACATGTACACCATAGTTGTGGCATGGGCTCCGGGCTGTGAAGTGAGGCGGGGGGTCCTCCTATACAGTGTATGTGACTGTATATACACAGACAATAGAGCACCGTTCCTGTGTTAATCACAGTGTTGGTTCTGTTACCAAAGCCAAACCAGGATGTAGTTGTGATGAGCCATCCTCCTCTTCTCTCTGGATATGTTGTTAATCTGCCCTCTTGCCTCTTCTCCTTCCTGTCAGCATCCTTGGCCGGTGGGAGGGATTCAGTAGCACCGAAGGTCGAGTCATGTAGCCTCTCTTTCTCCTGCTTGCTGTAATTTTGCATTCATAGATGTGTTGCTAACAACCACAGAAAGGTTTGAGCACCTCACCCTGCTCCTAACTCCACTTCAAAGCACCACAAAGGTTCCCAAAACAAGACAAGCAAGCATACATGCTAGTATAATATATTACTATATATTATATAATACTAATATATATATTACTATATACTAGCATTTACAGTATGCTACCTAGGGATAAAAGACAAATCATGGAAAATACCACAAAAGCATCCTGTATAACAGTACTACTACTTGAATGCCTCCGTTTGTGACTGAAATGGTTTCTTTTTCTCTTCTGTTCTGTGAAGGTAAGCTAAATGTGCACCTCTGTAAATATTCCCCTTGCGTGCTCTGAGGAATAGTTCCCTGGTACTGTAATTTGCATTAAATAAAGAGTAGGATAGCCTGGAAATGATCGAGCTCTTTGTCTGTTCCGTATTATTTTAGTGCAAAGTGGATGTTGTAGATAGTGTGTATTAGGCCTGAATGTCTGATATGCATTAATACATAAATGTTCCAGAGTTGGGACTTGGTCTCAAAAGCAGAACCAGCAGCTACACGTTTAACATACTTTGGAAAATTGCCATTAAGTTGGTACAAATGTACTCTAACTAACTAATACTTACTGTCAGTAAGCTATATCCTCTGAGTAACCTAAATGTTTAAGGTAGAAAGTTAAATGACTATTAGAAATAAAACAACACTGAGTTTGAAAGACAAATAATATAAACCGAAACAAGTTAATTGATTCTAAAATATAAACCAGCTTTTTGGAATTCATTTTTAGGTGGTCCCTCTACTTGACAAAGCAATCCTCTGGCTTAGTCCGTCCACAGCGGGGCAGTGTTCAGAGGACTTTTATTTACGGTATGTTTAGAGCCTTTTTCTGTCACACGATGGCATCAAAACGCTAAACAGGGACGTGAGGGAACTTCAGGTATGAGACGCAAAGATTGTCTTTGTCTAAGGCTCTTTTCGTTGTATGAGAAAAGTTCATGGTCAGACAATTCTGTGCGTGACGTTTCGAAAAAAAATGAAACCTTGAAACGTGACAACATTCATTGAGACGGAATGTGAACTTACTGTAGGCAAAACAAATAACACATAAAGTTACATGTCAAATCCCCCGTAATCCATCTGTTATAACCACTTAATGCCAGCGGAGCCACTTTGACCTTTTCAACCACCGCGGAAACAAGAGAGGAAGCAAAAGAGTTTCAGAAGTCAGAGTGAGTGAACTGCTGAGTAATTCACTGCACTGTTTCTTCCTCTTGAAGTCAATCCAAGTTTCAATCACACTGTGTCGCTGCGCACCCGGATGGTCTGATCGGTCAAATAAAAACCAACCCGTGCCTGCGTGCTAATGCTCTCTGTTTCTAGGGTTGAGATGTTCTGTGAGGAAGTGCTGCTACCTGGAGAGAACAGGGACGTGTTTGGCATCAGATCGTACTCTTGGTCCTGCAGACCAGCACCATGTGCGGTGAAATCTGAGAAGAGGCTCCAGCAGGAGCTGCAAAATGATTTGATGACGTCTAACAGCCAATAATAGAACATCAGTGAACCAGATTAAAAAAGGAAGTTTGGAAAACTGCCTTCTTAACAACTGCGCCACAATAGACACCAACCAGCTTTAATGTGAATATAGTCTTCTTTGTTGAATATTTCGGTTTTTGTGTGTATTAACTGTCAATTAACAGTAAATTATGGGAAAACACCGTATGATCATTATTTTCCAAAGTATGGATGTAGTCAAAGTATCATCTAATCGCATTTAATACGGACGCCCCTGAATTATTTCCTAATATTATTGAAACTGTCCCACAATCATTTTGAGAGACAAACACAGCGGGTGACGAATGTCACGGATAATGTCACAGATAAAAAATACTCCTCCACTAACGACAAAACAAGTGCAATGAGAAGCTCAGGCCTCGTTCACCCCTTCACCAAGTAAAACGTTTCCTTTTCACTGCGAATCGAAAGTACTCGTCTGCTCTCGGGCTGCTTAAGTGTCGATTACTTTGAAACGGTGTCACTTAGATTCCTTCCACTCCTTCCACGCCTGTGCTGCTCACTCTGTAATTAACATAAACCATATTTTGGCCTTTGATGCGGTTTCACTTCATCTAATCGCATTGAATGATTTGGTTTTTCCGACCCATGCCACTTAAGATGCCACTGACACTGATTGTATTTAGCGTTGATGGTACTCGGCCTCCATAAGCTGCTATAATCAATCAATCATTCATCTTCTACACTGCTTATCAAGAACATAATGCTACATAATGTCAAGTAAAATAAGAGTTTTCAGACCAGGCGAGAGGTCAGAAGTCGGCAGAGCATTCATTTCTTTTTTTGTAAATCTGCGAAAAAAGAAAAAGACTGTCATCCCTTGCTGCATTTATGACAACTGCAAGCAGTAATTTAAAAATGTAATTAGATTAGAGAGCTAAATTATTGGACCGATCACTGCCACTCCCACCTTGTGTACCATCATTAAGCACTTTATGCCACAATAGGAGAAGAATGCATTACAGTTCACTGTAAAGTACACTACCTTTACACCTGTAGCTGTAAATAAACCACTGCATTAATCAGTCTCTCTGCCTGAAATAACCTCAGATTTCTGTTGAATAATAATGATACGTGCTTCATTCTGGCAGAGAAAAGGAATCAATTTATTAAGGGTGCACTACATGCAGGCCTTCTATCGGGCACTCAGTACCCAGAGAGAAGTGGAGCTTGTACTTGGACCCCGTCGAAAAAAAGGTGGGAATATACGGCACATAAAGATAAAGATAGATAAAGTACTAATAATCAAAAGGCTGAACAACAAATGTAGGTATCAGACTGCATTTCTACACAATATATTTCTATGTATTTGTTTGAATGGAGTTGATTAGTTTTCTTCTCCTCCTCCTGCTCCACTTGGCTGATCATCTCCTCGGTTGGAGGATCTTTCAGAGGGACCGGTCAACAAGGACGTCCCGGGAGTATTAGGAAGGATCCCGGAGCACTCAGCGGTTCCCTGAATGATGCTCCGAGCTGCCTGCAGGTGTCTAAGCTGCCTCTGGCGCACTGGGGAAGAGAATTCCCACGGTTGGACCAGTGGGCAAAGCTATCATTCAACATTATCGCTACATACTCATCATTTTAATCATTTAGTTTTTTATAATAGCAATGCGTGAAAACAGAAAAAATCTCCCGAACCTCTTTGCCTGACAGCGATCTTCTCGACCTCTGGGATGAGGAAACTGTACATCAACTCAGACACAATCTCCTCCGACTGAAGACTGTTTCGGCTGCTCACGAAAACACAAATGATTTAGTTCACTACTTCTGAATTTTCTGAATGTAAAACATCAGCCGACCTGCTGAGGTATCCGTTACCTTTCCTCCACGGCATAAGCGATGTCGTTGACCTCCTTTGCCCTCCTGTGGATATCCTCTCGTGCCTGCTGGTCAGCTGTCTGCTCCACGGCCCCGAGGATGATGTCCTCCAAATACAAATCCACAGTCTCCTGGTGCACTCGCACCACCTGTAACGTTTGTGAAGGACACACACGAATGTGACGCGTTAAAACAAGTGCACCCCACACATACATACGGATTATTATTATTATAATAAGTATATCCTTAGCATGCTGGTAGCTAACAAATGACACATGTACAGACCTGTCTAAAGATCTCATCTTCTTCTCTGCGTCTGCGCTCCTCCATCTGTCTCCTCCCGCTCTCCTCAGCCTCTCGTAGGCGGCGGTCTCGCTCCGCCAGCAGCATGAAGGCATGGATCCTGCGCTCCTCCTGGAGGTGAATCAGCTCCTTGGACAGGGTGTCGAAGAGGAGTTCAAGCTCGGCACCCACCACTCTGGCCTGGGAGGCCTCCTCCTGGGAAGCCTGGGAGGGGAGAGAGGAGGCACGATAATATTTTATGGGAATTGTTAAGATTCTGTACGCGGATGTGTCTCTGTTTTTCACCTTGTGCCTGTGTTTGTCCATCTGTATTTTAAGGTTCATCACGAGCCCTTTGTCAGCATTCAGTCGCTGTTGCTCCTCTCCCTGCAGGGCGTGGACTGTCCTCAGTTCCCGAATGAGCTCCAGATTGTTCTCTTTTCCCTTTAACATCTGAGAAAAACACAGAAGCCAATGAATAGAGAGTAAATACAGTCCTTACAATTTAGGAACATGCACACACATATGCATGCAGACCTTGCATTGGACACTTCTTCCTCTCAGTAGTTTCTGCAAGCTGATGACTGCGAGCTCCTTCTCCTCATCCCCCTACAGCGGCAACCATGAACGAGTTGACATTAAGAGGACACAAGTAGGATGAGCGAGGTCAGTGTCAAGTTTGAGTCAGAGACATTTGCGGACCTCCGGTGGCTCCTCCACTCTTGGAGTGACGGGACGAGCAACCGGCTTCAACTTAACAAGATAACGGGAAGACTTCTTAGGCGCTTTCTCCTCTGCTATCAGGGCCTGCGGAGCAACAGTAAAGAATACTCCTGTTTATACAATGTAATGTTAAGCTTGATGAACACATTTCTTCTACATTTTCTTACCTTGTACTTTTCTATCAGTTCTACTTCTGTGCTTCCGGGTGGACTGATCACACTCTTGATCGGTTTATATGTTTTCCCCAACGACTTGAAGACTGAGGCAGGGAGTCCTGCTTCTAGCTCCTGCAAACCTAAGGTATGATTGACAAGAAGTTTATGGTTGCCGTGGAAATAAATGGATATGGTAGCCTCTGAGATGCTTTTATGGAGATGATGTACACCTGTACTTGTCAAAAAAGGATTCAGACCTTCATATGTGTTCAAGTAGTGGCTGTTTATCTCAAAGTTGCAGGTGCTGCTGTTGGAGAATGGATCCCTGCGGCTCCGAGGGGCACGTCTCTGAATATTTGTATAGTTTTTGACACTGCCGAGTTGCTCGATCTCCCCCTCCACATTTTTCCGCTTAGCTTCCAGTTTTCTGAGCGCTACACATAAAATAAACAATTTAAACAATAAACAATAAATTTAACAAAGAGGCTTGAATGATACATTCACGATTGGGAAAGATGAAGAGCAGAGGGGGCAGCTGTCTTACACCTGACGTAGTCATTGTGAATCTTGTGTAGCTTGGTCTCTTTGTCTTTTTGGTGCTTAGCATATATGTGGTTGAGTCTCTCGTTTGTGACTTCTTTCTGGGCCTCATCTCTTTGCCTCAAGAGGTCCTTCAGCACCGTGAGACGGGCCTCTTGCAACCTGGTCGCCAGCGTTTAAGAAAAACAAAGAGCATGACAGAACTTTCTGTGGCAAATGCTTATAATGTAACTGCAATGTTTCCCAATCTGGGCAGTTTTAAGCCAATGATAAAAATGATGATGCAGTGTTTTGCAGTTGATTTAATGGTGGTAGCTACCACAATTTAGCCAACAGGTAAATAACAGGTGGCTGAAATCTGTGCAAAACTGCCCTAAAACTATTTTAGGCAAGTAGTGGCTTACTATCTTTTCCAGTTGGAAATAAAACGTTAAATAACAGTGGCAGAGGTGCACGCTTACTTCTGGATTTCTCCTTCCCTGAAAGCCCACTCTTTGACCTCCATCTCCTCCATCATCCGTCTCCTTTTGTCAAGCTGACTAAGGTCATCCAATGGAGGAAGGGTGGCCTCCCAAGCTCGTTTGGCCCGTGCTCGCTCTATCATTTCCACTTCTGCCAGGCCTGCAGGCAGACCACGACCTGTGGGGAATTGTCATCGGGGAGGGATTAATAAGATGTGTTGGTAAGCTTAGTATGAGACACTAAAGGGGACACTAATGACCTGGTAGATACCGATAGACTACTTTGCTGACCACCACTGGGACAGGTGAATATGGCTCTAAAGAGGTAATTATACATTATAGTCTTCATCTGGTGAAGATCTTAACAGTTGATCATTTACCCCAAGTCAAGGTGGCCAGTTGCAGGAGTTCTGACGGAGTTCTCCCAGGTTGCACTGTATACTCGGGGCTGTACGGGTCTGTCTGTGTTTCACTTTCCCTGTAGTCTGTCTGGACCCCCACGGTGAAGTGGGTGCTCTGTTCAGAATGCTCTGCATTCTTTCCACCGGAAGATACAAAGTGTTCTCTAAAGAAACAGAATGAAAGGTGCCCCCCCCGCCCCTTTAACAGATAGATGACACAACAGATTTGTCTGGAAAATGAAGAAGCGCTTACCGCTTGGTACTTACTTAGGCAACGCAAAAATTGCATCGGGTGGAATCGGCTGTGGAAAGGGAATCAGGGGCCTAAATGAAACAGAACACCTCATCAGAGGATCAGTGGAAACTGTGGGAGAATAGTGGTTATCGTTCATAATGTCGTGCCTAGGAAACTACTGCACGATTCATTCAATACGTCAGTATTCCGCCCCGTTCGCAGTGGTGAGTGAATGCGGACAGGCTGATCGTACCGTTTAAAGTATTTCCATCGATCAGCTCCGGTCACGTGGCACTCCTCCCGTTTCAGCCATGACGGAGCATTTGGAATAACCCTGTCATAATGTCACGGGACCCGGTGTATATTAGAAACCAGTAACGTGGTGGAGTAAACACTGCTGGTTGAACTGGTTGTCTGTTAGTGTTACCCGGCCAGCTGCTGCAACGCCTCTCTGCGCTGCTCCTCGTGACCTCTGTGACCTCGCCAGCGGCCGTCCACAGAGGCCGGTACCGGGTCTCTGGTGTCCAGCTGAATGGTGTACCGTGGATGGTGGGGCAGTTCACTGAACATTGACCCAAAATTAATCAGTCTCCTCTAAAAAAAAAAACGCAGAAAGAAAATTTATTAACAGGAGACGAGAAAAATCTCAGCCATGGGTGGGAAGTGCAGAGGGGAACAGAAAGTGGGTCAATTATGTTGTTTTTTTGTAGTTCTGTTGTGTGAAATGAAATGCATTCATTTAAGTCAGTACACGCTCAGGCTTGCTTTTGTATGCTCTAGTTTAATACGTGTACGTGTCAGCTTAAGACAAACCACACATTAGTGAAGTGTGATGTTTCGTTAGCAACAAAACCAATATGTTGCCTGAGGACAAATGGGGGGACGGGACTCACCGTTCGGACTTTGAGGGGGCACCTGGCCCGGTCCACCTCGGATGACACCGTGTAAACCGGATCTGTGGTACAAACCCTTGAGTCAAGCTCGATGACGTCAGGCTGGCTAACGTTAGCTGCTAGCACCTTCGTGACGCGGTATGAGGACTCACTTACCATACAGGTGGTCGTAAACACGTTGCTCCCTCGCAACTTTGGAGGAATCGTTGCTCTTAAGAGTCGTGTGGGTGACGGATGAGCTCATTTTCTGATTTTGATTAAGACAAAATCGCGCTTTCTCCCAACGAAGTTCTCTTCCGCGGCGATGTCACCGCGCTGTGCGTTGCGAGGTAACCATGGAGGTAACCATGGAGGTAACCATGGAGGTAGCCATGGTGACGGTAAACTCAAGCGAGACGGCTTATTTTACTTTTTACTTCTGCTGTCTGAAAGAGCTGAAGAAAACAACCCTCTTCAAATGACGAGGTGGTGCAATAAATGTGCGTTATTCTGGGTTTGCGGAAGTGATATTTCGAAACAAACGAAATATATAAAATATGTTATGTTATGTTATATGGGTGCATCTTAATAAATGTATATGTAATGTATGAATGTACATTATAAGGATCAAATTATGCGCCAGTGATGTAAAATGTAAGAGATAATAGTGGTTCTGTTATATGTATACACCTTGCATGTCAACACATTTTAATACAGTGCCAAAAAAAATGTAGAAAAAAACTTGTCCTACAAAATCAAAGACATGTTGCCTATTGTTAATGCCACTAGACCAGGAGATAGAAAGGTATGTTTCTATGTTAATGTGAAAATAAAACATATATATGTACTTATCCTGCTACGGTGTTTGTGTTTCCATCAGTCACTTTGTAAGTTGTACTAGTTCCAAATGTACATCATGTAGATATCGTTTGAGTTTGACAACAACAGGAAGTCTGTTTTATCAGCCAGTCACACATATACACACACATCTACACACAGTGTGAAGCACACACGAGTATTTTTAAAATTAGTTTAGGATTTGAGGAACACGACTGACCAAAGCAACCTTTTTCGCAGCTGAAAGCTTTTTGCAATTTATTTGGAAAGGCCATTTTGGTGCCAAGTGTGCCAGCTCAGAGTCAGCTGAACCGATGTCATTTCTGCAAATATCACTTCCTCACATTTGTGTCAGCTGTAACTTTTATCAAGACGTTCAACCGAGTGCCCGCCGAGTTGTGGGTGAAGATTGTTCTTTTCAGAGATTGTACATCCTAATCTAATGTTGACTGCCACAGTTGTGGGCAGAGTGAGAGCACGCTCAGCAAAGGGAGTTTTAATAGTTGATCCGCAGTTAATACCAATGCGTCTCCCTGCATGGTGTTCTCATTAACCACAGAGTGCGCATTGAGCTTGCAGATCCTAACCACATGGACACGATAATGCGTCGTTGTCAGTTTTAATCTGCAAACCCAGGATGGAGTCAGCAGCTCTGCGTCGTTTAACCGTTGTTTAGCAAGATAAGAGCATCTTGCCCCACCACAACATGACACTTACTCAGCACAAACAGTATCTTCTCAGTAATAACTTTACGTTCAGTGACACGATTATCATCAGACCTTACCAAACAACCAATTTAAGTAGTCATTTTTGTGTTTTAAACCTTACCAACAAGTGTTTTTCAACTGTATGGTAACTTTGACCTCTCAGTAGAATGCAAGCGAGTCAACGAAAGCATCTCCAAAAGGCCTATGAAGAATCAAGACATCTCTTACTTTGAAGAACATCTGAACATTTTACATGAGGGAAAGTGGGATTTATTGAAAGGTTGTTGTTTTACACTGTATTAGATTTACAGGCGTTCATATATTAATGGAGTCTATGGTATTACAAAAACAAACTACCTGTGCCGTATGTACAGCTTGGCAACGTTGTCTTTCTAGCTGTACACACATACTGGTGACTATAGCAAGAAAGGAAACCGGTATCTCTCGTCAGACGTCATCCTGTGGGGGAGAAAATAGCAGATGTTTGGGTGGAAAGCGGTTTGGAGCGGGGGGGAAGAGAACGATGAAGGAAGGAATAAGTGAGTCACATGTCCTGTATATTCTTTCATCATCAGGAGTGACAAGGAAGTTCTGTTCGTCTGGATGGGCTGAAGAACTCACTTTAAACTTTAGAGCGAGAGCGAGAGAGACAGGGAGAGAGAGAGGGGGAGAGAGAGAGAGAGAGAGAGAGAGAGAGAGAGAGTTGGGTAAATGGTACCCAGGGAACTTACTTGTCACTGTAGTCAGTTGTAGGAGTTCAAGCCTGAGGATTCGGTTACAGACTTGATGTTTTTCTCACTGGCGCCGATGAGGGACGCGATGTGGATCTACGCAGTGTTTACCTTCTTATTATCTGAAGCATGGAGCATGGAAGGTATGAACATATACTCATTTAAGCATTTTACATTATTTGTTGTTTAACTAACTTTTCTTTTTTTGATAATGTCCAAATGCGTCATACGTGCTTCGTGCTTCTTTATGGACTCGTATATGAATGTTGTGTGAGCGCATATTTACGAATCTAATTTAAATTGTATACACCCATAATGGTATAGTTAATTACTGTATATTCCATGAAGTAATCTGAATTTAATTTGAGTCGTAAAGTGTAGGTGGATCAACGCTCTGCGTTTTCTTTTAAATTGTCTGTGGTGTGACTCAGACAGACAAACTGACACTATTTTCCTAAGTGGAAGTCGTGGTCTTCGATCAGGGTAATCCCTTGATGGACATTTTCTCCACTCGGTAACAACAATGTTTGTGGTTTTGCACAGAATAGACGGAAACAACTACTTTTTAAAAATGTTTTCTTTACTGTTTTCCTTCCTTCAGCAACTGTTTTTTCTATTTTCGATAAAATATCAAAGTAGTGCATTTTGTGCCACAGCTGTTAGTCATGTCAACCAAAAACCTAAAACTAATCACTAATCAACTAACTGCTGATTTCTGTTTTTACTAACGTTTTCTCACATTTACTTGAATCTCTCTCAGGAACTAATCAAAGCACCTCTGTGAAGTCCAGCATATTTAAGGGTAAACACATTGTCCCCTTTTCACACCAACTGTTTTTTCAGTACAAGTAAAATCTCGCCTGTAAAATTAAGTAATACTAATAGCACGGGAAGATGATAATCCATCCTTTCCCAATCCTAATCCTAATATCACAAATGCTTCTTTTAGTTGAAATATAGTAAAAGTTAATAAAATGCTCTGACAGAAGTTATAGGAAGGAAGAAAGCATGGATTAGTCATCTTTTTTGTTTTATTTTGGAATCATAGAGGCTTTACCAAATGTCACTTTCATCTTTACAGTCATTGCACCACTATGTGCATACACTAAATCACACAACTATCCCTTCTTGTTTTCAGTTGACAGCCATTTCAACCAGGGGAGTGAAGTTAACCTGACATGCAGCAATGAGACGAGGAAGGAGATGCTGTTTATTAGATGGAAGATAGAATTAAAAAACAAAAAAACATGTCAGATAGGTTCTATTGATGGCAGAAGCGATGATGACTGCAAGGATGGCAAATCACTCCGGAACACATCCAGCGGCTTGTCCTACCTTCACATCCCAAACATCTCAGAAACTGACGAGGGGAAATACGACTGTGATTCGACTTACACCGGCGGAAACGACCATCATGTCATTCATGTGACTGTCACAGGTAGGACGGTTCCCTTATGGAGATTTATATTGAGCGCTGTGCAACCGATGAGGTAAGTAACTCATTTCTTTTATCTCACCCGGCCCAGTTCCTCCAAGTGTATCGGCCTGGATGTACCATCAAGACAACAAGGTGGTTGCAGTATGCAAGGCCGAGAGAGGAAAACCCGCTGCCAACATCAGCTGGAATCATGTGGGAAACGTATCGTCTGTAAAAAGTGGCTCAAATGGATATTTTACTGTAGAAAGTCGCCTGGAGCTCCTCGAGGAAATGGACACAGAAAACCTAAGCTGTGCCGTCAGCCACCCGAGCTGGAAAAGGGAGAGGATAATTGTACCGAAACTCCAAAAAGGTTAGACTTTTGCAGTGTGGAGAGTGTGAGAGAAAAATGTAAGCTGTCTTCAGAGAGGTTGTATATTTAAAGTTGTTTTATCATGTTGTTTTACATTGTATTGGTTATGAGACATTGTGTGCTATTGATACTAACAAACCTCTTCACTCTCTCACAGCAGATCACTCCCTAAGGCTGTATGCCCTTATTGTTGGGGTAATTATTGTGATCTCAGCAGGATTTTTGTTTTTTGCATGGAGGAAAATAATGCCATTCAGGTGAGACTTCATGTTTGATAAGCAAAAGCCTTACATAGACTACAAACATGCTTTTTAAAAATAATGAATCACTCAGCTTGTTGACGTATCCACTTGTTACCAGGCGATGCCGGCAGTCCGACACCACACAATCCAAATCTCCACCAGTAAGTGATTCTCTATACCTGCAGTTTGTAGCTCTGTGTGTTTCACTGAACAACGTTGAGTTTTGTGCCCAACACGTTTGTGGTTATTACAGGCGGAAGAGGTGGAGGAGGTGGAGCCCTACGCCAGCTACGTTCAACGTGTCAACTCTATCTATAACTCATCTGCAGATTTGTTCACATAAAATCCTGCACACACATCACACTCACCCGCCTAAATGCACTCGCCTCTTTGTGAGAAACTGAGGGTTGAGAAACTGAGTAATAGTGGCGTAAGAGGAGAGGGAGATGAAGGATTTCCGCTAAAGGAAGGAAATCTCTCCGTTTAAAGTCTTGACTGACGGATCAGGGCCGGTTTCTGCTGCACAGGCAGCCCACGGCTCTCTGTGTGTGGGCATCAACCGGAAAGAACACTGCCTCCAGCCGGACTCGGGACTGCAGAACTCATTATTAAATGTATAAAGTTATCATAATTGCCCTTGTTAATATAACATATTTATCAGAAAACTGTAAAGAGATGCTCACTTTTTAAACAGATTACAGCTTTGGACAACTTGATAAAGTTGTAAAACTGTAGAACAGTTCATAGTCAAATTGCCTCAAGATGATGCAGACATTGTTTTGTGAGGCATTCATGTAATGTATTATTATGTTATTGTGTGTATTTAACATGCTGGTTCCATTCTAACAAAATACACTAAAAAAGTAGTAGAAATAAACCAGCACAGGATGTTCGTTCTAGCTGTTTTTCCACTGTGCTTAATAGCTCAAAAGGTGTAAAGTTTGGCACCTTTTGACCACAGTTAACATTGCCCATTGCAGGAAACTGATACTTTCATTTAGAAGAAAATGATTTGGAGGAAATGAAAAAAAAGGACTATCCTGCCATCTATTGGTGGAGACCAGAACACACACTGATGTATTTTCATCATCACAGCATCAAAGCCCGTGTCTGAGGGCCGCTATTCAACATCCTGAACATTTCTGAAAATATATAGTGAATTTCAGTGTACCTGAGCAGAGGGAGAAGTTTGCTCCCCCTCTGTGTGGCTCAATACTCGAGCTTCTGCCTGCTGAGCTTCATGGCCTTTGCCCACGCGTAGCTGTTGGCTGTAGGCGGTACATCCCCCCCCCCCCCTCCCCCAGGGGTAAACTGCTTCCTCTGATGCTTGCGATGTTATCGCTGTGAGCTGTAAGCCGATGCTGCGCTACAAAGAGCATATTAATGGTGTCTACATGTACATGAAAAACACTTACGCTTGATGTAACAATTGCCCCGATGAACGTGGACTCGGGATCTTCTGCAACTAAGGTTGTTGGCTGCAGCAACTGTAATGCTACTCAACATGACACTTAAATACTATAGTTTAATAAGTTGAACAGAAAAGAGAAAACTGCTAAATGCATTTCTGTCCATGACACACTTGAACACACTGAGTTTTCATCTTGTCTATTTCTCCTGGACACAGGATTTGGTATTAAATGTATTTAATGTAAGAACCATATCGAAGGTTTGACCTTAAAGGAGATTGTTGCCATTATGTCTCAAAGACTTTTTCAGTGATTCAGTTGATTAATACAACTGAATAATGAACAAATGTGGCAAAAAGGGGTTTTAATAACTAAAATATCAATAAAAACAAAAGAAACACACTCGCAGTAAATTAGACGTTTTTTTCATATGCATCTCGTTTAGAACATCTTGTAGGTAAATGCCGGCATTTTGAAAATGCTTGAAAAAAGCAAAACAAAGAGTAATTCTAAAGCCTTAAATATCCACGGTTGTAAAACCTGGAGCGCAGTTTTTCTCAGGAACAATGTTACAAAATATGCACAAAAGTGTTTGTTGTGTATACAGTTGTGTACACAGTTGCATATATACGTGCTCTGTCCCACACTTTCACTCACTTCCATCATGGATTATGTGGCAAAGGTCATGAAGGCAGAAAACAATTCTGCAATTTTACTATGCAAACAGTCCAGTTGTTAGGGAAAACTGGTTATGTCATCTGGACGCTGCTTGCCTGTGGATACCGAGCAAACCTTTATCTGCAATGGAAAATATTAGTGACAGCAGATCTGTTTAAATATAACGGTTTTCTCAGTAGCGGAGCCAAATGTGTTGTTTCCGCAATCTCCTGCCGCTGAATGTGTCACTCTGTTCGCTGCCACAGTTTCTTCACTGAAGATCATGATTTGATTAACAGAAACTTTATTCTGTCTGTGGTATCTACAAGTCCTGCACCTTGCAATAGTTCTAATGAACTTCCCCTTGTTTTCCTTTTACCCCATGAGCACGTAATCTTCTGCCCCTTCGTCTTTAGACGAGCATTCAGAAACGTCTGCGGCTGCGAGTGCTGCCGGGACGTAAACGGTGGCGTAGTCACAATCGTCATCCGCGGAGGTTCTGGCTCGACTCGGTCCTTTGGTGTTGCCGTGGTCAATGGAGGCGTACGTTACATCCTCCTGAGGCTGGGGGGAGATGAGTGCAAAGAGTGAGATCCAACTCCTCAACGTAATTAACGTCACACATCTGCATTTATTCTTTTTATAGAAACAACCAACAAGTTGTTTTTTTGCACTGGTGCGCGTCGTGCGTATGGCTTCCTGTTGCTGATACTCTTTTACAACAGAATCCTCACATTAATGTTCACCCAGAATGCAAATCTACCCAGTCTGCATCTCGGCCTGGGCCATTGTAAAAGCACAGGAACACCCCTATGTCGCATGAAAAACTGCAGCTGATAGCCACAAAGGTTTACACTCTACAAAAATAGACCAGTGACGGGGGAAGGACTACCTTGTTGTGTGTACTGCCGTTTCCATCTGCAAGAGGAAATGTAAATATATAACACATGCAACAACGTATGGAAATGAGTATGAAGTCTGTGTGCTAAAGATAAACACTATAATAAATGTACTTTTACCTTTCCCGTTCTTCTTTTTCCTGACGTGAGAAAAATAATGAAGACGTCAATAAAGAGCATTGAACAGAAATACAAATCCTGCTAGTGTGGGATTAATAAACGTAGTAATATTTACTTCTGCACTGAGCTGGTTATAATGCATTTTACACCATAAAACATTATATCAAGATACATTTAATTACATATATAATGATATGACAGTAACAGCTTTTTTTAGGGGCACAGGTTTTACCCCACAGCAGCATTTCCTTAACAGTTTAAACGTTATCTTTGCTGCAACAGGAAACTCTTCAGCTATTTCACCCACAGCAGTTCAACCAAGTATCTATTTTAGCAACTCACAGTTGCACTTTCCGTGCTTCTAGCTTGACATCGACGTGTTGTAATGCTACAAACAGCACTGTTAAATAGTGTCAGTTCTTTCAACTTTGACACTGAGACAGCCCTGGACACCACTATTTCCTCATTGAAGCAAATGCAGACGCTGCTTGACGTTCATATACGTGCTCTGTCCGACACTTTCACTCACTTCTACCACTCTGTCTGCAGCATACACAACACTTACAGGACATCTTTAAAACATATGAACCAACTGCTGAAAAAAACTGCCGTGAGGTATATGAGAGCGCTTTCTGCTACGTGCATCTCAGGATGATCACCTACCTTGAAATGCAATTGCCCATGATGTGGCCACAGAGTGTAGATGCTCACACTGTATCTGTGTGGCGGTAGGTTGAAGTTCCTGTTTGCCAACCCTGAGCCTGACACTGACAACTCGCTGATCACTGTGCTGCACATGGGCTGCAGAGAGAGAGAGAGAGAGGGAGGGAGGGAGAGAGAGAGGCGGAAGGGGAGGGAGGTGGGTAGACAACAGCCTTTTGTTTGCCTGCACACACACAAATACACACACCAACTTTTACGTGTTACATTGTCACAATAGGAACTTATTGTGATCTGTGCAGTTGTCTCTGATGTCTTTTGACTTGAGAAAGATGTGTTATTAGCGCGTGTGTGTATTAGCAGCAGAGATCTCAGAACATCTGCAGGTAAAATCCATGCATGGCTTCTACTACTGCATCAACTGGGTAAGCAAATAGAGGTGCAAAACTCTTCCTGCTGCAGTGTAGACTCTACTGCAGGACCCCGGTGAAGAAAAGTATGAGGAAGTCACTGGCATTACTTATGCCAGTTTACTCTACAAACAGACTGTTAGAGTTATAATGATGATCGTTCACTGATATTTTTATGCGTAAGAAGGCATCAAAAAGCAGTTTTTGAAAGTCAATAAAACAACCCAACTGACAAATATCACAACCTAGTTTTGATGATTTCATCTGTGAGATATACGATGTTTGGTATTCCATGTATTGAAATGCAGTAGCTGCTGACATGTCATCCACTGGAGGGCACTGCGGGAGCAGCAGTCGTGATTCTCAAACTACTCAGAACGAACATGACCTCAATATGCTACAGAAAGATAAAATGTCATCTGGTTACATTATAACAAAAAAAGTGCCATCAATTGAATACATTCACATCCAATAATCATCCACCCACGTGAGGAAAGCAAAAGGTGTATAAAAAATGTTTATTTTCATCCAAGGCTCCTGAGTCCCTTTGGCAACTTGAGACAGAGATGCTCACAAGTCTCTGAGCTAGAGTCCAAGTCAAATCTCAAGTCTCTGAGTTAGAGTCCAAGTCAAGTCTCAAGTCTCTGAGTTAGAGTCCAAGTCAAGTCTCAAGTCTCTGAGCTAGAGTCCAAGTCAAGTCTCAAGTCTCTGAGCTAGAGTCCAAGTCAAGTCTCAAGTCTCTGAGCTAGAGTCCAAGTCAAGTCTCAATTCTCTGAGTTAGAGTCCAAGTCAAGTCTCAAGTCTCTGAGCTAGAGTCCAAGTCAAGTCTCAAGTCTCTGAGCTTGAGTCCAAGTCAAGTCTCTTGTGGGTATAATAAGTGTTGCCACACGTATATTAGCTTACAATTATATGTCCAACAAAGCCCATCTGATACCACAAGTTACGAACTGAAAAAATGGTACTTTGGGTATCAAGAAAATATTGCAAAATGTATAAGCAATGAATTTGTTTTTCACTATTATCGGAGGGAAACATCTGATGAGCTCGCTATACCGAGCTCATCAGATGTTTCCTAAAATCAAACATTGTTCACGAGTCCCAAAGTTCGAGTCCGAGTCGAGTCTGAAGTCTTTCGAGGACGAGTCTCAAGTCAAGTCTGAAGTCACTGTGTGTGCGACTTAAGTCGCACTCGAGTCCGAGTCTCAAACTCGAGTCCCCATCTCTGACTTCGGAGTGTTGTTGGTTGAAATGAATCTGTGCACATGGGATGTTCTGTGCTCTCCAGCTCCCTGACGAGCAGCCTCAAGCACACGCAACAACCTTGTGTCTCAGTTTGCGCACTGACAGCATCTGTGTGAATCAGTACTCATGTAACTCGGTATTGCAGAATAAAAATGCAAAGACAAAACACAATGGCACTTTTGAACTGTGTGCAGAGCGTTGACTGCATGCGGTCCAACGTGGCCTGTTGATATACCCACGTGCGGGCTCGTCTTCGGAAGCGAGTGAGGGGACAGGAAGTGGTGAGCTTGTAACAAGTGAAACAAGCACAGGCGGTAACTAGTTCTGGATTCTCCCTGAGGTGTAAGATGTCACGCACCAGTCTGCGGACATTATGCTGTTTTACATTTATCTGCATCTTTTGCCAAAGTCAAGGTAAGCCTTAAAATGTTATGGTGTAGTATGAATTTAAAGAGGAAACAATTTGAATAGATTTAAATCATGAAGTGAGAGAAGCGTTTAGATGACAGCCCATGAGGGACAGTTTGATTATTGAGTAAATAGATCATCATTGTATCATTGTGCGACTGTACAAAGGAAGAAGACGGCAGGTTTGTGAATGGGGGGTCAAGAGTGTGTTTCAGAGGGACTTAAATTCATCAAGCGATCAAGACAGAAAATATATTGTAAAAGGAAATTGGTCGCAGTGTGCAAAGCAAATGATAATCTAGTAATCAAACAAATAATCATATCAATTTTGAAAATGTTATTACGTTTATCGCAGGAAACATGAAAACTGTGATTACAAACGTCAAAGGTGTTGATGTTAATGATTGAAGATAAAATAAACTGACTTTTGGGGGAAATGTGATTTCTTTTTTGTTTTAGACGTGTTTCCTTGTGATGTTGAGGTGCTGGTCCCAAGAGGCACAACGGTGAAAACTGTCCCCCAGCGACCCGTGACGGTCCGGTGTCCTGTCCAACACTGTGGGGAATCAGTAAATGTCACCTGGTGTAAAGTGCTCAACACAAACAAATGTGAACCCGTTAGTTTCAAAAGAAACTCAGAAATAAGACAGAGTGACGAGCGTGTTGAGGAAAAACTCATCTCATGTTTGACTTTCACACGGATTTCCATTCATGACAGCGGCTTGTATAGATGTACTGTAGAAGGCTACGAGTATGAGTCGATCAGTCACGCCATCAACATCTCAGTGTCAGGTAGGCGCCTTTTGCTCTCAGTGGCAAAATATAGATTTAGATAATCTAAAATCAGGTATGAAATATGTATATATATATATATATATATATATATCCTCTAATATGTTGCAGATTCAAACCAAGGGGAAATTATCTCTGACCATGATGCAGGTAAGAAGCTTTATTTGTTAAACCCTACATACATTTCATTGGGTAAAGACTGGATCTACGTGCTTCTTCTTCTTCTTGTAGACGAGCCACGCGGCCCAGCTGATGATGAAGATGTGCCTTCGCTGTCCTACGTCTTCATCTGTGTCACCATCGCTGCTCCGCTTGTCACACTGACGGCGTTATGGCTCCTGGGTTATTATTGTTGTATACATAAGAACATTTAAGAACACTTACACATGCTCACAGTCGACGACAACAACATCTCCAGATTTAACCAACCTTTTGTTTTTCAGCATTAGTTTTAAATCTTCTGGAAAAGACACCCGTGAACCTCACAGAGGGAAACGCGATGCAGGTAATGTATTTTATAAAAATAAACTTTCTTTCTGACAATTAGAGGAGAAGATACCGCTAATGTTACACTATGGTCAATAGCCAGTTGAATTATCCCTAAACTACTACTTGACACCTTTATACAGTGTATGTTGTTGGTTTAACAACAGTAACATTTGTGGCTGCTCGAGGAAAACCACAGAAAGAACATTTTTTTTAATTTTAAACTGGAGAATGGTATCGATCTTGCAGACGTGCCGCACTTTACTTTTATCAACGCTTTAAAGCCATCTACAAAGAGTGAGTCAAGGCGTTTCTATGTCGGATCGATGTTGTGTGTGTTGTGTAAAACGCTCGTGACAACGGTCGAGTGGGATGGAAACATTTTAACGACCAACACATTGTTTTGGTGTCACAGGAAAAGTCCACTCACATGATACCCGGCCTGCCCGCTGAGACCCGTGCGCCGTGTTACACCTACTCTCAAAGTGCTGCAGAAAGGCCACCGCGCTCCCACCACCGCCCCCCCCCGGCGACCGCTGGGAACACGGCGGACGGAAGGCAAGCCACGGCGGACCGTGTCGTTTATGCCGTTATCAACAACCAACAGGGCGGGAGAACTAAATAAAAACGCTGCATGAAGCTGCCTTTTCTTTCTCGAGTGTATTCCGTTCTCTCACATTTGACAAATGCAGTTGAGAACATGGATGGAAATATGTACACACGTGTGCGGTCGTGTCGTGGAACATCAAGCGATTGACCTCAGTGCGAAGTAGGAACGGAAGAAACTCGCGGTCGCACAGATGCACAACACACTCGTCACCTTAACCACGCTGCTACCAGAGTGAGGAGCTTTGAATACATAATGCATACATCTCAATACCCTGCTGCCATTATTTCTTATCATTTATGCTTTTCTCCCTGTACAATAATTTGAGGACGGCCCTTGAATGGTCATTAATATGGGCCTTGATATTTAATGTGGGAAATCCTCTCAGCTCAGAGGACTGTTTCAATAAGAAAGAATTGTTTGACCAGCTTGCCTGTAGTTCTATGTGGAAGAATTCTGCTATAATACTTTCAGAGACTGACAGAGGAGAGTAGGCGCAAACTTACTTCATTAATCTGGTATTTTATCTCCTGTCAACATCAGTGTTTTTTACAGCCCGCCACGGAAAAGTAGAACCACGCCCGTCGACCTCACCGCCGGGCTTTAATCTTGCAGTGAAAGTGCAGCAGGTCAAAGATCGAAAGATTTCTAAACATAGTTCGTGGTGGCAGACGATTCAACTCTGCTCAACCGAGGCCTTCGTTCTCAGGTCTCATCACTATGGTGGGCACACATTGAGCTCATTATAAACATAAAATAAAGAAAGTAAAAGCCCAAACCCATTCATCGTAACAAACACATTGAAGACAGTAGGTCATGGTGGTTCTCGACCCTTTTGGCTTGTAATCCCTTACAGCAGACATGTCAAACTCAAGGCCTTGACTTTGACATGTCTGCTGTAGACCGACAGCAATGACGGTCAGTAAATAAAACTACATAGAAACAATCGTCTACTTCTATACACGTCTATTGAAGCATCAGTATTCAACTGAGATGGTTTCATAACTAAATAACCTCACAGAAACATTTAGTGTTCAGAAATTTGTTTTGAGCAGCACCGCAGTGACATATCTTCAAAAATACAGTTTTCTCTTTTATTTGTATTTTTACAATCCGATGGATGTAGAATGAATATTTCATGATGTGTGTATAACTGCTGAATAATGCTTTTCGCAATATTTTTTTATGCTGATAAACACAATATACATCATCTGCCATTTGAAAGATGACAGAATTGAGAACAGAAACAGAAAAGCAGGTCAGGCAGCTCCGCTTACACAACCGCACATTTCTTATCCCTGTCCATGATGCTGATGACATAATTCCGTTTCCTTTTGGTGACTGGCCCTCATGTTGTAATCAATTTCAAGATCCTCACATGTTTCTTACAGAACGCTCACTGGAGTGCACTCAGGAGAGGAATGTGGAAAGTGGATTGAGTTCATCTCAACAGTTAGTGGCCGCGCACACGAGTTCTGCTTCTTCAGGCTTTCTCTTTTCCTCACGCTCGCTCTCCCCCACGCAGGCAAAGGTAACTGTGTTTCGTCTCTGGGGGACCAAGCCGCGGCTCAGGCCGCCGCGGCATGGAGAGTATGGAGGATTGTGCAACGGCAGAGTTTGAGGTGGACCTGATTAGATCGAGCCTGAGGTCACGTTGACATATGAGTCATCCGATAAAGGGGAGAGGACTGACGAATGTGTAACTTACGCTCACAATACCACCACATGTCACGTCCTCACCACAGCTTTACATTTGCACTCATTCTCACAGAGAGCAATGTGACACACCTTTCATTGGCATCTTAAAGGAATAGATTTCAAAAATCTGTGTAAACTAACTTTTAAAACTCATGGAGACATATTGTATCACACTACAAACAAATCTGTGATTGTTTTCAGAGTAGTTCAGAGATTAAATTCCATGCAGGAACCCAAAATCCAAATTCCAAAATCCATGTATTTATTTTGAATAACCAACTAAATGATAGCGGATCGAGCTTCTGAGTTGTGTTTTATCCTGGAGTGTATTGTCCATCAGCACAGTGATGGTATGTGCTGCGGGCTCAGGGATTGAATGTGTGCTCAACATGTGTGTTTCTCCGCGCTGCGAAGTTCATCGTGATCCATCTGGCGCAGGATGAAAAAAGCACCCAAAAATGAGCATCTGGCAGCAAGGATCACAAAGGAATTCTGTGTTTTTCTAAAGTACCAAGCTGAAAACTGAAAATGCAAGACAGTGGCGATAAAAGATTTTAATTTGATAAAGCTTCAAAAATTCAAATATTTATTTTCATATATTTGTTACAATCATCACATACACTTTATGTTGTCCATCATTATGCATCATTTCATATTTAAATCCTTTTACGTGACTGTAGTTTCTAAAAGGCCAGATACTCACATTTATTTTCAACAAATGTTCTGAAAATACATTCATAATTATTCTACTGTAAGCTCCGAGCTTTAAACCACTACACAGACAGAAAGATGCTTCCTGAAGGCTTGTTAATGGTGAGGAATGTGACGAGCCCGACTGAAGCAATAAGTTTGAAATCTGATAACCAGCATGTCATTCATTTATATGCTTTGATATGCAAGACCGTTTCAGCATCAAGCTTATATTGTTCTGTACAGATGCACCCATGACATAATCTAAAAACGTTTCTATATTTTAGGTATTTAGGTGCCACTTTGATCCAGAGCAAAGTACGAATGCGCATTTAACCATTATCAAACCCATAATGCAATTCTCCACGCCCCGACCTGTTTACTCGCGCTCACATTTTCACACACACGAGGTTCCCTCACTCTGCGCTGCAGACGAGCAGCGAGACATGCATTCCTCTCAGGGGCACCAAAAAGGTTTCTGTGTTGCTTCTGCAGGAAATTGATTCAAGCTACTTGACCACAGAATTCAACCCCTAAGCCATGAACACACACACACACGCACACACATATGCACACTTTGAAACATGTTGAAGAGTTTGCAATAGATATTACACAAACAATACTGAAGTATGCAGTCTTCTTAGTTGAACTATTTGAACAATACTTAGTTGTTCTATTTAATTAAAGACATCACAGAAAAATACAGAAAATGACCTCCACAATACTCGTTTGTCAGGGGAACTACTGTAACTAAGATGTGAGTTTTTAATGAAATAACCATTCACTAATTCACTGGGAAAAAAGGTTTTTAAAACTTTTACTGAAAGTGGGGTAAACAGGAGGAGATTTCAGCCGTGTAATAAGTGACTGTGCTTATGTTCTCGTCCTGGTGCATCTTGGCTCATAGTGAGTTTTTGTTAAGCGCTTTTGGATAGAAAGGGCCATGCTACATTAGACTGGCTTTACATATAATGGTTGTTATATAATCAGTTCGTTGTTGGTTTTAGTCTTCTCATCGGATCTGTTGAATAAAAAAGAAATACAATATCACCACACATCTGAATCCAGGTAAAAGATGGACAAACAGAGGGAAGTATTTGAAGGGCAATAGTGGACTTTAATTTGCTATTCGGTCTGTCGGGGGGGCCATCTGCTCAATCAGTTACAGAGTCGGGGGGGAAATGTTTCCCTGGTGACTTAATGTGAGGGCAGTCTGGAGATGAAGAGTCAGCGGCATAACAGATTCATAATGTACAGTTTTCATTCATAAATACAATTTTATTTTTCATCCAATACATGTGTGTCAGATTATCTTCCCTTTTCCCCAAGATGTTGATGTTGATGATGATGATGATGATGATGATGATGATGATGATGATGACGATGATGATGATGATGATGATGATGATGATGATGATGATGATGATGATGATGATGATGATGGCGATGGCGATGATCATGAGGCAGGGAAACAATTCTGCTAAGTTGGCTTGGAGAAGCACTGCCCCTTCTTATCAGTCTCTGGTCTCATCTGAGACATTAATCAGCTGAAAAGAAATACAAGGAGAGTAATTGCACAAATAAAATAATGAATTCTACATGTGTTAACAGTAGTATTCTTGTGAATAACATGACTTCAAACCCAACTTAGAGTAGCATATCACAGCACAACAACAACTTGGACAATGAGCATCCCAAAATGTTCTAATTCAGATGCAAACTTAAAACTGTTTGACTGCTATGAAAAAAAACACATCTGCACATTCTGTAGCTCTACATAGTGTTGAGGCACTGTTATGTGCATCTATAGAACTATTATGTCTCAGTGATGAGGTCTAGATGACACATTTATAGTCAAAGCGTTTTAGCAAATGTGATGATTTTTCAACACGAAGCCCTTATTTGAGTAAAAGGAGGAAAATGTAAGAATAATCGTATTTCAATTCAACGTCAACGCTGAAAGTGTTTTATCCAATGTGCTGTTAAAGACTCGGCGGGTGCCAGAGTTGATCAGCGGTGATCCTTTACTAGTTCACCAATTAAAGCACCAGAGTTGATCAGCGGTGATCCTTTACTAGTTCACCAATTAAAGCAGCAGATTGATCGCTGGTGGTGCCAATATGCAGCGTTATCTTGTAGTCTACTGTTAGTAATACTTTTTACTTTTAGATCCATGGATGCTTTTCTTCTTGCAGACGGAAAACATTGATTGAGCATGCAAATAAAGTGCAGATGTGGTGCAGTTAAAAAGGCAGATGATAAAAACACGATATTATGGAATTTCAACAAGTTAGTTTTTATTTGGTTTATCAAACCAAAAACAGCTGCTAGTTGCAACTAAAAGAGACTAAAAGGCTCAGTAGAGCTGAACTGGACACCCAGTGATGATTAGAGCATGAAGCTAACTCTTACTATAGAGTTAGCTTCATGCTAACATTACGGCAAGTTCCGAATCTCTTTCTTTCAGCAAACCTCTTCAATCTTCAAATGACTTGCAAAAAGAATGAAAGTAGCAAATCTATAGACATTTTATGTAAGTTGCCCAGAGGGTGTGCAGTCACAAAATGTACCATTTGGCAAGATAAGTTGTTCATGAAAAATATGACCTCACCTTCTTTGTGCAAGAAACACTTCCAAAGGCAGAAGCAGAGGGACATGACCAGCAGGGAAGCCGCCGTAGTGACAGAGATCAAGATGGTGAGAGCCGTCCCAACTAGGAGGGAGAAAAACAGTAAATGATCAGCATATGTATTATTTTGCATATTTCTATTGACTGGAATATGCAAATCAGAGCCCTGCAGGAGCCAGAGTCGACATACGTGTTGTTACTGTAATTTACAATGTTACCATCTGTAATCTCTCGGATGTTCACACTCCTGATCCATGAAACCAAGGTGAATAGTTATTAGCAAACCAAAGCCAGCAACAATTAATTTAATTCATCAAAGCAACAAATTGATCAAATAGAGATTGTTGTCAGCAGTCAAATAAAATAAATAAACACAGCATGTGACGAATAAAGATTCAATATGGCCTTTACAGCCCCTCAACCACCTCTGCTTTATTCAGTATTCTTAGTAGGCTTCTTTTTGCAGCGAGCTCTCAGGGGATGAAGGCATCCAGAACTTGGAGTACGGCAGGAAAAACAAAGCAAAAGCTCACTGAGACCAACTCACTTTTAGTGTTCATGGATACAGCGATCGGCGACTCGAGCCCTTTGTGGTGCACCAAGCATTTGATGGACACGTCTTTCAGCAGCCCTGATTGGACGGTCAACGTACTGATGACCAGAGTGGTCCCGTCGCCCTGCGGGAGCAGCGTCGTCACGGGGGGGCCCACGGTGCGGTTATCCCGCTCCACGTTCCACACAATCTCTGCTGGAGGCCGCGACACTGAGGTGCAGTTGGCTTCGATCACACCAGGAGAGGTGGTCTTGTAGCTCACCTGAGGTTTGGGCAGCACTGGTAGGAATACACAGAATAAAGTGTAAATCTCCAAGCACACTGATGTACGCTTACACACACACAAACTGATTCTACACAAGTATTTGTTTAAAATGCACTGGGTCAATGATTCACGTAACAATCAAACATGGAAACATGGAAATTGTTCTTTTATTCTAGAAAAGTGCCATTCATGTTGTAGGGTAGTTTGTTTTGTACACAGGTACAAAGTGTCTTTGGGTAAATCTTTGAGATGATACCTGAGACCTTGAAGCCTTGCAGCCTTTGGATCAGGGAGGAATGTGAATTCCTCTACTTCTGCGTTCCATAACTCAATCTTTAGCTGTTTTCAATTTTCCGGGAATGAGCAAAGAATGTGATGCACTGGAACCAAGAATATTTTTGTTGGCAAGAAGACGTAGTCATTTAGTGAGCTTCATCCACTATTGCTCTGGATTGTATCTGATTTCCACAACATGAAAAATCCGTATAACGATCTAAACCATAATGACCCTTTTGCGTAGGGGCAAAGCAAGTTGTTATCAAAAATGAAATTCCACAGACTTTCCTCACTCTATTTCTCACTATAAAGCTCTACAAAGCTCAGGGTAGCCGTATATTCGGGTGATCATTTTCTGTAAGTTCATCATACTACGGTTTCATTTTGACTGAATCTAAATGTAAATGTTGTGAGATCATATGTTTGTGAGAGTACAGCAGGGGGCATCACATCATCCCGGGTGGGATGAGGGCAGAAGACTAATCACTAATCACTAATCACGCCTACTGTACTTTACAGCTCAATTTCAAACAAAAGCAACTTTGTTTTTTTGAAATAACTGTGAGAGAAAGGGAGCAGGAGAAAATGAGCAGAGAGATGGACAAAGCACAGAAGGAATCTCTGTCTGCAGCAAACACAGACACAGTCATGCATCCGGACCTCCCTCCCTGCCTCCATCATTCTTTCGAGCGCTCCATTCTTCACACGGACACACTGTTCTGTGTCTGTGTGTTAACAAATCAACCGACAGCTCGGCCTCGCAATGCCATGAAAAAGTTCAGCAGCTACAATAGTAAGAAGAAAAAGATTCCCGTCTAGATCCCAGAGGTACCTGCGCCTGACTCCATCATTTCCCCTCAAGCTCCTCTCTTCCCAGCTCACACGTTGACCGTAGGTCACTCATTACTAAACTAAAGTGTGTCTCTTAACAACACTTACTTACTTAAAAAAGACGGGTTCTACCAGTGAGTTTAAAAACAACAGCGTCATTTATGTTGAACAAAGCAGCATAAGAGATGACTGTAATAACAACAAAACAAATCAATATATCTTCCCTCAATGTTGAATGTTATCAGCCTGACTTTAGAGATGGAGGTGTAGGTGAGTCCAAAATATACTTAGTCAATTTCATGGTTTGACAACTCATTCATTTAAGGGATGCCTCAACAAGTTGCCAATTAACTCCCATCAGCCTGATGTGTATTTTCTGAGTAAAGGATGGATTCTGTTATATTTTTGGAAAAACTAATAGTCGTCAAAAGTCTGAGTAAGTCAAATGAAATGTCGAGCCATTCCTGTTAAAAGTAATTCAACGTATTAAACGTATAATTAAACTCCTTAAGACCTTATTCAAATGTCCCCTATACAACTTTATGACACAAGCATTGAGAGACAGGATGCATCTTGCACTCAACCTGCTCTCCCCTTGAGTTTCTGTGCGGTCCACACTTTTATAAAACGCAACTTTAGACAATCGTCAATGATGGGAGCCGGGTAAAGACAAAGTTTACCGTAGGTGACGAGGCAAACTGTGGACATCTTGGGCCCGTCCGAATGTGTGTTGTACAGGCAGGTGTAGCAGCCCTCGTCCTGGACGGAGACGGGCTGGATGGTGAGCTGACTATCTGACAGGGAGGCACTCAGCCAGACTCTTCCCTGGAACGATGGCTCTATCATGGGGTCGCTCCGCTTCGCGAAGGAAGCCACCTCCGTGGAGTCACCTTTTGCTGACGTGTGTTTCCACGTGATCTGTTGGACCTTCTCAGGCAAACCGTAGGAGCACGACAGCGAGGCCTTCTTGCCGCTCACCGCTGTCTTGTTACTTTCGACCGTGACTTGAGCTGGGAGAGAGAAAAGAGCCCACAATCCAGTGCAAGAATGGGGGGTGGGAGGAGTGGACATTAGAAAAACAACAGGGGGACAGAGGGAGAGAAACAGGCCGATGCTAATATTCAGAAATAAGAGGAGGACAAACAGAAACCAGTCACGTGAATCCGGTACAGCTGTTTCTGCTTAAAAAAATAAGCCCTCCTTCTCCCTCTGCTGCACTGCTCTTTATTAATACGGTCGACTGAGCCTCTGAGAGGTCATGGTGGTTACATATTTCCTAGTAAAGCTCGTGGATTCAAGACCTGGTTGAAGACCTTCTCAATTGTATCACCACAGCTGAGACACTTCATGGAATTCTTCACAAGCTAAAAATATCATCTCAACCTCTTCTGACACGGTTAAATATAGGTTGAAAACCCGTGTCTTGATTTTGCTCCAGCCCTACATTTTGAGATCTAGGCCCACTTGTAACAGCACATGGTTTTAGACCTTGGCACTGAAGAACCAAGAACCTGCACCCTGATAGTCATTAAATTGCTCTAAATAGGCACCAACAATACCATATATGCATCTTGTCTGTAACTAATTACCGTTTTTCTTTTGTAGAAACTAAAGCCAAGATGTGTAGAGGTCTCACTCACCGGTAACAGTGAGGCACGTCAGTCCCTGCTTTGACCCAGAAGGATTCATGTCAAAGATGCAGGTGTAGCAGCCTTCATCACGGAAACCCACCCTGCGGATGGTGATGGCCGAGGAGTCTTTGGGGGAGGAGGCGAGCTCCACATGCTGCTGTCCGCTCACGCTCTCTCTGTTGCCGGGTTGGTAGGTCAGCAGGGTCTGGTTTTTGACATCCAGCCAGCGCACCTGCCTCAGAAGCTCACCTCGTTCCCTCGAGACACTGCAAGTGAGCGTGAAGGGCTTCTCCACGGGAGCTTCCAAACGCTCCGGCGCCGTTACCCTGCCTGAAAAACCCACCGAAATAACACCATTATATCATGTATACAATTTACAGTGCATAGCTTTTCAATGGCATGGCAGACTCACCCTGGAGTCTTTCCACCATCAGCAGGAGCAAACACACCTGCAGACCTTTCCTATAGCAGGACTGCATCATCATCTTCTTCATCACTCATTTACCAGGGAGGAGAAAGAGCGGTACTGAGAATTTCATAAGAAACAGTCAGCGCCAACTTGAACTTAAACTCTCCTTCAATTTGATAGAACTGGTTGTCCCACAGTGTCACAGGAAGAACTTTAAAGCCTCTGATTTTCCCTGCGAGAGACCTCCGTTGTTCACTAGATGCTGCCAACACATTGCAGGGATCTGGATGTTTTATGCAATTGAATGGCAGCATTTAGTTAACAAATGATCCGAGATGCAAAGCAAAATAAATCATCATGTGCTACAAAAATATATTTCAATATCCTATAAAGAAAGCTACTCATACGTTCTTTTTTATTCTGCTTCATCACTGACACAGTTAAAGTTGCCATGTGCCTACAAGCATCGTACTCAAATAATACCAGGGATACACAGCAGTAAAAGTATTTTTGTTTTGGACTATGTTTTTTTATTTTTTATTCCCTCAGTCATATAAACTTTGACATAAATGATGACACTCACCTCTACTTGTCCCGATGCAAAAGGTAAAAGCCAACAGTCGAAGAAGTTCTACCTCTGCAACATTTTGTTCACCCTTACAACCCGGCGGTCTATCGAATCATCACTCCAGACCAAGCGACTCACTGTGTTTACTCCTCCGTGCGTTTTCTATTGTGCGCTTCTTGGGCACAGTGAGCTCGGGCAGCAGCTTCAGTGGATGCAGCGCGAGCGAAGCCGCAGCGCGGTTTGATTGACAGGCGCCTCCCAGCGGTACTGTGTGTGTGTGTGTGTGTGTGTGTGTGTGTGTGTGTGTGTGTGTGTGTGTGTGTCTCAATGGTTTCATCGAATAATCATTTTTCAGTGGCCGTTGAGTCTATTAATTTGCATTTCTTTGTGGCCCATGTTGCAACTTTCGTTTTAAACACATTTCTCCGGAGGAGATGGACATTAGGGTGATATATTTGAAACGCGTTTGGTTTGTATGCATTAGGATTGTATGCATTAGGATTGATTAGAGTGCACTGTCCAGCAGAGAAAGGATGAAGCAAACATTTTAGAGGCATCGGTGGAATAACCAACACAAACTTTTGTAACTTTGGGAGAAAATTATGTCTAAATTTGGAGACTCTGTTTTGTCGCCCTCTGCAGGTAAACTACTCAAAATGACTATGGACTGAATAAAAATATTCACCACTTAACCGGAGGTAACGTTAACCAAGTGTATGATTTACTATAAAATAGACCTTCTTCTAAAAAAATGTTTAAAAAGTATTTAAATGAACTATCTATGAGAATCGTGCGTTTTGCGTTTAACTTGTGAAACGTCACAGTTTTGCGACGGAAGTGTTTTCATCGGGCTCATTTAGGTGACGTCACCACATGGGCTGCCGTAGTAATTTGACAGCTGAACAACAAATGCTCTTAAAATGAACTCATTAGTCTCATAAACACTTCGAGTTCGACTTTTTGTCCATGTTAGCATGAAGTTAAACTGTCCTCTAGCGTGCTACACCTAAACGGCCAGTCTCCTTTGCGGACTAGAGGCTGTTTTACAGACATCACCATGTCGTTCCTGGTGGACTCGATCATCATGTTCACCTCGCAGGTAACGTCAAAATAACTTCTACACATCGTAGCGTGTTAAATCTGACAGAACCCGCCCTGAGCTGCACGGTCCTGTATGTTGTCCTCAATCTCAATTCAAAATTGTACTGTTTCATAGTAGATTACACAGTTTAATGTACTCAAATTAGATTTAACTGTGATGAACTTTTCAACGTTTTTACTCATGGATATTAAACCATTTGTTAACTGCTTACTTACTCAAACTATACAGTCTATCACTCAAACTCAAACATCAGCAACACGCTGTGTATTACCTGTTCATTTAGCGGATGTTTAAATACAATTTTAGAAATTAGTAGACATAGTTTATACGCTAAAATAGCAACGTTGGATGTACATTTGCTCTACACAGACCAGATTGTTTTCATAATTTACTCAAACTTGTGAATCTCAGGAAAAATTTAGTTTTTGTAACGTGCATTTCCTAATAAAAAAAATGAGACAATGTAATATTTTCCCCTTGAAATAATTCACATTTATTTCAACACAGGTGCTGTTCTTTGGATTCGGCTGGTTGTTCTTTATGCGGCAGCTGTTCAAAGATTATGAGGTTGAGTGTTATTGCAAAGCCTTTTATTTACACTTAGAAAAGTGCATCTTCACTTGGTCGCAGAATACATCGCTGGATCCACTGGAAGTCCTAACTGTTTTTGTGTTTGTTGACAGGTGCGGCAGTATATTGTCCAGGTGGTTTTCTCCATCACTTTTGCTTTTTCATGTACCATGTTTGAGCTCATCATCTTTGAGATCCTGGGTGCTCTGAGTAGCAAGTGAGTACATTCCTGTGGAGTATAGCTCTGTTTTATTGCTGCGTTGCTGCAGATGAAGATTTCCCATTTTTCTACTGTCTTTGCCACAGCTCGAGGTATTTCCACTGGAAGCTGAATCTGTATGTGATTCTGCTGGTCTTGATATTTGTGGTGCCTTTCTACATCGGATACTTTGTTGTCAGCAACATACGCCTGTGTAAGTATTTCTATTTAGCTGGGTGATGAAAATTAAATACTTTAACTGAACGAGAATTACCTTTTGACGCTTGTAACTTCAAACATTATGTCACAGAAACCTGTTTTCTTTGTGTCTGTCCGTAGTGCAGAGACAGAAACTTCTGTTTGCTTGTATGGTGTGGTTTACCTTCATGTATTTCTTCTGGAAGTTGGGCGACCCGTTCCCCATCCTGAGTCCGAAACATGGTTAGTGTGCATCCTCCTTCTCTCCTCTTCATGCCTCGTTTCTGCCTTTTGTCCTCTGCGAGACTCCTTTATTTGTAAAGGTTGCTCACCGTAAAGTGGAACACTGTTGTCTTTTTGTCCAGGCATCCTGTCCATCGAGCAGCTCATCAGTCGTGTCGGTGTGATCGGAGTCACCCTCATGGCTTTGTTGTCTGGTTTCGGTGCTGTCAACTGTCCCTACACATACATGTCCTATTTCCTTAGGTAAGATTAGCTTTGGGGGGGTTTTCTCAGGTTTTCAGCAGCCGTATCAATGCTTTTCCATGCTTGTTGATCCAAGTCTGCTTATGCATCAGACAGTATTATCGGGAATAGCCTCCCGGTTTTCATGACACACGCTGCTATTGCTTTGATGGTTCCTGCTTGGTTATTTTCAAAGGAATGTAACCGACAGCGACATCCTTGCTCTGGAGAGGCGGCTGCTCCAGACTATGGACATGATTGTCAGCAAGAAGAAACGGTTAGTAAAATACAGATTTGTTCATCCCGTTGATGGAGTGAATAAAACACATTATTTTGCTTCCACAATGTGATCTGTGTGTGTAGAATTGCCATGACACGAAGGCAGATGTACCAGCGTGGGGAGGACCAGAACAAACAGACAGGATTGTGGGGCATGATCAAGAGTGTTACCTCTACACAAACAGGCAGTGAAAGTATCCTTTATACTTACCTTAACTTTGATTTAAAAAGGTCCGATTTTTATTGTTTAATTATGCACAGTATTTGTTCTAGACGTCAGCCTTGACTTATTCCCCCCCAGATCTGTCTCTTATCCAGCAGGAGGTTGATGCTCTAGAGGAGCTTAGTCGGCAACTCTTTCTCGAGACGGTGGAACTGCAAGCCACTAAGGTAACTCCTGTTCATGCGCACGCACGCACTCACGCACGCACGCACTCACAGGGCAGTAGATGCAAAACTAATGATTGATTGACAGGGTTGCAACACCTCCATGTACTGCGTAGCTGTGACGTGTTTAAAGTCATAACTTTCAAGATCAGTGCGCATTACCTCACTCGGACAGGCACAGTTATCAACTTTTCAAGTGTCATTTTTTAATATATTTTTTGTAAGGGAGAATATATGATCCAAAGATCAAGATATTTCCCTCAGAAGTTTCTGGGGAACAAAAACCGAGTTTGAAGGAGTTAATATTTGACTTTTGACCCAAAGAGGAGAAATAATCTCAATCCATTGCTACTGGATGTGTAAATAAATAACTCCTTTGCCATGAGGCGATGATGTGTAAACATTGTGTTGTCACAACTCCGACAATGTTTGTAGCTCCGACTATCATATGACACTAAACTAAATGCTCATTTTAAGTTTAATCCGAGGTCGGTCAAAGACTACAGAATTTATACACCCTTACATAAATACATATCTGTTGTATGACGACTATATATTTTATGACATGCAGTACAACATCAGAGGACCGTATGAAAAATAAGATAATCTGAAGGCGAGATCTGCCTCTGACTTATCTCATCGTTTGTACTGATCAGATAAAAACTTTCCTCTGCAGCTGCTCATATTTGAACTGTTATTTGGACTAGGAAGCACTATGGTACCTGCTGACGTAATCTACACACCCGTTATCTATCCAGACTACGCCCATTTGGATGATCTCAATTGAAAACAATTTCTTAATTCTTGTCCACCTTTCTTGATCTTTAGGAGCGAATCGAGTACTCGAAGACATTCCAGGGCAAATACTTCAATTTCCTCGGCTACTTCTTTTCCATCTATTGTGTTTGGAAGATCTTCATGGTAAAAACCTGCGCAAATATATTCTGGATTATTGTCTTTCCCTCACCTCACACACATTGTGTTGTTTATTTTTTCATTTATTTGAGATATAATTAAAATAAAAAGCACCTTTTTTATTTCTTAATGGCTATGCTGTCCACCATAGGCCACAATAAACATTGTGTTTGATCGAGTTGGAAAGACGGATCCAGTGACGAGGGGTATTGAAATCACAGTGAACTACTTGGGCATCCAGTTTGATGTAAGTCTCTCTCACACACACACACACACACACACACCTGCAGAAGTAGTCACCTGTCACTTCATGACCTCCTGTAAAGATAATTGCGAGCTCATTATCAACTCTGTGCCGCTTTCTCTGCTGCACCTGGTCATGATCGCATTCAATCTTTTCCCACTTTAATACTCATTTGATTCTTTTTTCACTTTTTTTCCACTTTCACTCTGAATATGACAGTATGTTTGAGTTTACATTTAAATACATACCCGAACAACGTAGGTTCACAGTTTTCATCTTCTGTCCTTAATCCTAATTTATTTATTTTGTTCTTAAACTCTTTCTCCCGTTGTCAGGTAAAGTTTTGGTCCCAACACATCTCTTTCATCTTGGTTGGGATAATAATCGTTACATCCATTCGTGGCTTACTCATCACCCTCACTAAGGTAAAACTATCACACGATACATGTGGGAAAGGCTACAGACGCCTATTTTTATTTTTAATTATGGTGTTTAACTAAAGATTTAATGCTCCTTTGTTTTTTAGTTCTTCTATGCAATATCAAGCAACAAGTCCTCTAATGTCATCGTGCTTGTCCTTGCGCAGATCATGGTGAGTGTGTTGCTTAGTGTGTAATCTTATTACTCAGAGCACAGCCTGCAAACAATCGATAAACTAAAACCTTGTACTCCACCAGGGGATGTATTTTGTCTCCTCTGTATTGCTGATGCGTATGAGCATGCCGCTGGAGTATCGCTCCATCGTGACCGAGGTTCTGGGAGAGCTGCAGTTCAACTTCTACCACCGTTGGTTCGACGTCATCTTCCTGGTCAGCGCCTTGTCCAGCATCCTCTTCCTTTATCTTGCCCACAAGCAGGCACCAGAGAAACAAATGGCCCTCTGATCCCCCTGCATTTCTCCCCCCCCTGGATTTGACTACTAGCCCGTGGGTGACTCTGAATGTGGAATTTGTCCACAAATCTGTTTTTTAAATGTTTTATTATCTCGACTGCTTTTTCCTGAATCAGGAATGGCTTATTGTTGGAGGAAATAATTTTGAGTGAACTTTATTGATTTAAAATATTTGCAAAAAATACTTTCATGTTTCCAATTTAATTGTACTTGCAAATGTAAACAAACACATTTCGGCCAAACAAATTTATTTCCTTAATTTTGGCTTAACACACTGGAGTTGTACTTAAAACATATGAAGATGTTATTCATTATCTCCAGCCGGAAGCAAAATTAAAATGTCTAATTGTGAATAAAAACAAATACTCATGTGAGCACAATTCAGATAGTAGGTTTTGATCTATTGGTCTTTGTGTACATTTTGATTCATTTCATTCTCTTAAAACTGGGAGAAAATTTTTTTTTTCATGTTTTGTTCTTTAAATAAAGGCAGTAGTTTTTGCATTCGGTGGGGAAAAAAGTACATGAAAGGCCTCAGTATTTACTGTTGGCAATAATAGCAGTAGCTTAAGCTCTTAAGTTTTGGTAGATATTTTACATTAGTTGTCTACAAGTAAATTGAATATTTTCATCAAAGGAAGATCGAAGTATCCACAAAAATGTATTTTCAGCTCTTTAAACTTGCAATTATCCCACCTGAGTTTAGATATCAACGGTCTGGACTGTCCACATCGCTGGTCTCCTGTGATATCGATTGCATGTGTGAAGTCCTCAGAGCTGATTGTTTAGAAAATGATGGATACACGTTAGATTGAGAAAGCCATTATAAGGCCGAATTGGAGAGTGGGTCGATTTGGTGATTTTTTTTCAGAGTCTCTCGTCAGAACTGTCTTCAGATGAAGTTGATGTGGTCTAAAAGAGGGAAAAAAAACACTTTTAGATAATGAACATTTTTTATGTGAAGTTTAAAAATATATAAAACCAACGAAGCACTGCTAAGACACATGTGAGCCTCCAGCAAGTATTTGGTTTCAACTCTGACAGGACTGATGAAATGTCACCAAGTCTTTAAGGGAACATAAATGTCTGCATGAAATGTTGTGATAGTCTCATCCATTAAATTATATTAAATTCCTTTTATTGTTTAGCCCCAAATCATGAATTACAGATTTTCTTCAGAGGGCTTACAGAATGTACACATGCAACATCCTCTGCCCCAAAACCCTCACGTTGGCACTGGAAACCCCCCAAAAGAACCTCCAAGAGAAAAAAGCAAACCTTAGGGAGAAACAGCAGAGGAGGGATTCCTCTCCCGGGATGGACAGCATGCACCAAATATGTGAGGCTTTAAAGAGCGCCACTCACCCTCTCTCTCGCTGGTTCCGTTGGGGTTTGGGGTCTGGCCTCCTCGCGTTCCCCGTGTTCCTCGTGGGTGTCTGCAGTGTGGACCTGAGCATAAGAGGTCTGTCCGAGGAGCAGGCGCGTGATGGTCACTCCTTTGGCTTTGAAGTGGTCGTAGACGCTCTTGTCAGCCACCAGCATCTCCAGCGAGCTGCCGCTGCCGCGGATGATGGCCACCGCCTCCTCGTGGCTCCTCTCCTCCACGTTCACCCCGTCCACCTCCACCACAATGTCGTTGTCCTGCAGACCCGCCGTGTCAGCTGCTCCACCTTTCACCACCTGAAGCACAGTGTTTGTCAACCAGCTTGATGTGACAGTTACGGAATAGTGGGGATTGCTGCACTTTGTACCTCCTTGATGTAATGTCCAAACACCCCCTGGAGGCTGTTCAGGTGAAAGCCATAGCCACTGGAGTCCTTCTCCATCTTGCACAGTTTGGGCTTTAGCTCCTCCTGCCTACTTTGTTCAGGTGTGGCTTGTTGGGCGGGAGAAGGTAAATTGAGGGCTTCTATGTAGCTAGGCGGTGGGTTGGAATCTTTCATCTCCCCCAAGAAGACCATGGGAGACACTCCTCCCTGTGCGGGACACAACAAAGACATGTGGATTGTCTGCATTCTGAATTGAAGTTACAGTGGCACCGTGACTCACCAGCTTATACATTTGGTCCGTGACTTTGTCCACCACCAGGAGGCGGCATGCGTTTCCCCTCTGCCTCATCTTGTCCACCACCTGCTCGTGGCTGCAGCTTTGAACCTCCTCGCCATCCACGGCTACCAGTCTGTCCATCTCCTGCAGACCCGCTCTGTCCGCCGGGCTGCCTCGCTCTATGTCCTTCATGAAGTGGCCTGCACGGAGTACAACGAGCACGCTGTTAAAACACCGCCGGCATCCGAACACACAGTCGCTCGTCGTGTTTACGCGTGGCCTTGCCTTTTCGGTTCTTCTCCTGCTCGAGCAGGAAGCCATAGCCATCGGAGCCTCTGGTCATTTCGATGATGCGCGGCTTGTGCGGGAGATGCTGCGCGGTGGCAAACCACGCTGCGATCTTCTCCTGGCGGTTCTTGTAGTGCCTGTGCGTCTCCTCGTCAGCCAGCAGGAGCATGATGCTGCTGCCGGCCAGCTTCATCTTGGCCACCACCTGATCGTGCGTGGAGCCTTCTACGTTCTCTCCGTTGATCTCCAGCAGGCGGTCGTTGGCACGGACCCCGGCCCTGTCGGCGACACCTCCTGGGATCACCTCGGTCATGAACAAACCGTCCTCATCTAGGAGGATGTTTTGGAAGACATGACAGGAGCTTAAATTTGCAGTGATTGAATCAAAAGTTCACTTGTATAAATAGAAGTTAATTCACTTTGTGGATTAGTTACAACACATTAATCAGGATTTTATTTGATTGCCAGGATGTTCGAATCCGTCATGCTTGTTTTCTACATCAATATGTCCCTTGTTTTCCCTTTAATGTTGCTCCAACGGGAAGCTGCATAGAAATTGATCCAAAACACTAGAGCCCTTGAGTTACAAAGACTACAGCTACATTCGCTTTCATCTTCCAGTCGACCCATATGAGCAAACAAATGAAACAAGGTCAGGTCATTATTTAGTTCATTGTCATCCGCCCATTCCCTGAAGCGGACTCCTCTTCTCACTTTTGGCTGAGCGAATGGAAAACCCGTAGCCTGAGCTGGACTTCACCAGGTAGCAGAGTTTGGGTTTCAGAGGCTGTTTGGCCGAACCGTTGGCAACCGGAGTGCTCCGACGATCGGACAGGTTCACTCCGGCTGCTTTGGCCTCCATGTAGGAGGCTTCATCCAGGGTGTGAAATGTAACCGATGCTCCGCTGTTCCTGATCATGTCCACCACCTGTACCAGAGGAAGACATACACAGCAGGAGCGTTTTAATAAAGGGGGCTGTAAAAGTACAAGGCCATCATTCTATCATTCCATCATTCAACACTAATATATATATATATACACACATATACACACACACACACACACACATACACAGTCCAATATACAATGCACAAGAGAATACACCCATATAAAGTGCTGTTTGTTTAATGAATAAAATGGTGTATAAAGCTTTTTACCATTTTATATTGCATCAAATACTTGTTTATATTTCTACTTCCTTTCTTATTTCGTTTTTAGACACATTTAATTGTTTACACGTTCTATCTTCTTTGCGTAAAACCGCTATGATGTTCCTCACCACTCACAGTATCTAAAACAACACTTGATTCATCTTGACAATCTTCATTAAGGACTACAGTGGAAATACGTCTTATTTGGGATATGATAAATGTTTATGCAAAGAATGTCTATTTAAAATATACCAAGAAGAAAAAAAGGTTTAGGTGTTAAGCTGCTGTTATCCAGATCTCATTATCAAATTACCTACAGGGAACTAGAATTGGCGCATTGGCGTGAATAAATCAAACTGTCTTTTAATATTCTCTTTAATACAGATGAGTGAATTTCAAAATGCCTCACAGATTACTTTTGAAAGGGTTACATTTCTTATTTCAAGTTCTACTGCATTTAGTTAACCTCAGGGCTCCGAGTACGTTTCTTCTTCTTATAGATGAATCGCACTGTGGTGAATCCACATCCTACTTACTTCCGAATGGGTAAGTTCATCAACAGGCGTTCCGTTGACCTGCAGAACGCGGTCTCCATCCTTCATGCCGGACAGCTCAGCTGGACCTCCCATTTCCAGGCAGCGGATCAGGTGACCCTCCACAGCATGCTCCACCCTCAAGTAGAAGCCAAACGAATGACCCGGCCTCTTGGTTAGAGAAATCACCTTTGGCTTGTACCCGGCCATGTCCTGACCAGGAGGAGAGGCTTAATAACACACACACACACACACACACACAATAAAAAGAAATAATCTCTTTCAAGGCGCTACATGACACAAGTTGCTGCGTGTGTCTCATCACTGCGTTTAAATATATGTCCCGTTTCTCCCGTTTCTCCGGCACCGTTTAAACAGTATTTCAACAGCGGATGAATCTGTACCTGAAGAGACCACAGAAGTGCTGATAAAAGTAGTCAGCACTCTTGTGGCGGTTAATTATTAACAGCAAGCACAGCTGACGACTCTCGACGGGTGACAAACCTGTTTAATAAAAGACCAGAACCTGGAGTTTGTGGGCAGTTGTTATTTTTGAGATTGTTTTCCACCGACTTGAACTCCCATGTGATGTTCATCACAATGACAACGTTACGAGTACAGTTCACGCCATTTTATCAAAACCTCGAAAGCGTACATCCTTCATTTTGCATCTATATCATTTTTACTCAATTGAACATTTAAAAAAGACCCACAATACAAGAATATATGTACATTAAATCCAGCAGCCCGATACTGAACTGATTGATGGTCCTCAAGAACGCAGATGTAGATTATTAATAGATAGATTCTTTTCAAACACAATGTTTGTGGTTTCAAATCTTTTTCGAGCTTGTGTCACAACTTACGATGAAGAAACGTGTAACTGTGACCTTTTATCACAATTGTAACCAGCTCAACAAAACAACCTTCTCAGAACTTGTAAAGCTAAAATGTTAATAAAAAATAAAACAATGTTTTGTTATTTAACGCATGTTTTATGTATTGTTCCTAACGTCCTTACTCTTCATATTTTGATAAATACCAGGAAACTACATTCTGCGCTTTGTTGTTTTAGGATCTGCGATCATAAACTGTGTTTTCAAACTCACCAGCTCGTCTCTGCTCAGTGTTGCAGTCCGAAGGAGGAGCTCACCTGTCCCTGCTCGGCTGTGATCTAATGTGTCTTCAACCTGTCCTCCTTCTGCTCCCTCCCTCTCTCTGCAGGGACTTTGACGGGCCAAAGGTGAGTTTAAAGAGTGAGTTATTTAACTAGTGTCTCGTGTCTCAGGAGGCGACGGCCCAGAGCACCGTGTGCTAGGAAATCAAGAGAAAACCACAAAAACAGTCATTTGTTTGGTTGACTACATTAACTGAAATGCATCATGGGTATCCATTTGTTTATGTTATTTATATTAATCTGAAAATGAAAAACATGTGTTTAAATATACTGCATCTTTGAAGTTTCACATTGCAAAGCTTTATTTTGTATTTCCCTACAGCTATAGACCTTGTAAATGTTGGATTTTGACCCCTACACAGTTGCCTATTTATTAGGTAAATCTAAGACCAATTCAACAGCCCTTCGTAAACGCTCTGCATGAGCGCTATATTGGGTCTGGTTTTGTTAAACTGGGAGGTGTTGATTTGGTTTTATGGTCACTTAAGAAGCTGTAGTTTGTGGTTCTTTTAAACGGAATTGTGTTGTACTGTATGTTTTGATTTACACTTGTATGATCCCCTGGGGAAATATACCGTGTTTGCAGCAAGTATTAACATACACAACTAAACAACAACAACTTGTCAGCCACAGAAACAAAATGTGTGAAAGCAGATTCTGTTCTGCGTGGTTTTGTTTCTTCTAAAACATGACATCAGTTATACTACGGATAAAACTGGTATTGCGTTTCCATGTCAATACAGTAGTAGGTAATAAAAGCCCATTTATTCAACCCTCTACTTAAAGGGACTAAATGGAAATGGATTTTCAGAAAGACAACCACAACAGTTGAAGTTCAGGGTGTAGTTTCTGACGGTTTATGGTTGCTGTGGTCTGTAACTACATGGCAGAGTCCTTTGGTTATAAAAGGCTTATTATGATACTGTGATACGTTGGATGGGACAAAGGTGACAAAAGCTCAACCAAAGCCAAGAAAGACAAATCTACACTATTTATTCATCACTGTGCAAGACTGGATCTCCCGCTTAAAGTTGTATTTCCGTCATCTACTGTGGTTATGACGAACATTTCAGGGCATTTTACAACAAAAAATATGCACGCACTAATGCAACATCTATTTGTGGAGAGGCGCTGGTCTAACAGAGAGAAGCTTAAAACGATTCATTACCAGTACCACCAGAGAGGCGAAAGTCCCGCCCAACACCAAAGAACAGTATGGGTCTGTTTATTTTTATGTTACCATTGAAATCGTGCCATAAATTACAGATGAATGAAGAACTTTTTCAGTTTGTTATTACTTTTCACACAACTGAAAGATCCACGTACTCTACTAACCAAGTTCCCTCAGAATGTTGTCAACTGATAATTATTCTGCAGTCTTCTAGAACTGGTTCCTCTTTCTGTCTTTGGTGCTTTGCAGGTTGTGTTCAATGTTGCTTCAGAGCTTCTTTGCTTAAAGCAGCTGGCTGCTTCATCACTAGACAGAGACAGACCAACATGGTGACGTTTGGGGTTCGACGGTTTAATCGTTCTTCCGCCTAATGGAGCAAATTGGGTAAAATGTGTTCCTGCCCACCTTTGTGGACAGGAACACATTTGTTTTCTCAGACATGAAGGCGCAGAGACTTTCACACACAACTGAATGTCCCCTGCAGACCCGCGCCCCCCCATGATAACACACACACACACACACACACACACCACTAGCTCGGGGTACCGGCCTCGGGTTGTTTGAACAAGCAATCTAGGATCTGCAAGCAGAGGACGGATGAAGCCGGTGGAAGGAGACAGAAATGGTCTTAGGCTCGGCTTAGCATTGACGCATTCACCATCCATTACCCGCAGGCGTCACCCTGTGTTTGCCAGAGAAAAAAAGATATTTCCATGACTCCACCTGGATTACTGAGTCTTCCAGCGCTGCAGAGGTTTATTTGAACTGGAACCTCATCCTAGTGGTGTTTACAGTAACGGCAGTAGACTATGCACGTACTCAACGGCACCAGATGAGACAGACGTGAGCTGTAAAGCGCCAAAAGTTATTATCATCAACATGTCATCATCAGCAGTGGAGTCTCAGTAATCAACACACCAACGCCGGTTTGTGATTACAGCACTCCAGCGCTAGTCTCTCTCTCCTCACCTCGATTTACATCCTCACATGGCGTGTTTATCCGGGGTACGTGGCCCTGCCCGCGACCCGGCAGAGTCAGCTAATTAGACCAGGAGGGAGATTAGAGTTGGGTTGCTCCAAAAGATGAACCCCTTCTTCTTTTCCTTCCCGGTGTCACGAATTCTCCATCTAATTAGTTTTTTCCTCCTGCTTGTCAATTAACTCTCTCGTCATTGCAGATCCCGTCATCAACACGAGATCGTCTCTCATTCCCTTCAGCTGGTCCTCATGCTCTCCCCACCTGCAGCCCGCCCCCCCCACGCCCTCTGCCAGATTGTCTCATGTGTCACTGCCAAGCGCTCCAGCGTGTCCTGCGTTTGTGCCTGAGCAGCCTGATTACTCGGCCTATAGGATTTTTGCGTGCCCCCTTTTTGGGTTTGTTTTCCTGTTGGACTGACATCCTGGATAATCAGATCTAAGGCCGAAGAATTTAAGGAAATTGATCAGATTTATTTTTTAGGATTATGATGCAACGGGACAATTCCCATTGCATCATAATCACAGGGCCGACCCTTCCTGTAGGCGACCAAGGCGACCGCCTAGGGTGCCAAATTGGTGGGGGGCGCACTCCAGTGGTGCCCCTAATCATACATCTTTCTCGCAACAACATTGATTAACGAAATAAAATTCAATAAAACCATCAATAAAACAAATGAACATGGCGCCCCGCCATATGTTGAAATTAAATTCTATATGTGTGTGGCATCGCATTGGACCTTATGGTTGCGCGTGTTGCAAGGCAATGAGCACGCTCTGTGTGGGTCTGTGGGATTGTCACCAAGGAAAACAGGAAGCCCTCTCAGCACCAGTGTCCCAATATCAGTTGGCTCTATCTTTTGGGGGAAAACACAAGTTAAACAGTTAGAATGGCAAGAAATGAATGGAAAGCTGAACCAACTGAAGAGAATTGTGATTGTAACTACAGCAGCGCTTTCTGTGTCATGTCGGCACATCGGCTGTGAAAAAAAAATTAAATGCACGTGTACCAAACTTGGTCTGTTGAGAAAGCTGTGCCAACAGCTGCCCAACGTTTCCCCGTTTAGATCGAAATATGTCAATTAGCCGAAGACTAATCTCAATCTTAAGTGAACAAGAGAAGAAATCAGTCATTGTATTTCTATAATGTATCTGTATTAAAAGATGAACATGAATTGCAAATTTTAGTATCGCCCGTAGCCAATGGGCTAGAGCCGGCCCTGCTTCCTCAACACCACAAAATAATTTAATGGTACAGCAAAGCATCACATTACTTGTTCATCAAGAGGATGGTTTAATTGTAATTAAGAAGAACAATATATAATGAAGATAACCTTACTGCGAAAGAATGATTCTCGTTTTCGTGAATGCTCGCAACAAAGCACGTAAGAGTAAGAAGGCGTTTGATCATTCACCAAAGTGCACGCACACACCACATGAGGGCGGCGGTGCGCATGTAAAAACACCACAGGCCCTTTTTGCCTCTGTGCACGCGCTGATGCTGGAGGGTTTGCACACCTGAGACAGTTTACGGGGCTGACACATGGAGACAGACACGTATTCACACACATTCACTCCTGTAAACAAGCAACTTGGGACTTAAAATAACCTGCACGCAAAAGGTCTGTTCACAGTCACATATGCGTCATTTCTTTTTCGTTACAGAAGTCTTTTCTCGGAATCCCAGATCTTATTGATTTAAATCGCGCCTGAAGATGCAAGACTTTTGTCATCATCATTGCTCACTAAAATTGCAGCGATACAGGTGAAGGCGCGTCAGGCCTCAGGATGAAAGCTGAGGCGAGTGATGGTCGTCACGATGATAACGGCATTATTATTCACGGTGTGCTTCGAGCTCATTAACATCCTTAATTCCCTGTGTGCTTTAATACATTAATTGAGGATTAACATATTGTTTTCAAACAATATTTCTCAAATTCACATTCAAACTATAGGTGACCTGTTTGACGGAGGAAACAATGTCCTTTTATTCAGCCTTTGTCTGATCAAAAATAAAAATAAAACTTCTCCATTCCCATCGGAAAGGCTGTTTGAAATAACTGTCAAGTGGCTTGAGTTGAAATCATGTACAATTGATGATTAAAAGTGACGTCGAGTGTCCACAAACTGATCGATGGACCGTGTTTCGCTGTCCCGCCCTCACACGCGCGCGCGTACATGACAGTGTCCCCCTGCACCGGCGCTCCCGCGCGCTCTCCATGCGGCTCACTTGGCGAAGGCGCAGAAGAGCGCCGCAATCATCACTCCTGTCTCCTGGAGCGCTCCGGTCTTTGATTATTAACCAGTGTAAGTGTAAGATATCTCTACGGGAAAAGTAAACGAATGAAAAGAAAACATATTGAAGTTTTTTATTTTTTCTACAGTTTGTAAAACGAAGACTCAGTCTCAAGTGTGAAAGACCGTAGATGCGGTCCAGTTAGACCACTTGAAAGAAATTACACGGCGCTTTGCAAACGACCCCAATCGGACTTTTTACAACCTTGGAGACACAACTGAGTCAAAAAATGGATTCTTACGTGCGAAATGAGACATTTACGTCTCCCAGGTGTCTCGGAGCGCGGAGCGATGCGCTGCAGAACGCAGCCGATGACGGCAGCCTGGGAACATCAAACAGCACGTGCGGGAACGCGTCCACGGACCTCATGCCAAAGCTTGTGAGGGACAAAGGTGAGTGGACACACTACCTAAAGGTTCAGTCAAAATAAAAATAAAAGACGTCGTGTATTTAATTATTTTCCAGCACATGGAGACAACATTCCATGACGCCTCCTATTAAAGTACACATTGGAATGAAGATTAATTGAGAAGAAAGGTCAGATGAGCTCTCAATTGGACTGATTTACTGATATTTCCTGCACTCAAAAAATTACGAGTTTGTGTGGCTCATAATTATTTCAACTTCAAAAATAAATGGTTAAAATTATTTATTTTGGTTGTCATTCAATCTCAATTGACATATGTGCAGGGAACGTTGATGGAAACACGTTAAGAAAAGAAAAGACAAGATGAGATTTTATTCATCCCCGTATGTGAAATACAATTCAGAGAGGGAGAGAGAGAGTCACATGGAATCAAATCCAGCCACATAGGGATTTATTCATAAAAAAGTCACATGTCTTCTCTGGATGTGCCGCATGGCCATTCTGCTGCTTCCTGCTGTTAGATATCATATCATCATTCATGTTACTATTTTGCATGTTTCTACGGCATGTTTTTCAAACCGAGGATATAGACGTTTGCCTGTGTGACGTATGCTGTTGATTTTAATACTCTCAGAGGAACATGCTTAATTTAAAGCCATATTGGTGAAACTTACTTACCTTGAGCTGGTCAACAAGAAGTGCGTCATCAATCTTGAAGTTTCCTCTCAGTTCGATCTCCACCTCCCATCTAATTAAACAGCACCTGCTTTTTTCTCATGCTGTTAACAGTTGTTTCACAATGCTTCCATGCATCAATGATGTGTGTGCGTCATTATGATGCCGTAAGCTCAAGGTCGCAAGTAAGAGATACACGTTTCTTAATTGGATGATTTCTTGATGAGTTTGGTTATTTCTCCACCATGTTGGGTGATCTCCTCCGATCCCTCTTTCCATCACTCTGACCCTCTGTGTTTGTGGAGCAGATGAGTTTCACTGTCACATTCTCACTAGCTCAGGGATACTGCAGCACTTGCCTTGGACCACTATTTAGAAAATACCTTTATAAGGGAAAGGTATTTATGAAAGGTCTTTTGGTACCAATGTAAAAATGCAGCATAAATGTGGGAGGCTTTAAGTGGTCCTTCGCATATGCTTCGAGATCCCTGGTCTGCAGGGACACTATGGAAGTCTTGATCAAACAAACTCCCTCAAAATAAAACAAAACAGGCCTACAAAGTTTCCAACTAGCCTGTTTTTATAATCTGACGCCATCGTTTAACTGTGCTTTCAAAAAATTGTTTTGAATCACTGATGAAAAATAGGTCATGGTGCAAGATCCATCACAATGTTTATTGATTTCTCTTTCAAACAGTTCAATGTTTAAACATGTCATTGCTTTGTGAGACTTTCACCATGGTTACTGGCATTCATTCTTGACACAAACAGAGTCTTCGCTCATCGCCGGGAGGAAACGTGCCGGTCAGCAGTTAGTTTTGATCCCTGCACGTTTCCTGGCACATCACCAGCTAGACCTGTTTTAAAGCAAGCCTGTCCCAATATTCAGATACATGACTTTATATATTTTTGGAATGAGTTAGAAGTTATTAAGCTTACTGGCTGGTTGCAGCGCAAGTCATCATGCAACATCAGGAGGTCTTTGCTTTGGAGGTGATGATGACAGCAATCACTGGAATAAACAACCATTACCAATCCATCAAAAAAGATGAACCCTCCACTGCATTTAATTTCCCTCATCGCTCCCTCCACTTCTCTCCCGTGTCATTTTTCCACATCTCCATCGCTCAAACCCTCTCATCTCACTGCCTCGAGAGCTGATGTGTTTAATACATTCCTGCACGACGTGCTGAGCAACCAACATGTTGTTTTCTTGTGCGACTGCAGTGGCCGGGGGCCCTGCGGCTCGTGTGTAGTAGCCCGCCAGCCGACAGTAAGTGGTTTCGTTTGGTGCCTCCATCAACCGTTCCGGGGTGAAGTTGGCTTATAGTGGAAAGGCTTAGTTGACATTCACTATGCTGGATTCGCTACAAGCTGTGACATTTACCAATATCTTCTCACGAGGGTCTGAGCCGGCTTTTCCCTCATTGTTACGGCGGCACGAAGGCCAACTGGAAGCGATGCACGCTACATGTGAATTAGAAACAGAATATATGACGAAACGAATAAGAGAAACCGATGAAACCCTAAATATGCATAAAGGGAACCCATCCCCGTTATTTATTAATTTGCTATTTCACTACAAATCTACCAATCGACTGCAACTGCGGTCACATTTCCACTTGACTTATTTTAACGTAAATGTCAGCAGTGAATCTGTTCAGCAGCCTCTCAGATGCAACATTAGAGTCTAGACGTTGGAACGGCGTTGGTGCTCACAGTGCTGCTCGTCTGTAACCAGAGAGCAGACGGTGTGCCAGAGCCGATAGTCGGACACGATTGATGTGCATTGCACGGACACACTCGTGAAAACGTCTCCACACTGCAGGCCTCCCTTCTGTCATTGTGAAAATGCAACATGGGCATCGTTGGTTTCTTTAATGTCGGTTTCTCTTGTTACATTTTTGTTGTGCAGTAGCTGCAGTGTTGAGTTTTCAATAAGAGTCTGTGCATCTCTAGATGCTCTCCAGAAATATCAGGGGGGTTCCAGCCAGTTGTCACACAGGTGGTGAAACACTAAAAACTGGTGGAATATTCATAACACACCCACCTCAGGAGCATCACATGCACCACAGCTGTGCAGATCAGCGTTAATAAGAGAGTCAGAGCTACTGAGGAGAATATCCAGCTCCTTAGCTGCTGCACTATGTTACCCAGCTCCTAATTTGTCTGGCAATCAATCCCAGTCTCCCTGTTGTATGTTCACTTGGTGATTTGCTAACGCAGTGTGGAGGTTCACGACTGGGTTGTTTGTTTGATGTTTGTTTGGAGGGTTTTTGTAAAACATCCCTTTCTTCGTGTAAAGCAGAGTGCCCTATTGTTGGCAGGCTAAGCGCCTGTGGTGGGGTCCCTACACCTTTTGCATGCATGTTAAAGGGTTGGTGAGTTTCACCTGAGGTGAATAAATAGCGGCACACATGCATGGGGCCTTCTCACTTTAGTCCGTCTCCGTTACAGGGGTCTCGCCTACGAAGGCCCATTATTCTGAAAGGTTAAGTCTGGAAAAAATCGGAACCTTTCAGTCCATTACCCTGAAAACAAAACTACCACTCGGATGAATGCTCGTTTACAACAAATAGAAGGAGAAGGCTAAATTTTATGATGCAGAATGAGCGCAAACATTTGTCAAATCGCTTCATCTCATTAGACGCAAGACTGTGAGTTTCTGACCAAACTGAGCCTGAATCCATCGATAAGCCTGCAAGTTAAACAAATACATTTCACAGCGGGTGGTCGGAGGACGGAACGTTAAATCAATTACATGGCATCACGCCTGCTTTCATATACTGTACAGTATCAACCACACATCTTCAGATGTGTGTGTGTGTGTGTGTGGGGGGGGGGTCCAGACTCAAGTTTTCAATGCTCCACTTTAACCTCCTTCCAGCAACCTTGCTTGGAAATTCAGATTCTCACGGCTCCACCTGAATGTGTTAATCACACACATTACAGCCAAGCTGTGCATGATACATACATTTGCATATGGATCATTCCAGATCAATGAGTCAACGGAAATATGTGTATTACGTTTTATGTTTTGTGATAGAAAAAAAAAGAATCACCATGCTGCACAAGCTGAAAAGCTGAAAAGCTGGTCCTTTCTTCAAGGCATTTGACAAAACATTCAATCATATATGAGTCACTAGCTGTGTGCCTGGCTGGGCTATGCTTTGTGTTCCTTTGAAATCCCTCTTTCTATTGAGAGCGGGATGAGAGGGGATGGACCACAAAATAAAGGAAAGAAAGCCAAACCGAGATGGAAAGAGGGTAAAGATCCAGAGGGATGCCTGAAAGATGAAACTGTGCTTTGAAAACATAATCAGAGAAATGGGAGTCTCGTAAGCGGAAAGAAAAGACGGCGATACCAATACACCTGTTTGGTGTTTTGCAGGGAACAGAGTCTATGTCCAAGTGTTGTTTTTGACAGGATTACGACTTAAGTGGGTTTGCTTGCACTTGACACCACAACTGTGTCAATCATATTACAGTGTGATGGATTTCTTATCCTGCAGATGTGGTGCACGTGGGTGCTTCTAATCCCGAGGATACAGAAGGTGACCATTTAAAAACGTGTCGGGTCCGAGCAGGGGGTGAAGATAACTGAGAAAACCGACAACATGGACTTAATTGTAAATCGGGTGGAGCTGCCAGTGGCCGAGGGAGCAGACAGTGTTTGCGCTGCAGGACTCACTGTATTTTGAGGTAGAAAATATTAATGTTGGTAACTGAATTTCACACACAGAATAGGGCACGGCTGAGGTGGGCGGCTCAGTATGAAAAACTACACAGTCATATAAAATAATGATCTGAATGAATGATCATTGAGTTTTGACATTTTGACACTTGTTGCCCTGCCATTATTATTTATGCAACAACCACTTTAAAAAAAACAATATCTAACAGACAACCAGTGAGACAAAAAGGAGCAGCAGGTTAATTTTGTAAATGTGTTTATGATCTGGTCTTATTTTGTAATGTCATCATGCGGCATTGCCAGTCTCATTTTCACCAGATTGTGCAAGTTTAATACAAAGTAAGCCCAGTTAGATCATTTGCTCCTCTTATAACATTTTGTCCACCCAAACAATGTCCGTTTCTCCTTGTTACATGCATACGGTCTTTACAAAATACATTTCTGTGGTGGCAGGAAACAACTTTATAACTACAAAAATATGCTTTACGATAACGGCGTATGACACCAGTTGGATTCAACATAATTACTTTTAAAAACTATTTTACTTTATTCAGCATTGCGTTTTAAACAAGAATCATGTCACAAGGAAAATACCAGATTTTTTTTAGGAAGTCTGAGGCATAGAAGCTGGTGTTTTAGGGAAATAAAATGAATAAATCTTTGTTATATAGCGCTGCTGCTGCTGCAAAAACGAAGTCTCACAATTTTCTGGATCGATAAAGACTTGATCGTATCGATTGGCATGTCACAAAGGACTGGCAGTTCACATGGGGAACCATGTTCACACTTTGACATCCCCCCCCGTTCTTTCTCTGTACCAGATGACGACCACACACTGAGGATCCTGCTCTACTCACTCATCTTCTTTCTGAGTGTGTTCGGCAACCTGCTGATCATCGTGGTGCTGACGGTCAACAAGCGCATGCGCACCGTGACCAACACCTTCCTGCTGTCGCTCGCCGTCAGTGACCTTATGATGGCGGTCTTCTGCATGCCCTTCACCCTCATCCCGAACATCCTCAAGGACTTCATCTTCGGAGCCGCCATGTGCAAGATAGTGTCCTACCTCATGGGTGAGAGAAGGCGGAGTTATGAGGCAAATATAAGGACGTCCTATCTGTATATTTGCCAACCGTGTCTACATTCAGTATCCTAATATACCCGTCTCCTAAACACGACCCTGTTCACTTGTTCACTTTTGCTAATATGCTTTCAGACGCCAGCATTTACACTCCATAGTGAGCTGTACATGCAGATTTTGGATGACCGTTGTTGAAAAAAATGATAATCCACATCAACTGATAAACAACAAGTTAAAATTGATAATAAAAACATTGTTAGTTGCAGCCCTGTCATTGATATTAAGGATGCACAAGAGGCATTGTGTAAATCATTACCTTTTCTCATCAATTTGTTCAACTCGTTTATTTGTCATCATTATTGGGAACAAAGGAACTGTAGTATTGTTATGTGCAAATATTTTTTAACAGCTGGTAAAGACCAAACCTCCCGGTACACTAAGATATCATGTATCTTTCACAGCTTTGGTGGCTCAAAGTGGTTCTATTATGTTTCTTTTTTTTTCTTTTTTTCTTTTTTTTTACTTTCATCAATTTTCATACAGGAATCCCAGTAGACCACAGCAAACCTGACCTGACCTGAATCGCTGCCTACATCTTTAATTTTGTTGTGGGATCTACATGCAAAGAAAATTACATTTTAGGTTTAGGGTTAGATTATCGGGATAATCCCATATTACCTTGAGAAGCGGTTGACTAGCATCCAATTGAAAATGAGAAATGGTGGCTTTTGCTAGAATTAGTTCTGGTTTCTCAGCTGCTTTCCTAGTTTCCAGTTTTCATGCTATGCTAAGCTAACCTAAGCTAACCTGCTGTGGCCTCAAATTGACCATTCAAACAGGAGAACATTGATCTTCTTATCTTACTTTCTGAAAATAAACCTATTTCCCAAAACTTGCAAAAGTGCTTGTAAAAATACTAGTATATGTATTCAAATTCTTTCTCAAGTATAAATCTACAAGAAGCATCATTACTATACACAAATATCAAAGCACAACATTTCATTTCATTCTATATAATATCTATATCTATACATTGTTTTGATCCTTTTGACAACTGTTTAATATTACTTATTAGCTGGACTTTGGGTTCTAGTTGACAACAGATGAGGCTTAAAGGTAACAAAGTACAGCACTTAAAGTACCATTACTGTTTTTTAGTTAAACTTGGTTCAGTATAGTAGTTTTGAATACTTTACAGTTCTGCTCATCATGAGCTATTATTTATTCTAAATTAAACAAAAATATTAGAGTGAATGCAGTTTGTTTCCCTTCACTTTTGACTACAGTTGCTGCATCTAAGTGCACACATCCATGTACCCGTGAACGGAAACACACGGAACGCACACACCGACTACACAACATCAAAAACTCAAGACCTCCATTACAAAATGAAAAAATTACTTTATAATATATTATAATAAGTTTATTCTCCCAAGTGTGGGCTTGGACCAAGTATAAGCGAGTGCCACCTCACACCATTCAGACAGGAACTCTACTGAGACTAGTGATGTCATCCATCTAACGATTTACAAGTCATGCATCTTTTTATGCACCTAAGAAAAATTAAATAATTGAAGCATAAACACAAACATGTAGAGGTAAGTAAATAACAAATTGAAGTCAAGGCGAGAAAGAGAGTGGCAACACGCACACATACACACGCAGCGAGTATTGTGTACTTTCCCGCTGAGGACATGAATAAGAGAGGTAAAGAGTAATTTCCCGTCTTGCCCTGCAAGGAGGGAGATGAAAGATTCAATCAGTGGTCCTGGCTAACATGATTTCTTCTTCCAAGACTAATAACCAGCCCGACCGGCCATCTCGAGCTATTCACATCTGCAAGCACATCTCCTCGGAGCGCCACGTTTTGTTCTCCGTTATGATGCCGATATCAACAAAAATGTTTTTGTTACTTTTTTTATTACAGGCCCCACACTCCATTCTGAGCACGGAGCGATGATAATAACTTTACATTTATCAAAAGTAAAGAACTGTTCTAGTTAGAAAAAGAAAAGATAGCATTTGTAAACTTTCATTTTGAAATAACCTGTCAGCGTTTCATTTTTCTGCAGGAATATCCGTGAGTATATCCACATTTAGCCTGGTTGCCATAGCGATCGAGCGCTACAGCGCCATCTGTAACCCCCTGAAGTCGCGGGTGTGGCAGACCCGTTCCCATGCTTACCGGGTGATTGCTGCTACATGGATGCTAGCCTTCGTCATCATGATCCCCTACCCAATCATCAGCCACTTGGAGTCTTTTCAAGGTCCTGAAAACACAACAGCTCACAAGTGTCGCCACATATGGCCCGTCGCAACAGCAGAGCAGACCTGGTGAGTGTGTAGGTACAGCGGATGGTGGGTCCGCTGAGCCGTCCCAGTTCTTTATGGTAGTTTAATGACGTTCAGAATGTCTGTGTAAACATGCAACCAAGCAAAGAATCATAATATCTCTTTTCAAAGGTTACATACACTCAATTTTTATCAACATTCTTTATATATTTTTCAAAAGTGTGTATAACCCCGTATTACGGTCTACATCGGAGGATATTTTCACCTGTGATGTGTGTGTGTGTGTGTATACTGTCAAACATCACATTTACTTCCATGTTAGGAAGCCTGACTTTAGCAGCTCTTACTTTCTGTGTCTGTGTATTATCTACATATGTCTGACTGTGGACTTGCTTGTGGTTGTGTAAATCCGGGCACGAGCACCAAGTTTGTGTCTCTTGTGTATTACCGTTTGATTTGAATTCACCAGGAAAATCATTATTTTTTTCTGAAACCAATTAAGAAATACAAAAGGTCAATTTTCAACATTTACAGCTGTGATTGAGTCATAGCCACATTTCTCAAAGACTTACCATCTGGGCGAAAGGCTCCTCTGATAAAAAAACCTGTTAAATGTACATTTGGTACATTTTAAACCTTTATTAGAATGCAATAGTAGAGTCTTTTTTTCTTTCAATAGATATTTCGATCGAGGTCACTGTAAATTACATTACATTACATTGTACAATGAAAAAATATTATTTGGGATTGACAATAAAAAATACAAATACATATTTGCTGTTTTTGGACACATCAGACACACTTAGCTGGGACTAATGTCGTATCTAGTTTGCATTTTCCTTTTGAATTAAGAAAGTTGGTTAACAAATCTTCTTTTTCATGCAACGGAAGGCGTCAAGACCCTTGTAAACGTCTTTTGGGCTTGAGGGACAACAATCAATTTTGCTTCATGCCGTTCTGACAAAATAAAAACAATGCTTGGTTGTGTGACTCAAGGTGATGTATTAATAAGTGAGATGTAGAAATTGGATGAATTACTTAATTCATGGACGTTGGGATCTTTACCTTCTCGTCTGTCTCTTTTAGGTACATTCTGCTGCTGCTGGTGCTGTTTGCAATCCCCGGCTTGGTGATGATTGTGGCCTATGGATTGATCTCCAGGGAACTTTTCAGAGGCATCCAGTTTGAGATGGGCCACAAAAAAGACTCTACCGGTGAGGACATACACTGCATGTGGAAAACATTCAGAAAATAGTAGGGTTAATGTCCCTGCGGGTATTTGGCTCACAGACTGCAGGGATTTATTTATTTAAGTGCAGCAAGGAGTAAAAAAACTACTAATGCTATGAGACGTCTGGCCTGACAAACGTGCAGGAGCGAGGGGGGAAACTAATTAAAAGTTACATACGTTTATTTACATGTCTGGATACACAATTTTAAAGAGGTTTATTCTCGCTTGAACAGAGATTACCAAACCAAAATTTTCCACACGGACCTGAGCAAGAACAACTTTTCAAGTTGTAGGAAAATAAGACTTTAAGGCTTTATTAATATGTGAGAGAGGCTGATACTGTACGCATGAATACCTAATAGATTGCCTAATAGAACCCTAGATGTTCATTAAAATTAATAACTTTCTCCAGAGGGATGTTCCCATGCAACAACAAATGTGAGGCAAATTAGTCACACTCTCTTCACGTCACTCTTCCTCGACAACAGCAGGACACATGCTGCGTTTTCAGTGGGCCGCGAGTCTGGGCATGTGCAATTGATTCACAGTCTGAACGGAGGGGTTTGTCTGCTTTATAGGTAACTACATACTTAAAAACTTAATTGCATATTTGTTTAAAAATGAACAAGTACATGTGTATGTATATGACAGTTTTGGAAGGAGCACGGGTACTTAATGAATCGCATGAGATCTCATTGCGTCACTTTGTGTCGCCAACCAGACGCTAACATTTGCATTTACATTTATTTTTATTTATGTGAATGATGATGAGGAATTTCATTTCAATAGCAACGACGTCATTAGCGCGTTCTAGCGCATTCTAATGTGTGCAGGTTAGCTGGAGCGTATTCTTTTGTGGGCATGTGAGAGTGTGTCTAGGACGATAGCAGCAGTGAGGTAATTTGCTCCATTTGATGATGGAATTGGCTCGCAGCGACGGGCCTGAACATCAACATATGTTTGTGCTCAGAATAGGTTGCCCCCCCCCCAAAAAAAACCCCCACTACAGAACTGTAAAAAAAAATTAAAAATCTGTTTATTTAAAGAAATCCAGGATTGGTTTACTACCGTACCACCTCCTGTTGCTTTACCCAAAGCTCTTCAATCAATAAATAGCTATAGCGCCTGAAATAGTTGATATTTACTTTTCTTTCTATCAAAGTGAGCTGCTGGTCTGTAAAGAGCTACGATTGAAGTGTGTTATCACTGTTCTGTGCTGCTTTGGCTTATTTGTACATTTTCTGAAATTAACTTTCTGTAGGAAAGCTCCTGTTCAATGTATTTTTTAATCCGGTAGCCGAATGAAGTCATTTTAGAGTTTGGAAAAATATGATAATTAGTTTGACAGTGTTACTGTTTTTACTCCCACAGATGTGAAGAATGGACTCACCTCCACCGTGTCCGGCGGCGGCGACGACGGAGACGGTTGCTACGTCAACGTCGTCCCGCGGCCACATTCGATGGAGATGTCCACCACGGCTGCGTCCAGTAGGGCCATCAAGGCGGAGAGGCCGCGCAGCAACACGTCCGAGGCCAAGCTGGAGGCCAAGAAGCGGGTCATCCGCATGCTGGTGGTCATCGTTGTCCTGTTCTTTCTCTGCTGGATGCCGCTGTACGTTGCCAACACCTGGCGGGCTTTCGACAACGTCTCCGCCAAAACGGGCCCTCTCAGGGACGCCCATCGCTTTCATCCACCTGTTGTGCTACACCTCTGCCTGCGTCAACCCCATAATCTACTGCTTCATGAACACGCGCGTCCGCAAAGCTCTGCTGGCCACGTTCGCGTGCTGCGCTGCCCCTTGCCGCCGCCGCCGTCGCAGTGGGCTGCGGGAAAACGAGGAGGACGCCATGGCAACCGGAGCGTCCATGTCAAAGTTCAGTTACACTACGGTCAGCACCATGGGAAACTGCTGAGGCGAAAGGATGAAGGCACATTCCAGATGAGACAGTTACTACGGCAACACAGCATCCCACATCGTTTGTCTTTAGGACAATTTGGCACTCGTAGGTGCGATCATTTGAATAGGGAGAAAAGGCCAAATGTTGTGATAGGGTAGAAGCTTCACCCGTGACTGTGAGTAAAGTTCTACGTGTTTTATTGAAACCCAATCTTACCGTCTAAGTACCTCCATAGCTATTATTGAAGAAAGCACAGAAAACCAGATTGTACATTTATCTTTTGTCACAGTGGGCTGACGCAAGGTGGCCGTTGAGGTGTCTGCCATGGGGCATGTATGTGTGTGTGTGTCTGTTCGGATGTGGACTGTGAGCTATTTGAAGGAGGCAGTTTAATAACTTAGTAGTCATTATATAGCTTTTTAAATAGGACTGTTATGTAACTTTGAAATTGTTTCTGATAATGATAGTAATGTATTTGCCTTGTGGACTAAGTGCCTGGTTCTAAAATCGATGTCATATTTGTCTACAGTTGATTTGTGACACTCATCAGGGGCACCATTATCACAGGAAAATGTTAAAATCAAGTTCCTGTTTTTAGTTTAAAGACAAAAAACATCTTCTCGACAAACTGAAAATCCTCATAAAATAAGAAGGCATTTGAAGGAAGCGCGAGACGAGCGCTGGTAATGTGCTTTCATTCTGCAGAGCCACCGATGTGTTTTTGAGTTTTTAAGAGACAGATTGTTCTGTGTGTGCGGCAATATTTGTACTGTCTCCTTGGAGGGGAACACAGTAGCATATATGAGCAGGAGGACTTGGCATTTGAATTATTTCTTTCTCGTTATTTAACAGACCATTTAACAATTATATTAATTATAAAGTGCAGCAGGAGGTTCAGTATATTACTATAGCTCAAGCAAGTAAGATTACAGTTGACACATATATGGTATATTTGTTAACCATATGTTAACCATATGACGTTTACTTCCGCCTTATACAGGAGACAAGTTATTATTCCAGTGATTGTTCAGTGATTTGCATTCCCAGTTAAATTCACCTTCTGGGCTGCCAAAATGACCGGCAGGTGTCAGAGGTCGGTGTTGATCAGTCCCTGACTCAGCCTCCCCTAATCACTTTGCACTGATTGTATTACAACCTCAGCCCTGCCAGGCTGAGCAGATGAGCATATTTCACTGAGTGCACCAAAGCAGCAGGCGGTCAGCAGGGTGAGACGTCCTGATGTGCAGCCCGATCCACGGCGCCTCGTCCCCCGTCCACAAACCCACATGTGCAGAGTTCCCACCTTCAACACGGCATACGTTCATTTACACACTTTCACCAATTACAGACATAACCCATAAAGTAATCCAACTGTACATTTTATGTACATTTTTTGTGAATATATGGAGAAATTTCTAGCTGCTTAAGACACAGCTGGTTGAGGCCAAAACATAGTTAAAAGGACAGTAAACATTAGTCTTGAATTTGTTTGGTAGCTACAAAATTAACTCTGAATGTAAACATGTTTGCTTTATGAATAAATAGACATCTGTTTGCTAACATTTTACCAATAATAACAGAAAACCTAATAGGTTTATAAATCATCTTCAGACGCTTGGAGGTTAGTGTTGAATTACAGCATCTGAGCTCAAACGCTGGACAAATAAAACTATCAGCAGAAAGAAAGAGATGCTGCCAACAAAATGTGTGTGTTTTTTATAGTTGGGTGATAAATGAGACCCTCTAAGTTCATGAAAGAGAATAAGCTATTTCAATTCATACTCTGGTATGTAAATACACCACACATTGTCTGAGTGATGAACGTAATAACTGATCACTGGCAGGGATCCTCCATCAATCATGCTCAGTTAAGACAATGAGGTGGCCTTTACAGACTGACAAGTCCTCACTAGTCATTCCCGTGATCATTACGAGACACAGCGCTGTTACCGGCTGTGTTCATTCCTTTTTCCCTCCGCCACCATGGTCCCAACCCTGATTAGCTTCCATTTGCGTTGTTGATAATGACCTCTCACACCTTTGCATTACGTGCGCCCTTATCTGATATGTCGGTTGTGCTCTTTAGGGCTTTATTGTGCTCTCAGCTGGATCTGTCGTCCCTGCTGGGATTGCAGAGTCCTTTCATAACCAGTTATGAGAGGGCAGACATGAAAGAGTCGACAGGGTCACTGGCTGCTGAATGATAAGGACACTGTTCACGTGTGCAGCACGGGGCGTCTTTGGGGCTCAGGTGTTGGCAGGTCTGTAATTGTTTCATGTCAGGAAAGCTGATGTTTGACTGGGCTACAAAGCCGGGTGGAGTCATGACAAATTGGCTCAGCAGTGGCAAAATGAAACGAAAAAGAGGCTTGTTTCTTGGATTTGGAAACAACGCTGCTTCCCAGAATGCACTGGCAATGTACCTCAACTTTAACAGTTACTATTACAGTGATTCATATATGTTTCAGGTTGCAATGCCAGAGAAAGTAGTAATATTAATTATAATCTTACACTGTCCCCTTTACTGTAAATGGTTGGATTAACCTGTCGGGAGGTATTTCCAACCAATTTTGTTAATTTTGTCAATATATTTCAGTCAAATATATTACAAGCTCACATGTATAAATCTGTTCTATGCTGCAACAATGCAATGGTTATGGGTTGCTTAGGTTTTATTTCAAGTGTTGCAAGCTTCTTAATTTGGGAAAAATTACTTTTTAATTTAGTTTAGGGGGAACGTGGTTAAGTTGAACACAATGTGCGCTGGTGGACACGTTGTTTTGGTGGACCTGCTCGAAATGATCAGTGCTTTTCTTCATCCTCTCAAAGCCTCTGTGCAAAAACATTCCCTGTCGGGCCACTATTGACCCCCAAGTGTTATGTAATATGTCACAAGGGTCCAATTATTGTCAGAATCAATCCATGAAGCCATTTTATATTATTGTTGAAAAACTCATGTGAGGGATGATGTGAGCACATTATATTCTGAAATAAAACCACAAGTGAGGTAACTGTCTACAAGATGGCCACAATGTCACATAATAATAGTAGTTTACGGTCCTACCTCTGCTGATGTTGTACCTTTCGGGTACAAATGCACTCACAAAATCTAAATTAGTCAAGTTTCAAAAGCCACTCCACACTAATGTGGCCCTCGAGGTCTGAGAGCCGTTAACAGATTTGACCGGTAATCCAACCGGTCTTCTAATCACTTTTACATATTTACTTATAAAATAAGGAGCTCATTTTCTGGCAAAACAAAGGCTTTATTGTCCCCTTGAGAGCACCGGAAAAACTCTACAATGTAGCCTATTATAGAAGAATGACAAATCCTCGTTGTGGAGTCTGTGACCGATCTGCTGCGCATATACAGCGGATCGGCTATGTTATGGTTAAAAGTAGTCTTCGGTGTTGTGTCATAGTGAAGACGTATCGGTCATTATAGCCAACAGATCAACATGATCCAAGCAGAGTGAGTGTAGAAATAATAATGTGTAACGTAATAAAGAGGATTGAAAATGTGTCGTCTGGGTATTGTTTCATTAGTGTTGATGTTAACCGTCTCTGAGGTGGATTTTGGATTACTGCTGCAATATTCCTGTGAATGTCAGTGACGATACTGTAAGCAGAGACACGAGCCTCCTTCAGCAACATGCAAATATAAACCGTATCCGCTCCATATCCACGCTCACACCTGCTCCTCTGTATCATTATGAATGTACATATCGTACTCTGAATTGTGGTGAGATCAAGTGTTAAATATCAATATGAAGTATTTGCTCGTGTGTGTTGATGTTTTGTCGAGGACCGAAGCTGATCTTGTGTTTCGGGGAACTGTAGTTTTTGCTCCGTGTTTCAAAGCGGCTCGTTCTGGCCCGGGGGCTCGCGTACGGGATGAGCGGGGTTGAAGGGTCGCAGGGGCACATTTAGATCTACTCCAGTGGTCACAGTTGCCAGGCCACCGTTGCCTTAAGTGTGTTATGTGGTGTACAATGTGTGTATGTCTGTTTGTGCATGTGTGTGAATGGGAACGCGTCCCTCGTGCATTCACTGTGTGTATATACGTGATTCCATTTTGATTGAGGCAAAATGAGAGCTGGAGATTGAAAGCATTCGGCCGCCATGTTTCCCCATCCATGGTAAATGCACGGGCAGAGCTTTGGGTGACTGTATTGACCTTTGAGAAGAAAAAAAAAAATCGAAAAAAAGAGTCGATGTGCTTTTCTTGGCTGCTATAATCTTAACAAGTATGTTCTTGCTGCTACGATGTTATAAGGCCTTAGTGTAGTTTTAATTCCTGTTGTATGTTCACAGGGGATCTTGAACAGGTCTACCTCCCTCATGACAGGGTAGATTCATTGCTATTATGATTGTCAGTACAGAGACTATCATTCATTGTTGCTGACTTGGCAGAGGAGGGAGGCGCTATCTGACAGCATGTGGATCATCTGGATAACATTTGTGTATGTTGAATATGGAAAGCGTGTGTGTGTGAGTGTGTCAGAGAAGAATCCATATTTATAAAGTAGAGGCGGATCATGTACCGTTCGATGGGTGTGATCTTTGAGATTTCAGCCCGGCTGCTGAATGACAAAACAGCCTGCTGTACTTTGCTTTTTCTGTAATGTTACGAAAACCTAATAAAGTCCAATTGTACCTCTCCTTGTTTATTCTTCATCACCCCCCCCCCCCCTTCCCTCCTTTGCTTTGGGTTCTTTTCATGAATTAGAATCTTCTTCACTCGCCCCGTCTCTCTGTTTCAGCTCCTGTGAGCACTTAAAGGATTTAAGGCCATGCCTGAAACTCGAGGAGGTAAAGTGCACAGGCAACGCCACTAACTCATTCGCTTGCTTACTTAGTAGTTTCGCTCGGAGTGGTCTTAATGGAATTAAAAGAAATCATGTTGGCTCAGAGTTACTCTTCACATAGCTCCTGTATTGCCTCTCGAAAACGCCAACAACACACACTGTTTATTCTAAACAAATCTGTATCCTTCCCCACCCCAAAATAACCGCTGTGCCTTAATAGACAGTGAAGAAAACTGCTACAGGAGCATTTCATCACATGCAGTAATGAAAGACTTCATGCACGAGAGCTCAGCAGAGATGTGCTCGTTCAGCTCGACCTCCAAAACACGATGTAATGGATGA